TGCGTTTTATCAATTTATGCGTGCACTTGACTCCTGCAAGGAGCGAGGGCCTGCCTCCTAGGCGTCTTCTCGTGCTTCTTCTCGATTTCGAGGTCTTGCGCCACCTCATAATGGCGAGATGTATCTATCCGGACATCTATCTATCTATCTATCTATCTCATTTCAGTCGCTGACTGACTCGTCCAGGGGGTGGGGGAAGGAGGGGGAGGGATGTCGCCTCTCGTCGCCACCCCTCCTCCTCTCAGTAGACTCGCGTTGCTCCGCGGGCGGAATTTCTCCGCTCTGCCGCCCGTTGCCGGCGAAGGGATGGGTGCCCGTCGGGAAGCGAGTTGAGCAGGCTTTCGGGCGCGCGTTTTTCCGCATCCTCACTTCTTGGTCGTCGGCGTTTTAGCGTTTCGTTTCGAACATTCTATCACATGCCGCTCGCTGTTGCTTCTGCTATTGCTGCTGCTACGCTGCTGCTCGCATTTCATCACTTTCAAACATACAACATGTATGCCGTCGAGGAGGCCCCACCCTCCAAAATTTATTTATTGTTTATTATTTATTGTTTCGTCGCGAGCTTACCTTCTTGTTGCTGATGTATGTTGGTGTCTATGCGCATAATTATAGCGTTCGCTTCTAATTGCCGTGTTCGCCCGCTGATTGCTGGGTGTCAAATGATTACACACCTTTTCTGTTCTTTTTTTTCATCATTCCCTTAAGCACATTTTTATAGCGCAGAGTTCGTATAGCAATTTATATTTTTTCCCTCCTCTCCTTTTTTTTGGTTGGTGTGTGAGACGGAAAAGATGGAAATTGTGAGGCAAAAAGTTATATGAAATAACCATTTTGAGCGCGACAAAAAGTTGCAATATAATGGAGCATCAAAATGCGCTCAAATTTGAGCTGCGCTTAAAATGTTTCAAAGCAAAACTGTGAAAAACTGAAAGAAAAAAACGCAAAAATCCCCAGAGTCCGACCAGCATGAATTTCGTCTTTTAACAGACAAGAATCTTCTTTTTCTTGAGAATTGTTAACAATTTTTGAAGCATTAATATATCGTTCTCAAGCTTGACATTGAAACCCAACCAATTTATCACAAACGGTTGTTTTTGATTCGTCGTTTCATCTTGCAACTAAAATCGTATTACTTGATGATCTACTCATGAAGAGAAAAGCTGAGGGAGTTTGAAGCGCAGACATTTAAACAAAAAGTCACATACGAAAATATTCACGTTTTTCCCAGAAAATGTCATTTTTTAGTCTTGCGTCGTGGTGGTGACTGCCCACCAAAAAAAAAGAAAGAAAATAAATGTCTATTTTTATTATAGTATCAAAGTGCTCAGATTTCAAAGCATCGCCACACGGCGCTGAGCTGAATTGAATTTACCTAGCGACTTCGTCTCTGTTCGTAGTTGTGCTGTGTTGTTGTTTTTATTGTTGTTGTGTCATAAGATACTTTGTCGCCGACAGCCGGATTTCGAAATTTGACTTCAAAATAAGTGGCATTGTGCAATTTTTAACATTTTCCCCCTTTTTTCACTCTATATGTAGTATAGATTTTTTTTTTTGAGGCATTGAAAAATACATTTTTAAAAACACAAAGAATGAATGGAATGTGGGATTTGTTCTCATTCTAATGTCACTATTAAAATTTTGGGGAAAAAACTAGGAAAAAAAAAAAAACAATTTAAAAGTAGTAAACATAATTTTCAGCTGGCTTTACCGGTTCGTGTTTTGCCCCAAAAATCTGCCTAGTATCATTAAATATGTGGGAGGTTTTCTTCGAGATATTCCGCTAATCTCTGGACTTGAAATATTTGCATTTTTCTCTCTGCTTCTTCTGCGTATATTTAATCACTTATAGTTAATGAAACGCTGATTTCGAAATGTATTCTTTTCGAGATAAACATCGTCATTCGTGTTGAAAATCGTTTCCGTCTTCAATATTTGCACGTAATATTTATTCTCAAAGAATTTATGAGATTTCCTTCTCTTAATGCACATTAATTTCCCTCATATATACATATTTCTCTTATTTTGTTTTTTGAGATGAATAACACAAGTTTCTGGAAATGTTTCCCAATATTGATGGCGACGAACTCGATATTATTTTTGTATTGAAAATGAATTGAAGAAGCCAATAGCTCGATCTCACTTTTTATATGTTTTCCGGTGTTTTTCCCCCATCAAATCGGCTATCCTTTTCATCATCATCATCATCATTTCTTGGGCGGTTTGGATGAGCAAGTGTGTGTGTGTGTTTATGTATACCAATTTTCGCATCTCATTTTTCTCTCATTTATATCTTTCTCCCAACAACTATTTGAATATCAACTTTTTTGTGAACTGGTTGCCGCGCTAAAAAAAAAGGACACCGCACACACGCACCGCTTCCACCGTTTGTAGAAAAGATCTACTGGAAAAAAAAGCGGAATATTTTAGTAGGTTACGGCAGTGTTCTTTCTCTCTCTCTCTCTCTCTCCTCCCCCGCTGCATTTTGGACATAAAGAGAGATAGCCTGAACAAGCTCTAAATATATTTGGCGAGCTATTCAATATCTATATATGTATGTGTATAGTGTGTACTTCGCAATTTTTTTAGCACAATCCTGATTCGGTGTCTTTTTTGTTGCGTCCAACTCGTACACAAATCTGTGTAGAACTATGCTGTGATTTTGTGGCGAGACCCAAAAATTCAATACACAAAAAGGGATATTACCGTCGCCGCCCAAAAAAACCGAGCACCTTGAACAATTGTGGATCATCGAATTTTTTCGGACGGCAATTCAAATTTCGATTTAAACTGTTGAAATTCGGGGGGAATCAAACTCACCGTTACTCGTTTTTGATTTTTTTCTTTTGGAATTTGTTGGCTGAGAATCGTTGAAAAAGCAATTGGAAGTTTCATTCCATCTATCGCATCCAACGGATATCGTTGCTGTGATCAACCTCCTCATCGTTGTGTGCGCCGCTCTTCGTGCATCTCATCCAAATTCAAATTTTGTTCGGCGATATGAATATTTTTCAGCGAAATCGCTTGAAGTCAGAGGCGCCTCGGTCGCTCATTTTCATTTTCATTTTGTGTGTGTGTGTGTGTGTGTGCGACCGAGGCATTTTGCCTGCTCAATCTCCTTATTCTAATTTAATGTGAGCCTAATTCTGAGCCAAACGCTGAGCTCACGCAGAGACTTTGTTCCCTAGCGGGCACATAGACACTCACGCACACTCACATACACACACACACACACATTGGAAAACACTCACGCTCACGCATACACGAAATTGTGCTCCCTTTCGCTTCGTGTTCCTCCATCTCGGGTGGCTCGAGCTCCTGCTCCTGCTCCTACTAGTTCTCATTTCTCGTCTCATTTCGCCGCCGCGCATGCGTGAAAAAGCAGCGTTGGCCTGCAGCACACATTTCGGCTCATTTCGTATATATATATATATATATATATATATATATATATATATATATATATATATATATATATATATATATATATATATATATATATATATATATATATATATATATATATATATATATATATATTTATATATATATATAAAATATATATATATATACATATTTTTTTTTATATTTATATATTTAAATTTATACATACTTACATGCTTATATATACACATATAGTATATAATATTTTCGCTTATTTCTCTGTTATTTGAGCAAATGCGAATTGGGGCAACAATAGGGGCTTAACGAGAACACTAAAATGTTTAGAGTCTTAAGATATTATAGAGGATTTTTTTTTAGAATTTTGGTATTATTGCGATTGGATAAACTGCGTTTTGCGGTTGGCTCAGCTAATGCGTAAAATTCGGTGTGCGCGCCGCTTTTTTTTTTGGAAGCTGCGCCCGAAGCCTCGACGCTTTTCTTCTCACCAACTCCACCATCCAATTGATTTCGATACTTGTTGCTGGCGACACTTATCGAGGTTCATTTCGAAACTGTTGCGCCCTCTGTTTCACCTTTCTTGCGGTGTTGAGTGCTCGAGACGTGTACGCGTGTGTCTCAAGTGCAACAATTGGCTTCGTTGACCACCGATTTTTGCAAAAATGGAAAAGCAAGAAAGGAAAAAAATTGCGCGAAACGTTTGCAGCCGCCCACGATATTAGTGTCATTTCGATGCATCATAAGATTTATCCTTTCGGGGCCTTTTTTTTGCTGCGTAAAGAGAATATTAGCTAATTTTGTCTGATTCGTCGTTGCCCAGACTAGGCACTAGTTTTCCGAAGCGTTTCGCAGATCAAATTTTCAAATGTTTCAATATCAGTAGTAATATTGTATTCCGGAAGCGTTTTCGATCATAATTTCCAAATTGTCTATTGTTTTTTAATAGTATGTACTTTCAATGTTCCTATGAGTTCCGATACATTTTTTTCTGCTGTGTGCTCCTTTAGACCTGTTCTAATATCATCCGTTTTAATTTTTCAGCCTTGAACAATCAAATAAATTAGAAAATGTGACTGGAATTTGATCCTCACTCCCTTTTCTCCGAATAATATCACAAGATTTGATTCGGCTCAAACTTTCGCGTATGTGACCTGTTTTTGCCTATTTTCTCCAGGAAATTGTCTTCCGGCGCTGCTTTCATCTTTTCTAATTTCTCTTCTCGAAAATGTATGTGAGCAACACACTTTGACGCATAGTAAAAAACTTTTTTATTCGAATCATTGAACAGTTTTTGAAGCGATAGTTCACAGTTATAGGAAAAGGAAATTCATTTTATGCTTTACGATGATATAATTTTTTTAATTAGCGGTAATTACTTGACATAACGTAATCTTAATTTTCCGCCTCTCTCAACGATCAATTCACTGGGCTCTCAAGCTTGATGCACTTGTATACTGTAACTCTCCTCCCATTCTCATCCCCCCCCCCCTCACAAATGGGGCGTTCCTCACCAAAAATTATTTCATCTCGGTTTGTGTCCTCCTCTCCCGACACGAATACGATAAACTTCAATTCTTCGGACCACATTCCCTCATATCGAAATGTGTTGTAGATCGTCGAATGAGAGAGTGGTGATGCTGTTCACGGGCACACTACGCGTTCGCGTCGTCGAAGCACGCCAGCTGCGACCGACCGAATGGTCGCGACGATTCACGCAGAACGAATCGGCGGCGGTAATTTTTGATTCGATTCGAGCCGACTCGTCGCAATTTGATAATTCAGGTGACACTCGACACATATGTGAATGTCGATTGGGATGAGTATGCGATGGGCAAAACCGCGGTGCGGCCGAAGACGAATGAGCCGCGCTGGAACGAGGAGTTCATCGCGAATGATGTGCATCAGGGACGGGCGATAGGATTCTCGATATTTCACAGCTGTGTGATGCCGCCCGACGATTTTGTGGCGAACACGCGCATTCCGTTCGAGGATCTCAAAATCGGAACAAGTAATGATATTTGGGTGAGTGAAATTTTTAAAATTTTCATTTCGAAATTCTTATTTCTTAAAGCTTCTCAATAACTCACGTTATCCGGTCTAGAAACCGGAAGCTGTAGAAATATTTAAATGCGGAAATGATAATAAAACGAACGAATTATATATATATATATATATATATATAATATTCCCTTTTCCGATTCACGAAATCTATGTATTACGAATGTGGGATAATTACGCACGGTTGTTTAGAGTTGCATTGTCCGTATGAAGTACACAAGCGTAACTCTTCGTCAGTCGTGCGGATTCGAAAAAAAATGATCTTTGCGAAAGTTTGAAGTTTATGAAACCCGTAAATTCTTCTTTTGCACATGCTTGCGACTTTTTGCAAAAATATATTACGATCAATTCGAGCTGTACAAATTGTCTCTTTTTTTTCGTGAGCTAGTTTCTCTTTAATGAATTTCATCAGAGCATCGCACCCTCTTTCGAATGACTATAAAAAACCGTTGGATGCAGCCTTTCGGTGTAAATTAATTTCGGTGCGAGCATTAATTGGGACACCGTCCCTTCCACTCGTCCATCAATTATTCATTCGTTTTATTGCCATTGCGATGCCCACAAAAAAGATGAGGCAAGACGAACATGTTCAAATTAATTTTGAGCCGGCCAACCAACCTAATGAGATTAATTTTTGTGCTGTTTTGCAGGTCGATCTCGAACCTCATGGACAATTGCACGTGGTTGTTGAATTGCACGGGACCAATGTAGAAGGTGAGAATCTGAATCCGATTCGAGATTCCTTTTATCGTTATCGTATTCGGGGTAGCTTCTTGAATGAAATGAGGCTTTGTATGATGCGTTCGATAAGGGCTCGTCAAAACCACGAACAATTCATTTATTCTTGAAAGCTTTCTCCCTCGTCGTCCGGTTCGTCGACCTTCACGAAGCCTTCCATTTTTTTGTTAGTGTTGGCTTTTGCCGAAATTGGTTTTCGAACCGACAAGACGGACAAAAATTGAAATCTTCACTGAAAAAAAAGAGGGTGTCCACAATTGGTGGTGTATTTGTTTGCTCTTGGGGACAAAATGAGAGCCACTTTAGATGGGTAATTAATGTTTAAGGAGGGTCGAAATCGCGAAAAAATCGAATTCAATTTTTTTAAACCAAGCTTTGAAAAGTGGCGAGTTGGGTTTGAAGCCTGGTGTTTGTGGGGGGGGGGCGTGGTTTGAATTACCTCAATTGGCAAAGCTACCTCAAAATTCGATATACCCATATTTCACGCAATTGTATACGGCCTCATTAATTGTGGAGAGCAATCGGTTGGCGAGCAATTTGAAAAAAGCAGGTTCTCGTTGTCAACATTCTCATCAGTCAAATTGAGTTCTCCGTTTTTATTCATGTTGAGCTTTCTGAACGTTTTTTTTTGGTGGCGACTATGGCCATGGTTATATAATGGTGACGTCAAATTAATGAATTCGCCTAATTAGAAATTGTCAAGTTAATTTCCGGGCTTCTTACAGTATGAGAAAGGGAAAAGGAAGATAGCCGGCGTGCTTCCGGATAAATTAATTACTTGCACTATATAATTTGTTCTTTACACTAAATATGTTGTCGTTTTTGGAATATTTTTCAGCAATGACACTCAACTTGATTTTATTAGGCATTAAAGAGCCCTTAAATATGTTTTAAAGGAATTTGCCGCCACATAGAGAAATCACATGCCTGAAATACATAAACATATAAATATGTATATAGTTTCGCAAAAGAATTGATAATATAATTTGGGGAGCAGCCGGCATTGATAACAACAGTCCCGTTGGTTTCCTTTCTATCTCTTCCTAATTTTTCTTTCGTCCCTGTTCCACGGCTCCAATACAATTAATATGAGTCTCGATGGTTATGTGTGTGAAGAATATGTGCCAAAATCATCGCGATAGAACGTTAGTCGGCGATTTCAGCAAGGTTACTTTATTTCATTATCAATAGTTGACGAATATAACGAAAAAATGTTGATTGGAAAAAATGGACATATTTTTGCAGATATGCATTCTCACAATAAGGAACGTGTATTCAAAGAGCGAACAAATGCTTTCAATGATAGGCAAAGGCGTGGTGCTATGAGAAGGAAAATTCATGAGGTGAACATTTTGTGCGGATTTTTTTCCTAGATTTCATTTATATTACCCTAATTTGGATTTTGCGATGTCAGAAAATTGAAAAATGAAATGAATTGCGCAATTCGAGTCAAGTTGTATGAAACATTCTTATTTGACTTAAAACTTTTTATTTAAAAAAAAGGAATTGAATTCAAATTACGAAATGATGCAAATTAAGAATAAGATTGAAATTTCCACAATTTTTTTTTCAAAATGAAAGCATTTTTTTTCAGGTTACTGGTCACAAATTTATGGCATTGTTCTTGCCTCAGCCGACATTCTGCGCGCATTGCAAAGAATTCATATGGGGTATTATTGGCAAACAAGGATATCAGTGTCAAGGTAAGCAGTCAATCAATCATTCGCTCGAATCGTGAGTTTGATTTCAGTATGTACGGTTGTTGTTCATAAGCGCTGTCACGAGGAGGTTGTTTGGAAATGTCCTGGAAGCAAAATGGAGGTTGTCGAGGAAATTGGCAAGGAGATCGCTGATGTAGGCATTTGAATATTATTAATCGCCTACAAATTATCGCTGAAATTAATCGCCATTATTTTCCCATATTTTATTTTCAGTCGGTCGCTGGACGATTCAATATCAATATGCCCCATCGATTCTCGGTCCATTCGTACAAGAGACCCACATTCTGCGATCACTGCGGCTCTATGCTTTATGGTCTTATTAATCAAGGATTGCAATGCTCGGTGTGCAAGCTGAATGTACATAAGCGGTGTCAACGGAATGTTGCCAACAATTGCGGTATCAATGCAAAGCAAATGGCCGCCGAATTGGCGCAACTCGGTCTCACCGGCGACAAAATGAGCATTCGGAGCAAAAAGAAAGTGAGCAAAGAATGAAAATCTAATTGGGTTTCAAAAAGATACAAAAAAACTGAACTTTTTCGTGTCAAGTACTCGCCACACAACTTGTCACTTTCGAATTGTTTGCTGAGAGGCACCTAGCTAATTTCGAACGAGCTGTTTCAATAATCCGTTCTTTTATTACAGCCATCGATCATGTCCGATATCAGCACAGAAGCATTGGGAACATCGACATCAGATAAATCGGGTAAGCGGATTTCTTTATTGCGAGAAACTGAAAAAAATAAATACGAGTGAATCATTTCGATTTTTGAACACGTTTGATCAGTTTACCCACTCACATTTTGAGTATAGGAAAATTTCGAAAGTTCTGAACAAAGATTTACAAAATTCTTCAAGAAATCATAAAATGTCGAATAGGAGGTTGATGAATTATTAATGAAATGTCAGAATATATATTCGAAACTAATGGATTGGATTAGAATTCTAATTTTTGGTTGTGAGACCTTCAAATCAATTCTTTTCGATACAATCTTACTCAATATTTAGAAAATGAGTTGGTTTTTTTGTAATTAGACTTTGGAACTTCTTTTGATTTCCTGATCGCAACCATGCAAAATTTAACTGATAACAGTTGATTACCGAGTGTTCGTTCTCGTGATTTATTTGGAATCAACCTGACTTCTAAACTAGATCCAAACTGATTTATTTATTTTTCAAACGATCTTAATTTATTATAAAGTAGAAAATCGTATTAAATATCTATGTAATTCAAATGTTAATGTTGTTTATATAATAATTTTTGAAAATAATCGGATAAATTATGCGAGATTTGATAAATGATGTGATACACGTTGATTTTGTTGCATAATTTTTCCGAAAAAAAATGTGTAAATATGGTTTTGATTAGATGGAATATGGAATATTATATTATTTAAACAAACGATTTCTTTTTTCTTGAGTTCTAAATCTATTTACTCATTTTTCAGGTTATTTACAACAAATTAGTGAGGATGATACAGGTGGCGAGGCGACGAAAAGCTCAAGTACACCCGGCGGAACGTTATCGATCAACGACTTCACTTTCATGAAAGTTCTCGGAAAGGGCTCGTTCGGAAAAGTGATGCTCGCCGAGCGCAAAGGCACTGATGAGGTGTACGCGATCAAGATTCTCAAGAAGGATGTGATCGTGCAAGACGACGATGTCGAATGCACAATGTGCGAGAAGCGGATTCTGTCGCTTGCCGCGAAACATCCGTTCCTGACGGCGCTTCATAGCTCATTCCAAACACCTGTTAGTTAAAATATTATCCTAATTGTGATCCAAACGAACATGATTGTAGGATCGATTGTTCTTCGTGATGGAATATGTGAATGGAGGAGATTTAATGTTCCAAATCCAACGGGCCCGCAAATTCGATGAAGGTCGAGCTAGATTCTATTCGGCTGAGGTCACGTGTGCCTTACAATTTTTGCACAGGAACGAAGTGATTTATCGGTAAAATTGTAGTCGACCGTATTATTTCTAAAATGCCGATTTCCAGAGATTTGAAACTTGATAATATTCTTCTCGACGCTGAAGGCCATTGTCGATTAGCCGATTTCGGAATGTGCAAGGAAGGCATTAACAAGGACAATCTGACAAGCACATTCTGCGGAACTCCCGATTACATCGCCCCGGAAATCCTGCAGGAAATGGAGTATGGAATCACTGTGGACTGGTGGGCTCTTGGTGTGCTGATGTACGAAATGATGGCCGGACAGCCGCCATTCGAGGCTGACAACGAGGATGATCTGTTCGAGGTGAGAATGAGATGTAACTATTCACGGAATTATTGTATTTCAAGGCGATCCTCAACGATGACGTGCTTTACCCCGTTTGGTTGTCGAAAGAAGCGGTCAATATTCTCAAAGCGGTACTCACTTTTCTTCTTCAAACATTTATATAAATAATTCATGTTTCAGTTTATGACGAAGAATGCCTCGAAACGACTTGGCTGCGTCGCATCGCAAGGCGGGGAAGATGCGATACGAGCGCATCCGTTTTTCCGAGAAATCGATTGGGATGCGCTGGAGGCGCGACAAGTCAAACCGCCTTTCAAGCCAAAGATTGTGAGTGTATTAAACCAACATTGTTATCAAAGAAAATTGATGTATTTCGTTTTCTAAAGTGCACTGGAAGCCTCAAAAATTGCTATGAACGGAAACATGCTAAATTATTTTATGCTAGTGAATTTTTTTTTAGAAATCGAAACGAGATGCGAACAACTTTGACAGCGATTTCACCAAAGAGGAGCCGGTGCTGACACCATCGGATCCGGCGGTCGTGCGCGCCATCAATCAAGAAGAATTCCGCGGCTTCTCGTTCATCAATCCGCATTTCCAATACTAGAGATGCACGCCTTCGCCGAAAACCTCAATTTGCGTATAAAACAACGAAAACATTAGAAGAGAAGATTCTTTCAAATTCAAACACACTGATATATGCTCCCGTCGTTTGTTTCGTTTCAAAAAACGAAAGTCTCCTTTCGCACTCCAACGCCGCCGCTTAATGGTTTTGTTTTGTTTTTCTTTTTTTTTTTGAATTAAATAATCGTGCTTTTCAAGGCCTTTTATCGATTTTTGTGTAAATTTTCTACTTAGTAGCTGCCATTGTTTCTCGTATACATTCCCGCGGATCCTCTAAATTCTATATATATATAATTATATTACACTGTATTAATTTATGAATATGATGAATCAAACCGTTGCCGAATGATCTTGTCCCCCCCCCCGAGTTTCTTCAAAATAGTCTTGCCATTGAACAATTTGTTTTCTTATTCGAATCAAAAAAATCAAAATAATTTATCAAAAAAAAAATCTTGTTTCGCCGTTCCCTTCTACAATTGCCCTAACTTTCTTATATTCGGTTCAAATATCTCGAATAGTGTTTGAATATGGTTTTCGTTCAGACCCGTCCACACCCAAATACCCTTCAACACCGACACATTCTACACTTTTTCGTGTTTAATTGTGATAAAGCTTTGTTTTTTTGTCTGCAGACTCATTCTTGAATCTATTGTTCACCCATCCCACCAAATGTCACCTTCTACAAAAATGTTTCCATTCTATTCATTTTTTTTTCCAATTTTGCACTATTTTCTGTCAAATATATCTTTTTTCTACTGTGAACGTTGAGATAAAGTAATTTAAAAAACGAATTGACGCAAATCTATATCTTCTTAGCGGTTTTTGATGTCATATTTGTCTTATTTACTTTTCAGTTTTTTTTTTGGCTTATTACGCAAGCTGATCTCGAGAGAGGTAGACGGTCGAAAGCTGTTTCAACCAAATATTGTAATGAGCAGACCAATCAAGGATGTCATTTTTTTTTTGAAAATCGATTCTATAGGTCAGGAGTGTGGCAGAAAATAAGCATTTTCGCAATTTCTGTTGTAATAACGGAGGTGGAAAAGAAAAAAAAACGGTTCCGGAAAAAAGGAAAAAAATCGACGTGCACTTGGATGCGGTCCGTATGAGAGCAGACGCACAAACGCACTGTATGCATCTAATATTACGGTATAGATCAGGGCTGTGCGGCAATCGGAAATTTCGGCAATTCGGCAATTCGGCAATTCCATTGCCGCACAGCCCTGGTATAGATGTCGGGAGCGCGCTGTATATCGTATAGGGCGTTTTCGAAAAAAGCGTCTACTGAGTTTAATCGGCGATTCGAAAAGAACGAATCGTAATTGGTTTTGGTTTCCCATGGTTGTGCGGCAATAGGAAATTTCGGCAATTATTTTTTTTTCAACGATAATTCACAATATAAATACCGAATTTTCACGATATCCATCACCATTTCACATAAAGTTATAATTTTTTTTATTTTTCGCAACAAATTGACCACAAACAATTTTGACAATTCAACAATTTGGCAATTTGAAAAATCGACAGTTTCGGCATTTGGGTTTTAAACATTGCGGCTCCACGGGGTTCCCAAAAACTTCGCGGTTTGTCCCAATAATTTTGTACGACACTCCAATTACACATCGCCCTCAGTTTATTATTGTTTTTTTTTTTTTTGTTTCGACTAATCCATTTTTCCTCTGATTTTACCAAAATGTTAAACCAAAAAGTGAGTTACCAGAGAACACGATATTATCAACGTTGCCCAAAAAAGGAAAACTGGTTAAAAATAGTTGTATTTATGAGATTAAAGATAGAGATGGAATATAAAAACGAGACAAGGGAACTGAAGGCTCAAATTTATGGAATAGTCTTTCTCCGCATCAACACTCTTCGTTTTATTCTCACCACTTCCAGTATTCGGTCCATTAGTGTCAACAGATTCACTATGAAATTCGTTCTGATTTTCAGTCAACTTATAATATTGTGGAAGGCCGCGAAATACATCGATATTCAAAGGGGTCTCATCCTTTAGTTGGTCCTCGAGTGTCGGCGGATCTCCTTTAAATTTTGACGCGGTTGTTTAATAGAATTTTCATTGCAACAAACCACAATTTGCCAAATTGTCTTCAACTTTTGGCTTTTCCCAAGTAACCATACTCATACAATCGAAGGAATTTAATTTTAATCGAGAATTGTTCAAAATTATAACCGGTTTTCTGCTGGAATTGTTTTTTTTTGTATTTCTAGAAGATTCCATTATTTAATTCCGAAATAACCTGTAAATAAATCGGATGTTATGCGATTTTCCGTATAAATAAGCGTTATTTGTAATCGAAATTGGATTAATATCTTCTAAAAATAGAAAATTCTCAAACAAAATAGAAAATAAACTAACGCGAGAGCGCATATACTGCGTATAAATACCACATAAAGCTAATATTGCGAATTCGCGAGTTTTTGATTGTCAAACTTCCATATATGACCTCAATGGAATTCAATTTGTAAGAATTCTCAAAATCGAAATTTTCATCAATAACCAAGTCGCCGAAAAAATACAGGCAATTCTCTTTGAGATCCTGATAAATGAATTGAAAACGAATACATCGAATTCGAAACCTTCAATTTGCCCGATTTCGGGTTGACGCAGAAGTTCTCGGGTGTTTCGGAATCCTCGCAAATCGTCACATCGAATATTTTGTCGGTGTTTTGTGTGGGAATTGTAATCGCGATCATGCCTTGCGGTGAAATGCACAACTTCGGATTGTCTTCAATATAAATCGCAACGCCCAGAATTTTTGGATAAAATCCCAACGATGTGAGCTGTTTATTGCCGGCAAGTTTTAGTGAGATCACCGTTTCACTTTCTGAATTCAACATGAAATTGGAAATGGAAAAAAGAAGAAACTTGCTTTGCAGATTGTTGTCGATCAACTGTAAATTCGAAAGAAACCCAAAATCCGTGAACGACGTATTTTGAATAAAAAGGCTACCACTGAGACGGGTAATGTTAACAAGGTGATGCTAATATGGAAAACAAATATTGTACATTAATATTGTCGACGTCAAACGACTGAATGGATTCGGGGGCTTTCAAATTCCCGAAATCAGCTTAGATTTAAATTTTCTCGTTGACTGAATATTAAATGCGAGTATGCTATAATGCAATGTACGCAATCTCGGTGCCTCGAGAAGCATTGGCACATAGCCAATAGCTTTTTAAATTTCGTCAAGTCGTATGACTCGTATGACAATAATTACAACAAAATTCTCAAGAACAGTGCAATCAATATAATTATTGATATTCAAATAGTGCTTACTTAGCCGACTAAGTAAGTAAGTGGTTTTGAACCATTTTCATTCGGCTCCGATTCCTCGCTCGTTTCCGCTGATTCATTCTCGTTCGGCACTATTTGACTTCCAGGATCACTTTGATGATCAGCTGGTTAATTAGCCATGTGTCAATGCGTCTCGAAGCAGCGAGAAGTACGCAAGACTGCGTACATTGCATTATAGCGTCCGCGCATTTAATATTCAGTCAGCGAAAAATTCAAATCTACACTGATTTTGCGAATTTGAAGGTCCCCAAATCCAATCAGTCGTTTGACGCCGACTACATATATGTTGTCGGCGTCCACATGTGTGTATATTTGTCGGTAGATTTACGGAAGGCAATGGTCTCGAAATGCAATTTTACAAGTAAAATTTTAATTGATTGTTGATTTGTTGCATTTTTATGAAATTGAAATTAAAATTTGTTTGAAAATGAAAAGTTCGAATTTGAAATGACCCATGAATCCGCACAGTGAAATAATACTCCGTACCCATGAGCCCCTGACATCATGTCTCCCCCCTGTAAGCAAGTACCTTCAAATAATCATAATCCATGGAGTCTGCGATTTTCAAGTCGCCGACAAGCCAATTACAATTTTCAGGCATTTTATCGAAAAAATTCGTGAGGTTCTTTCCAATGTTGCATCCTTTAATTTGTAAGAGTTCAATTATTTTAATATTTATAACATTGTCGAAATCGCGTAACTGCGGAAAAAAATGCCAAAAAATATATAAAAGAGAGATGATAATGCGCCTTTAACTTATCTTTAGACGTTTCGCCAATTTTGCGAAATGCGCGCGACGTCGACAATATTGAATACTCTTACCACAATCATGCAAATTTCCGCCAATTTTTCGATTCGATCCATAAATTTCAATAATATCGTCACATTCCTTGGATTAATCCAACAACGGATTGTCTTCAATTCGAATCCAACCATAGCAGAATCGGCAGTTTTTTATCGGCATTCCAATTCTCTTCAAATTCGGATTATTCATGATTATAATAGTGAACTCTAAAATGGCATTTTCTGTTTTTTTTTTCTTTAATCTTCCCCAACTGTTTTTAACAGATTCAATAAGATATGGATTCAGAAATGAAAGATCGTCATAATTGGTGTTGTTGACTATAATCGAGTCTTGGAAGAATATAATCTTTTCGAAGAAGACTTTAAGCTCATGCACAGTGATATCCGACGGTCCTTCCATTATCACTCCTTTTACAGTATCGATTGTGTCGAAAATTTCTGGTAGATGTTTAGTGCTACTATTGATATAGATTGAATGAGAATATTCGTGTTCCGGATTGGCGAATGAGTCAGATTGGCATTCTAAATTAAGTCAATTAATTAATGTAACACTAAGGAAATTAAACCTTTGAATTGTAAGCAAATAATGAAAATCACAAAAAAAAAACATTTTGAGAAAATACATATGCCGATGAATATGAGCTTGGATAATTGCTGACATGAAAAATGGCAAAATGACATTTGGGGAATAACATTTACGAAAATTTCAATTCTCGTAACTATATATTAGTGGGCGTGGCTTATATGATAAGAGAAAATGAGAAAACGAGAAAGAAAGAGATTTTGGTGGTGGAAAATAAAAAAAAAATGCTATGTTTTTGTATTATATTTATTCAGACGAATTTGCTTTGAGATTTTAATTAGTCGTTTGAATCGGACAATACGTAATTTAACAATGAGTTTCATTCAACAAAACGTTCGTTTATTAATTTTTTACATAATTATTGTCGGCGTCAAACTGAATGGATTGGGGGGCCTTCAAATTCGCGAAACCTGTGTAGATTTAAATTTATCATTGACTGAATATTAAATGCGCGTACGCTATAATGCAATGTACGCAGTCTCGCGTACTTCTCGCTGCCTCGAGACGCATTGACACATAGCCAATAATTTTTTAAAATTTCGTCCATTCGTTTGACTCTAACAATAATTATGACAAAATTCTCAAAAACAACGCAATCAGTGGAATTATTGATATTGGTTTTGAACCACTTTCATTCGGCTCCGATTCCCCGCTCGTTTCCGCTGGTTCATTCTCGTTCGGCACTATTTGACTTCCAGGATCACTTTGATGATCAGCTGGCGAATTCGCCATTGTGTAATATCGAGGAATGCCGAAATACACGTCCGAATTGAGTGGTGTTGAATCAAATGGGACTTTCAGAATGTCGGTTGTCTCGTCTGTGATTATTAATTTGTTCAAAAATTATCTGAAAACCGACTCACTGCAATTGAGGAGATTATTTGAAACATTCGCCATTTTCCATGTCATCATAGTCATACATGAGAATGAGGAAATTCGAAGGCGAGGATTATTGGTTATATAAATCGGCAATGTGCTTCGAATAAAATGATTGTTGGAAAAAAAATCGGAAATAGTACCTATAGATTTCTCGAATTAAATGATTATCAAACATCAGGTATAAATATGGATTGTCAATGATTTCCATCGGCGGTCGTTTTTCTAGAAATTACTGACTTGAGATTTTCTCAAAAATTGGCGCCTAATTTACGTTGGATTGCATATATCCTATTGAGGTTTGGCAGGAAATTCGCTGTTCGAATTTTCGAATTTTCAATTCTCAATGTGCCGTAGATGGCGATTACACTGTTTAATTTATAGGAGTTTGCAAAATCGAAATTCTCGTCGATCACCAAATCACCGAAAAGATATACGCAGTAATTAGGGAAATCCTGGAAATGATTTTGAAAAATTATACTAATTGGGATCTTACTTTCAAGAGTCCCGACTTTGGAATGATGCAATAAGACTCGGGCGATTCGGAATTCTCGCAGAGCTTCACGTCGAATATCTTGTCAGAATTCTGCTCGGTGTCCGTCATTTTGACGAGGTCTTGAGGCGAAATGCAAATATTCGGATTATTGACAATTTCAATGTTGATCCCATCGATTTTCGGCGAAAATCCAAGATTTGTCAACTTCAGATTGTTCTTTATCTCGACATTCGCGGGATTGTCAGTTTCTGAAAATCGATGAAAGGGATTGGAATGGAAGCGAAAAGAAAAACGAAGACTTTGCAAGTTCTGATCAATCAAAGTCAAGTTTTTCAGAAATCCCAAATCTGTGAAGGTGGTATTTTGAATTTTGAGACTTCCACTCAAACGTGTAATATTGGCAAACCGCTCCTAAATTACCTAATTACAGTAAAATAGTAAAAAATCGAAAATAAAAACTTTCAAATAATCGTAATCGTATTCATCCGTAATGATGACATCTCCAACCAACCAAATGCAATTTTCATTCATTTGATCCAGAGATTTTTTCAAATTCTTCCCAATATCGCATCCTGAAACCAATTATCAAAAGTCTCAAGTCATTAGTCATATAACGAAAAGCTCGAAGAAGTAATTTTCATTTCATTTGAAAAAGTTTTGTGAATTTTAAATATTTTCGTTAATCAGACAAAAATCAATTTAAAAAATCAACGACTTGTCTGTATTTCAATTTTTTTTGTCTGACTAACAATTTTTCATATCGAAAAATAGCAAAAAATAAATCTTTACAAGCGTTGACTATAAAAATCCTACCACAGTTGTATAAATTGCCGCTGATTTTTCTATTCGATCCATAAACTGATATAATATCATTGCAATCATTGGATAAATCCAGTAGCGGGTTATTCTCGATTTGAATCCAACCGTAGCAGCCAAAACATTCATTGAATTTGATACCACTTCGTTTCATATTCCGATTGTTCGTTATTGAAACTGAATATTCTGCAATACCGTTTCGTTATAAAGGTTTTAGGAAAGATTTATTAAGAATACATGTGACCAGTGTGTGCTCGGGAATTATGAGGTCGCGAATTTTGTCGAGATGAAAGCTTTCCCCTCGGGAGCACACACTGCATGTGATTCATTCTGCTCATAATAAAATTATTTTACTGCTTTTTCCATTTTGCACGCGATACAATTTCAAGAATGACAAATCCTCAAAGTCGCTATCGTTCACAATTATCGGATTGTCAATGATTTCGTTTGTCTGGAAGAAATCTCGCAATTCTCGCATTGAGATATCCGTTGATCCTTGAATATTGACTCCTCGGACCATGTAGACAGTTTTCGGGACATCGGGAAGCGATTTTGTCGTTTTATTGATATAAACTGGCCATGAGTAATGTTATTCGGGATTATCGAATTGATTCGGTTGGCCTTCTTCAATTTATTTAAACCAAGTGTTAATAATTCGCATGAATACCTGCATATTTGGAAATTCTTAAAAATAATAGAAGAACGAAGGAAAACATCGACTGAAATTGCATTCACTAAGATTTAATATTTCTCATTTTCTCTTTCTCATCTAACTATAATTATCTGGGCATTTAGAAAAGCCTATAATTTTTTTAAATGCCAATATTAAGCATTTTCAAATATATCACGGGATCAAACAAATTATAAATTAGTATTTAATAAAATTGACAACAATATGTATAATAATACAGAAATCAATTTAAATGATTCCAGTAATATTGAGTTATTGCTTGGTGTTGGTTCGACAATCGCAGCTTCTTCTTTTTCTTTTTTCTTTTCTTCATTTTGTCGCGCAAGGGTCTTTCCATGTAATTTTGACGCGTTAATATATTGCTTAACTCCTCGATACACATCAATATTCAATGGGGTTTCGTCAAAAGGGAATTGAATTGATGCTTCGAAATATTCTGAAAAAAATCATACACAAATACATATATGCTATAGGGTATTATTTTTATAACGTATATAATATTTTAAAAAATCATTTAAACTTGAAAAAAAACGACATCGAAAGATTAAAAAGGCGAACGAAAATTCTATTGTCGACGTCAAACGACTGATTGGACTTCAAATTCGCGAAATCTGTGTAGATTTAAATATATCATTGAAAATTAAATGCGCGTACGTTATAATATAATGTACGCAGTCTCGCGTAGTACCTACTCGAGACGCATTGGCACAAAGCCAATAATTCTAATTTCATCAAGTCTCCGACAATACGTTAATTCGGAGAAAATCGATCGAGATGTCAACAACATGTTGTCAAATAAAATGCACAAGTCCGCAATATAATTTTCAGCTTTGTTTCTACATAATGATAAAAGATGAGGAATATCGAAAATAAACGAAATTGATATCGTTGCGGACTATGTATTTTATTTGACGACAATACACTCGTATTCTGTTATTCCACGAAATTGTTGTTACGTAAACGTGAATAAATAAACTTTTTTTAAAATTATTTTTCCATTTTTCGCTCAATTTTCGTATTTTCTTTCGAAATTGTTTGTTTAAAATCTGTAGCCACCGATTTTAATTATTTATTGAGCAGAATATGCTCTTTTAAATGATATTTATCGATATTTTTTGGTAAACACAGCATAGATTTAAAAAAAAAAAAACATTTTTTTGTCGTTAATTATTTATTCGTGTTTTGCTCTTAATACGCGTTTCTACTATCTTGTTTTTGTATTCTTTATTTCAAAATAATTTTTAGAGCGGGTGAAAAATATCGATAAGTAAAATTTAAAAGTGCACATTCTTCTCAATAAAACATTAAAATCGGTGGCTACAGGTTTTAAATAAACAATTTCGAAAGAAAATACGAAAATTTAGCGAAAAAATTAAAAAAATGAACATAGGAAATTTTGGCCAATAATTATTAACTAAATATTTTTTAACTAAATTCACTAAATATGATTTTTAACTAAATATAATTATTAACTAAATAAATCATTTTTAACTAAATTCATATTTTTCAACTAAATAAAATATTTTTTTAACTAAATATGATTTTTAACTAAATAAATCCAATTTTTAACTAAATATAATTATTTTTAACTAAATAAACCTACAGTAAAATGGTACGAAAGAATTAATTTTCTTCATAACTTTTAAACGAGTGGTTCAATCGAGCTGAAATTTTTAGCACTTATTTATTTGAGGTAATAACATCAAAAACATGGTCTGGCATAGATTAGAGAAGGTTTGAAACATATTAGGTCGATTTAGATTTGAATTGCTGCTCCAACGTCTTCCATCAAAATGATTCAAAAATAGAAAAATAGGGAACTGTAGGTTCTTAAAGCCACACAACTATTTTTGTGCACATTGGTCCCGTGACAGTTAAAAAGAAGCGAAATAGTCCGTTTCATGGGGATCGCTTTATAATTCTGCTCCGCTTGAAACACCTGTTTTTGACCACTACGCGGCTACTTTTTAAGATATTAACATAAAAAGTCTCAAAATATCGAAATATTGATCCAATAGGTCATATACAATGCGAACATTACATTATAGTGTGCGAGCATTAAATATTCAGTCAACGATTAATTTAAATCTACACCGATTTCTCGAATTTTAAGGCCCCGCCTCCCTTCTGTCGTTTGACGCCAACAATATACTTCTTAAATTTTGAGACGGACAGCAAAAAAGACATCCCTTGTCAACTAAGTTTATTTAGTTAAAAATAATTATATTTAGTTAAAAATTGGATTTATTTAGTTAAAAATCATATTTAGTTAAAAAATATTTTATTTAGTTGAAAAATATGAATTTAGTTAAAAATCATATTTAGTGAATTTAGTTAAAAAAAATATTTAGTTAATAATTATTGGCCGAAATTTTAAAAAGTCCCACGTAAATCGCTGCGAGGATTACGGTAACTGGCTCATCGCATTGCGTACAAAACACAGGATCCCACGACACCTGGATATATTTGTCATTTCTCAACAATATATAAATAACTGTATATAGAATTTTCGTTCTTTTTATTTCTCATCTGGTTTCATTTATAAATTTCTACTTTTAAAGGTCACCACCCGCTTAAAATAAATTAAAACAAACCACAACTGAACATATTGTTCTCAATGATTGCCGTTTTAGTATTGTTTAAGCATTCACATTCAAATTCGGTGAATGTCAGAAGAGGATTGTTTCTTATAACAACTGCTGAATAACTGAAAATAAAGAGAGATTTACTAGCGGAAAATACAAGAAGAATGCAGACCTGTAAACTCTGAAATAAGCGAATTCGATTTTCCTGTAAAGGTGTGTGTTATTGACAATTTCAATTGGCGGTGTATTTTCTAAAAAATAAAAAAGAAAAAACATTATTCAGTTAAAAATCTTACTCTTTATTGAATATATACATTTAAGATTTTGAAGAAAATTCAGAGTTCGAATGTTAGAATTTCGAATTAACAAATTTCCGAATAATTGCCAAACTGCGTTTAATTTATATGAATTTTCATAATCGAAATTTTCATCAATAATCACATCTCCAAACAAAATTTCGCAGAATTCGGGAAGATTCTGAATAAATCGTTTGTGCATTTATTTGATTTCGCATAATGCTCACCTTTAAGGAACCGCTTTCGGGGATCACACAGTAATTCCGAGGCGTCCGAGAATCAGCGCATATTTTAACATCGAATGCATAATTGGAAAATTCATCTTCGCCCATAGTCAAAAGCGATTGAGGCGAAACGCATAATTTCGGATTATCAAAGATTTCGATATCAATTCCGGCAAATTTCGCGTGGAATCCAAGTTTTTCCAAATTCGCATTATTTTTTATCACTATTTTCGAGCGATAAATTGTTTCTGAAAAACCAAGGGAAAAATAAATATTGAAATGCAGAACGAGTGATTTTTGGAAACTTTGCGAGTTTTGATGGATGTACTGCAGACTCCAAAGAAATCCGAAATCGGTGAAATTCGTATTCTCGATGGTGATGCCTCCAATAAGACGACTGATATTCGAAAATCTATGCTGAAACTCGATGAAATTTGAAATTTTCAAACTGAACAAAAAAATGCCTTTAAATAATCGTAAGGATAATCATTATTAATTGTGAGATTGCCAAAAATCCATGTGCAATTCTCGTTAATTTTCTCAAGAAAATCTTTGGAATTGTCGCCAATTTCACAACCTGAAAAATAAAAAAAAAAGAATTCAGAAGGCATTTTTAATATACCACAATCTCGCTTATTTCCTCTAATTAACCGCTTTGAGCCAAACGCTTTGTCGATGAGTTCGCATTGATCGCTCAAATACAATAGCGGATTATTTTCAATTCGAATTCCTCCGACACAAAAAAAAGCAATCCGACAAATTCATCATTTTCTTTAATTTCATATTGTTCAGAATATTGAATCCAAATTCTAAAAATCAGTGGTGCTCACACAATTATTCATATTGGATTTTTCGTACCCTCCCATGTCGACATAGACGTGGGCTGGAGAAATTCAATCGTTTCGTAATTCGTATTATTCACAACAAGTCGATCGGAGAAATATTTGAGTTGCGAGAATAATGTTGTCAATTCTTCAACCGAGATACTGATATTTCCACTCATTATAACCTCACGACGAGTATTATCAACTTTCGGCCCAATGGTTGGAAGCTGTTGTGTCGTTTCATTGATATAGATTGGCCATAAATAATAATATTCAGGATCATCAATTCCGTTTGATTGGCCATCTATATACATTTATGAGTTTCAAAACAATTTGATTAATTACCTGCTAATAGAAAAATAGAAAAAAACCAGTTTAGGTATAACATTTTCTGAATAAGCTTGACTAGGAATCTAGTCACCATTAAGTGTATTATTATCTAAACTTTTAAGGCATAAATTATGAGAATTGATGAACTTTTCCATCATGTCTAGATTTCTGACGACCGTTTCGAAATATTCAATTATACGGCCTTTTGTTTTTTTTACACTGATTTACAATAAAATAAAAATTAAAAACCAGCTTTTAGAGAATAAAAAACGAAACTTCCGATCGCTCGTCTTCTGAGCTATCGAATTCTCACAATTTTTCAAGTAATGCCAATTTTCTGAACTTCACACCATTAACCTTCACCATGTTTCTGGAATATGTTCCGCGCAAAATTTGTCGAATGCTGACGCAAATTGATCCGTTGTTAATATTTAGTACAACACTACTGTCTAAAGTTCAGGACCCTGAAGGAGCCGTTATCACCCCGTGGTCCACCCAAGCCAAGGACCGAAAAGCTTGGAAAGCTGTGGTTCGCGCCTCAACAGGCGAAGGACGAACCGACTAAGTGACTAAGTGAAGTTAATATTTAGTATAATTTTTTAACGCACTCGAGCCAACATTTCACAACAATTTTCTTCAATGAGAAACGGTTGCTTTTGAATACCGAAATGACCTCTTGTCAGAAGCATCGTGGGCTCTTTCTCTGACAATTGAAAAAACCTCTAAACACGGCAGCATTACATACTTGTGAATGGATTTCAGAGCGTCCGACACAACCGAAGAAAACCTATTTATGTGCGTGAATAGACATCGAAGATATTTGGGAGAAGCATTCCCTCGATTAAACCACTTGATGATGATGGTGGGGCCCCTCAGTACGCTGATAACTTTGCTTCCTATGCAAGGATGAATTGCTTTCATTTTTCTTCTGACCTGAGCTGATGGTGAATCTCCATCTGAAGAGTGTTGCAACCAAAGTTCAACTCTCATCCAATCAACAAAAATATTACTCGTGTCCTATAATATTTTTGTCACGCTATTCAACCAGTCAAATCTAATTCGAACATTTACTTCCACAATCATGCAAACTATTCTGGAGTCAATATCTCGCACCCTGAATTTCAAAAGGGTCATTTCTTCCCATTTGCTCCATTTTCTTTTTCGAACGCACTTTCTCTGTAAAACTCATTGGCGTCTGCTCCGACACTGCTGCTCGTCCGTCAATTTTTTTCTAGAGCCCGGCGTCCGATGTGACTATTCAAGTCACGTCGCCGTTTTCGCAGACTTTCCATCTTTGTCTCTTTTTATATCGTGAAAAATAATAAAAATCATGTGGTCATCACAAATAATAATAAACGTGAGTGGATTTTTGGAGATTAATTATTTCGCCAAAAATTCCTCAAAAGAAAACAGAGGACATGAAGGGGTGTTCTAATTCAATAACAGCAATAGCCATCATCGTACTCTGTTCGGTCAACGCGGACAAAAGTAAGTATTATATAAATCTCTAGAATCATGCTGATGGGTTTTTGCAACAAATATAGTCTGTATACATATAGATTTATTATAACTGAATATATGTATATTTAATATAACGGAAATCAAAAATTCGCTTAATGACCTTTAAAATGTAAAATAATCAGTTAATCCAATTTTGAAAATTAATGAAAAGGTTTTTTTTTTCATATTTTTAAATTTCAAAAAGCGACATCGTGATAACTCGTCATTACATGACATGACAATATGATAGTTTTACTGTTTCGAAAAAAAATTGAAACTCCGTTGTGTTGAGGAGTGTATTGCCAGCGACAGCAAATATAGAATATTTTAAACGATGTTAAACGTTTTTAGCATGTGATGAGATGTTTATACCAATATTTCATTCGCCTGATGACCAGAAATGTTGGACAGTAACAAAACGTTCTAGCGGCTGATCAGAATCGAAATAAGCGATTTCAGTTGATTCCCGAAGAAAATCAAAATCGTCTGCCTTGTGAAATTGTTACCAATCATTTGAATGAAACTGACAATGAGAGGCAAGAATTGATTAATGGTGATCATCCATCGACACACATCATAAAATGAATGACAATTTCAGTTTTCTCGCGAATGTCTTGTCTCAAAAAACAAAATGACTTGTGTCCGCTGATTTGTATCAATAGAAAATTGGACTTTGACGAGTTTGCGATAGAAAACTTCGAGGTAATTTATTCAGCTCATGGGACAATATACTGAATTTCAGCGGCCTCCGAATTATTTGAGACATCTCAATCAATACGGATTCGTAGATTTCAATGAAGATTTCGAATTCGGAGATACGATTATCATAAATGTGTATCCTTATGAGTAAGTAATTCAAATTATGCTTCTAAAAATTATAACAAAAAAAAACAGTAAATTTGTGCATAAAAATCTTAAAGACAAATAAAGTATACTTTTTAATTCCTAAATTAAAGGGTTAAATCAAATATTACAATAATGCTAACAGACAAATCCGGAACGAAGGAGATTTTACGAATAAAACATTCCAATGAGGAGAATGTAATCCAAATGGGGGTATGAAAAAAATAAATGAAAAGCTAATTCTATTGTCGCTTTTTTTATTAGCAAGAAACGGTCGATTTGAAGTTCAGTCTGAACTATTCACAATTTGATATCCGCATTCAGTAATTATTCGTAAATTTTTATTAAAATTTCCATTTTTTTGTAGAATTCTCTCCTTCAGTATCAATGTCACAATTGAAGCCAATGATGAAACTGTAAACTGACGATTTGAAAAAAAAAGGCTATTCCGGCGATTATTGTAGATTTGCGGGATTGCTTCCAATTTTAGGGTTTTTTTTTTTCAAAAATTCCAAAAAGTAACCAAAAATTACTTGAACATTAAAAAAAACAATCACACGGGGCTCTGGTAACTCAAAACCAATCGTATCCGACAAAATTCGGCTACGAAATTAACCTTATTCGATTGGTAATTCTACGGATAAGATTGGTTTTTTGTCGAATCCGATTCGAATTGAAATATTAAAACAAAACAGATTCGAATAATTACCAATCGGATTCGAGGAAAATCTAATCGGATACGACAAATTACCAATTGAATACGAAAATACCCAAAAAACCAATCGGATACGACAATTTTACTATCTTATCCGTAGAATTTCCAATCGGATAAGGTTAATTCTAGAGCCGAATTTTGTCGAATACGATTGGTTTTGAGTTACCAGAGGGCGAGACCAAAACGTAAGACGTATTCCCGTAAATCTACCCATACACTCTTGTGCCGGACGCCGACGATCTAGCCATTTTGAATTAAAATTTTTACAGAAAAATCAAAATTTTCCGCTAGTTGGCCTCAATTCACAACGAATTCAGCGATTGGTCGTCCGTGGAGGATTTGCATCGAATATTGAGTACATCGCCAAGTACGAGATTTTCTATTTTTACACATTTAATTTTTTACGTTAAGAAATTGCAATATAATGCGAAAAAGTAAAATGAATTTTGGATATTCGCCAACCTATGAATTGTATGCGGATCCTTCAACTATCCAGGTAATACAGACATTAAAAAAAATTCAATTTATATCAAAATATAACTGAAATAATTCAGCACAATTCTGTCTATATAAAGATACCAATTCGATTGCCATATCGAACAAAATTGGCTGATCCACTTCGATTTATTGACGGACCAAATGAACGAGCTGAGCGATCATTGGTGATAAGTAGTGACACTACCAATTTCACCACAAAACCGTAAGATTTCGCTCAATTTTTTATTTGAAATCTTTTTTTTTTCAAGCTGGGCCTCAATTGTGTTTTATAATAGTCGAATATCCATGCAGAAATATTTGATCAATATTACGTTTGAAGAGACACAAATCAGAAATGTGTATAACGACGTACGGCGAATTGTCGCGCGACTTGTAGATTTACGGGCTAAACAAAAGAACAGCTTAAAGGCACACACGGAGCGGCAAGACCCGTTCATAAACACTTTGGGATTTTTTTCGTAGTCGCGCGACACCGATCTTCAATAGAATAGTTTAAAAGTTTGTGAAATTATAATTTTAAAGAATGGAAGGATGCGACAAACTATAGAGCCGGTAGAATTTCGAGACGTATTTGCATATCGCATAAGGTAAATTTTTCAAATCAAAATGCGATATACGCATATTGTATATTTTTTAATTCGATGATTTCAGTTTTGTGATTTCTAAAAATTCACCAGACAAAGCGAAAATATATATTTTTGACAACATCGATAATAAAGAAATAAGTTATTCAGAATAAAAATATTGTGTTTTCGAAATTCAAATTTTCAGGTAGTGTCGAAATGAGTGTCGGCGACAACTTCGAGAACACTGTCGACTTCGCTGTTGTCGATTCAAATGTTAAAATTTACAATGTGCGATGGTTCTCGACGCGCACCGTAAATAAGCATACTTGTGGATATCGGGCATTCGAAGCAAATCAGGTCTAGATAGCATTTTTCGCTTTCAAATGTATTTGTAAAATGTTTAGCTGTACAATAAATTGCCAAAATCGAAATGCCGACAAGAATTCAATGCCATATGCGAACGTTGGTCGAAAATGAAACAAATTCAATTGTGCTTTCATTTGTAGAAAAACCTGTTGAAAAACAGACAGGCGAGTTGGCGATGAGCAAAGATGATTTCAATTCCGAGCCGCCGAATCTCGAGAGCCAACTGTGGCTAAGTTTGAAGCTTCCCAACAACATGTCCTTATTTGAATATTCAGCAAAAACTCTATACATAATAATATGTGGCGTTGCGATGTTTTCGCCGTTTTTGATGATAATACCAATGCTGGTGGACATTTTTTGCGATTTCTAAAAATTAAAGGGTGAAACCTCAAAAATCATAAAAAATATTTATTGAAACTAGAAAATAAAAGATAGAATAATGAGAAAATTTTACAACATTTAATTGCGAAGAAAAATGTGAATATCCTGCATATATTGAATACTCCGCAATGATTTCAATTTCGCTTATTTAAAAAATATAGTCGACTAATAAAATGCATATAATTTAAACACGCGACATGTTCGGAAATTCGTATTTCAATTTCTGATTTTTGTCTGAAATACGAATTCATGTCCATTAGGTAATGACTGACACACAAAGAAGACGTTAAAATTCTAAATGAAGCTGAAACTGAACATTTGTCGGCATTGCCATCATTCTTCTCCGCAACGAATTAATGTATAATTTTCGTTTTTTTTTTTTTGAGTTTTCGATTTCTTATCTATGTAGTTTCAATGTTGTTTTTATGATTTTTGAGGATACCTCAAATTTATAAGCAACAAACTATTTTTTTTAATATTTTAAGTTTAATAAATAATTTTTATTAATACAATTCGAGGCTTTTCCCATTTCTTGTTTTAAATTATTTGACATCTAGAAGTAATCCAAAATTGATAAGCGATGTTTTTCGGATGGCTCTGATAGAGTAGGATCAGGGATATTCTCCTTCGGTCGACACTGTGAAAAATCGAAAAGCAAAAAAATTTTATGTCGTGTATTCGTCGACGTCGCGATGTGGAAAATTTGCTAAATGCCAAAAATTTCAAAAGAGGTCTCGATGTGGCTCCTTTAACCTATACTTATGCACTTCCCGTAAATCCACACTTTAAGTTTTTTGCCAAGGCTACTGTCATTAGTTGTTGGCATTTAGCCAATATTCCGCAGATGCGCGACACCGACAATATTTGAAATCAAGCGTGGCCGTGGCTGAAGCTAATTTTGTAGGACAGCTTTCCAGGTCTCCCCAGCGCTGCGGTGAGGCCGTGCTGAAGATACAGGACTGTACAAAAATATGGTAGGGATGTATCTTGGCCACAAATTTCATCTATTGTCGAAGACGGATTAGGCAGTATATATAATTCAAATTTTGGCGCCATACTCTTTCGATTTGATCTAGTATGAAATGCATTGAAAATTACAGTAGATATCAAAGACGCATGCGAAAATTTGTTGATTTTGTGCTAAGATTAAAAATAGCACATTCGATCATTCAGTTTTGTCAAATCCGCCCGCCTTCGACAATATTAAAAAATTAAAAATAAACGAAGTTTTTCCTTGTGTATTGATATGAAATGTCGTTCATCGAACTATTCATGAAATATTTGTCTAAAAAAATTTGCATTTTTTACCCTGAATTGCAAAAATGTCAGGTTTTTACTTTTTTTATCACAAGAATAGATCCATTAGAAACATGAAATTCCTTGCGAAATGTCTCATCTCAGAATATCATGGTGTGAAAACGGACAAATGTGAGATTCGGTGAAACGCAGGTGAAACAAATGTTTCCGTCCCTCAAAATCACACACTCTCGCCGGTTCATCGGTGATTCAGCCGCGTTTCTCCGAAATCTCAATCTATCGTCGTTTCTACAGCACGATTTGCTGAGGTTGGCCAGTTTTCGCACACTCGCTAATAATGCGCCAGGGTCTAGGGGACACTAGCGCAAATTCGGATTACTCTGGCGCAAATTTGGTGACTGTCTGAAAAAATCTATTGCGAAAATCAGTAAACGTTGGTTTAATCATGGAAATAGCGATTAAACTGAAAAAAAAAATCGAAAATATTGTTTTTGAAACATTCTTTCTTTCGTTTCTCAAAATAATTAATCTTGTCCAGCGTCATTGATCATTGAAATTAATTTTAATTTAGAAAAAATGTAATTCTTTATAGGTTGCGAAATCATTCGAAAATGTCCGCACCTGTGCAATGCCCAACACATCCAGATGTTCATTTGGTCGAAGACCATCGAGCTGGCGATTTAGTTTGTCCAGCATGTGGTCTCGTAGTCGGTGACAGGTAACATTATATTTTCTTTTAGATTCGTTATCGTCGGTTTAACTTTCAGATTAGTAGATGTGGGAACAGAATGGCGTTCGTTTTCGAATGAAAGAAGCGGCAACGATCCATCACGTGTTGGAGCACCTGAAAATCCATTACTCAGCGGAGGTGATTTAAGCACTACAATTGCAGTTGGATTTAACGGCTCGGACAGTGACAACAGGTAGTTTACTCGTTATTTTTTTTAATCAAAAATAGTATATATTTTATGAATGTTTTAAAAGTGTTAACGAACATATGTTTCAGCCTTGCAAACGCACAACGAAAATCCATGAACAATTCCGATCGCCAGATGACTCAAGCGATGAGTCTAATCCGCGAAATGGGCGAACGAATTCATTTGACAAAGACGCTTCAGGACAGCGCTTCGAGGATATTCAAAGATGTTCTTGATAGTCGAGCCTTACGCGGAAAAAACAATGAGGCTCAGGCAGCAGCTTGTTTGTACATCGCTTGCCGTAAAGACGGAGTCCCTCGAACTTTCAAGGAAATATGCGCTGTTTCGCGCGTTTCGAAAAAAGAAATTGGAAGATGTTTCAAACTTATCGTCAAAAACTTGGAAACTAATTTGGAGCAAATCACTTCTGCCGATTTCATGTCAAGATTCTGCGGAAATTTGCATTTGCCCAACTCAGTGCAGGTATTATTATTTAAAAAGCAATAATCCTGTATTTATTCTTGTTTTTCTTTTTCAGGGCGCTGCTACTCGCATTGCAAAACGGGCCGTTGAAATGGATTTGGTTGCTGGGTAATTGGGATCTTCGAATCGTTTCTCGAATTTTCCTTTTTTTTCAGACGCACGCCAATTTCGATCGCGGCCGCTGCAATTTATATGGCTTCACAAGCATCAAATGATAAAAAAACTGCCAAAGGTTCATTTTAATGCAAAAAAATCATTAATCAAGAGGAAAAAATGACATTTAGAAATTGGTGATGTTGCTGGAGCCGCCGAAATCACTGTGAAACAAACGTACAAATTATTATATCCGAGAGCCGCCGAATTGTTCCCTGAGGATTTCAAATTCGTGACTCCAATCGACCAGCTTCCATCGTCATAAAAAAGAAGGTAAAATATGTTAAAAATCAGCAGAGACAAACAAAAATCACAATTTTTTTTAATTAGTCGAGCTTAAGAATTTCGGTTTTGATTTTTTCATTAATCTCTCGGCGAATATCATCGTTATCCTTATTTTCCAAAATCACGCGAGCTGCTTTCGCGGTTTTTGGTCGCTCAATCTCCAAATCCCGAAGATTCTTAAATTGAATGCTCTTAAAATGTGTATTGAAATTAATGCGTCTCACATTCATATGCTTCATTCTCTCTTCTCTTTTCAATTGAAGAAGGCGTTCTCGTTGTTCTTTGAGATATTCAGCTCTTGCGCGAACATCCGAAGAATTGAGGCGTTTGCCATCGACTAGTCGCGACTGAAATTAACCAGAATGATGATTTGCTTACTTCTTTTTCTATAATACTCACATTGACATCGTTGAGATTCTTTCTTCTTGGTCCATGCTCCATTCCTGGGATATCCTCGTACTTCGGTCCTGTTTCTTCTTTAGACTTTGGGCCTTTTGAAACTGGGCGAGGAGGCTAGAACCGATTAATAGTAATTATATTTCTTCTTCTCACCTTTTCAGATCGATCTTTAATTGATCCTCGACGTCCGCGGCTGTCTGTGGCTGTACTCTGACGTCGAGACGGGGTTTTAGCACGGTTCCCTTCGCTAGTTACATTATCGCTTTTCGAGTCCGATCTAGATTCTCTTCGAACTGCCGATTTTGGCCGCGATGATGTAGTTCTTGCTCTCTCATCGGCATTATTATCTTTACTCCCCGTCTTTGGTCGTTCAGCTTTTTCCTTATCATCGCCTTCAGCTCTTCCGTGTCTCGAAACACTTCTATGCTTCTTCTCGTCGATATCTGATTGAGATAGTTTTCTTTCTTTGGACCCGGTTTTCGGTCGCGAACTTTTTTGGTCATCATCGATTTTTTGCGCAGATTTGTCGTGAGACCCAGTTTTCGGTCGAGAGCCGTGCTGATATTCTTCCGAGCCATTTTCTTGAGGTGCGGTATTCTTTTTTGTTCCTGTTCTTGGCCGAGCTACTGGTTTTTTCTTTTCCTCAACACTCGTCTCGTCCTCAATTTTCACTTCAGCAGTTGCTTTTTCCTTGTCGATTTCATCTTCCTTATTTGGAATATCTACGTTTTCTTGTTTGTTAAGTTTGTTTTCGCGGGATTCTTTTGACTTGCCCCTTCTCCATCCTGTCGCCGGTCTTGGAGCTGTTTTTGCCGTCGATTGTTCGCTCTCGATGCCCGTGGGATTCTCAATAGCTTTCGGCGCGTCGGTCCCTATCTCAGCGGTATTTTTCAAGTTGTCGGTGTTCGTTGCTGAATCGCTTCGCATTCGAATGTCAGCACTCGTCCCTTGCTCGTCAGTGGATGTCATTTGAGAGATCATTGCTGCGGCAACCGCAGATGGCGTGCTTGTCTGACTCGAACTCTTTTGGGAACTTTGGTTAGAAGAAGTGAGTGCTTGCTGAAGTAAACGCTCCTCCTTCTGAATCTCAATTTCCAGTCGTTCCCGCTCGTTTCCACCTTCCTGAGCCAATATGAGAAACTCAGATTTGTCACGTTGCATTGCATCGAACTCGTCCTTGCTTTGCCTAAAAAAATGAGATTTTTTTTTAATTCCATGGATTCTTCAATTACCTCAACACTGAAATAAGAACGTATCGTTCAGTATCTTCCGGCGAGAGCTTTGTTCGATTCTTAAGAGTCTCGCCATCTTCGATTTGAAGAGAATTTGGGATTAGTCCGCACATAAACTAAAAAAAAATGATATTCGAAATTAGATAACTTAATTTGAAATTAATGCCTCGATCATTTGAAGAGCCTGAATCTGAAGCTCGATATTCTTGCGCATCATCATTGGCACAAAGACATTGTAGTTTTGTGCAGCAGCAAGTGGCTCCAGTGAGATCTTAAAATAAGGTTATTGTTTTTTTTTTCAGGTTCGCTTCTGCTCGAATTTCAGAAAATTTCCAATGAAAGATTGGAATCATTGATTTCAACCAAATATATATATATATAATTGTTTTCTTCACCATTTTATATTTGTTGTCGTTTTTTGCGAAAATGTCAATTTTTAGAATATCTCGATAGTTCTTGACACATTTTTTCGCGCTTATTGATTTTCAATGTGCGAATTGTTCAGACAGACGTTTTGCAACATTGCCGAGAAAACGAGAATAGTTTACTGTACAATATTTTTCTTTTCATTGTAGTGGTTAGTCGCCCACACGGGTTGTCGCGGCTTTTTGTTTCTAAACTCTGATGTACTTGGTCTCAAAGCGAAACTTTATATTAATTTTTTTTACCGTATTGATTGTGCATTAATTATTATTTTTATGACAATTTTAATAAATGCTTTTATTGCACTCAAATTGATATTGAGGTTGAATTACGCTGTTCATTGTCAGTATAATTACTTTCGATGTGTGTTTTTTATTTTCAATTTTTAGCTTTTAATTTTAGAATGGATCCCGTACAAGCGATCATTCAACAACAAATCAGTTCAGGCACTTTTATGCAGAATCTTAACGTTAATACTGTATCAAATTATGACGAAGAGGAGGTTGAAGAGCAAATCGTTGGAAAGGTATGGTTTTAGTTGATAGAACATGAATGAAAATGCGTGGATTCAGGGAAAGCGCGGAAATATTCTTCCAATTTGGGGAAACAAGATGACTATGAATCTGAACACGCTACTCCTTGAGAATATTCGAGAAAGCTATTATTATAAAAACAATTTGATGGAGATCGATACATTTCAAACAATTATTGAACAAATTTTTTATCAGGTATTACTTCATTTGAAAAATAAGCAGATTGATATTGAGTTTCGTTAGGTAAAACACCTGGAACCATGGGAGAAAGGCACTCGACGAGTGCAAGGAATGACAGGAATGTGTGGCGGAGTGCGCGGCGTCGGTGCTGGAGGGGTTGTCAGCTCAGCATTTTGTATTCTCTATAGATTGTTTAATTTGAAAATTACAAGGTTCCTTGTGCCAAATATTAATGATTGAATCATCAACTACCTTATACAGAAAACAGTTGATCAGTATGCTAAACAGTCGCCAATCTGTGTATATTCGAGGCCTTGGATTCATGTACATTCGGTTTTGCCAACCGCCCACTGATTTGTGGTATTGGTTTGAACCATATTTGGTAAGTGAGAATGGATTTTTGAATATTTTCAATATAAATTGTTAGGACGACGAAAGGGAGATTGACCCGAGAAGTGGCGGAGGTGATTGTATGACATTTGGTCAAATGGTTCGATCGATGCTTAATAAGCTGGATTGGTATGGTACATTGTTTCCTAGGATCCCAGTTCCCATCCAGGTACAATTCTCTGTTCTCGTGACTGATAATGTAATATTAAAAGTTATTGATTCAGAAAGAAATCGATGAGAAGTTTGCTGAGCGTAAAAGACAATTGATTGAAGAAGATGAACAATGGAGAAGGAAAAATGAAGGATCATCAAAAGTTGAAGTTCAAGAATCCAAGTATTGAGATGTAGAAAAGTGTTGGAAAAAAATATTTTATTCAGAAGACCTGAAGAAAATATTGTTTTGCCAAAGGTAACCCGCTGTGGACACCATTTGAGACATCATCACTGTCACAAGCACCGAAAGAAGTGCTCAGAAAAGAGAAAGAAGTATTCAACAAAGTTGTTAAAAATTCACTAGAATTTTTAGATTGCGACAAGAGAAAAACGAAGTGAAAAAAGAATGACGAATAAATTTTCTTGTTGGTTATTTATTGTATAGTAATATTTATTTTTACCAATGTTCTAAGCACGAAATTAATTATTTTTCAAAAATAAATATTTGTCAAATATTTGGGAATTATTGAAATTTCTTTCCAGTTCTTGTTGGAATTTCTATTTTTCTTATTCAACTTACTCTTTGACGAAGAGTCAAATTCTGTTGATCGAGAATTTTCAAAGCCTCTGTCAATTTTTGGGGAGTTGTTCCGCTGTCGTCGCAGAAACATTCGATCTAGAAATGTGTATTCCATTAGCTATTATTAAATTTTACCAAAGTATCAATTAGATTGGAATACTCCTTATGAATGTGTTCATAGACTTCAGTTTCCATTTGTTGACGATCAAAAACTAAATAAATGAAGTGTACTCGCGGAAAATTAAGAATGAGTTTACCAGTAGAGCGGTCCTCTATGAAGCAAGCGACTGGAATGTTCCAGATCGACGAAGAAATGAATTCAAGAAATTTGTCGAGTAGCTTTTTCTTCTCTTTTGCTTCGGATTCTTCCGCATTTTTTGCACGTTTTGATGAAAAGCGTTTAAGCATTTTAGACCCCTTAAATTGTAAATTTTGTGTTCGTTCTAAAAATTCTCTTCTAAAACAATTACAGAAGTACTTTCAACTATAAATGATGACTCTGTGAATCAAATTAATTTTCATTAGAAAATGCTGAATCGTACGAGCTGTTTAAATCAATCCTCGTTCATCGTAAATCAGGTAATTGAATATTAATTGAATAAATAAACAGATTTTATCAATTCCTATTATTAAACCTCTACAAGTAAAATTCTGGTGCACATAAAAAAAAAACAGATATTGTTTTCTCTGATAACAAAAACCAAAAATGTGACAAAATTCGGCATACGGAATCGACCTAATCCGGCGCGAAATTCTGTTTTATCCATTTGTAAATTTTTTTTTCAGGATCCAATTGGTTTTGAGCTACCAATGTTGTTTTAAGGCTGTCATTTACAAGAGATGAACGTGTTTGCAACAGAATGAAGTTTGGAATGATTCTTCATTTACAATTAAAAACAAAATGGGGTGTGAAACGCGATTAATAGAAAACAATAATCGTAATGTTTTTGGAGGCCGTTGTCACGGTGACACAATGCCTCACATGCTGGTGTCTAGTTGTCGGGCTTTTCGTCAATGATGAATAGAAGTTGAGTAGATTATTTCGCCAGTGTCAGAGATTTCAAAGGCTTCTACTTCATATTCGAGCAGAAAGTAGAACGGCTTGCGATTGATTAATAACGGCCTTTGATCTACAAAACGGGAAATTATAATCAAAAACTGAAATAGGTGAGTAAAAAATATCATGATGGTGAGAAAATTTCATTTTCTCAGAAAATATTTCCGTTCCAAAAAAAGTATTTTATGGTCCTTTAATTTTAATTTGTTGGTTTTAGTTGAGCTGTTTATTAAGCATTTTTTATCAGCCGACTTAAAACACAATCGATAATCTCGTTTTTAAAATGAATAATCTGGGGGTAAATTTTCCGCGAAAGTGCAAAGACACAACCTCAACCAATAGATTAAATATCTTTATGATGTCATCAGGTTCTTCTATTTTTAATATTGTCTATAAATATGATTATTTAAGCCTGTATCTATTGCAAAAATATTCCGGAGTCCGTGTTTTGAAGTAAGTTTCACAAGGATTTTTTAATTGAGCCACATTAATTCATAAATAAGGGCTTAATAATAAAATGCGTCAGAAAAATCTAAAGAGATTAGATAAGGATTAAAAATTCTCGGCTCATAAAGATCAGATTTGAAAAATTTTTTGCAGTTCAGATTTATATTCAAAGCTTTAAAAAATATCAGAAAAGCATTGTTTAAATTAAGGACTGTCCAATTTACCTGTAAATTTAAGAAATAGAATCAGAATATAGCCAATGATTATGGCAAGTCGACACCGCATTCTTCCGCCATCCAATCTGTTGCATAACTGTGGAGGCGTAGTGAAATCACGCACCTTTGTTTTCAGATAGCGCACGATTTCATTGTTCTTTCATTCACGCGGAAAACGATATTATTATATTATGTATCGTTAATGTGTTGAATAAAAAAAACACATAAGAATAATTATGGCAGTAAAAATCGAAAGAAGTGGTAATTAATTTGTCAATACGAGAATTGACAATATTCATTGTTCCCGCTTTTTCATACATATTCTTTCAATATACATTTGAAGATTTTTGCTTTATTAGTTTCTAGGTCTTACTTTGGACAACACAATATATAAAAATTAAAACAATAAATTAAAATTTATTTGAATATCAAAAAAAATGGAACAAAATCGAATTTTTGAAAGATTTAGGCATTTTCTAATCTTTTTTGTATAGAAAAACGTATTTAAACAAGACAGATTTTAAAATTTCCCAATTATCTTCATAAAAATTTCATATTTTGAACAAGCGCTCTTTATCGCGAATTGCGCTCATCTCGAAAAAGGCGCCAACAAAGAGCAGTTGGCATGTTTGGCGATATCGACATCCGAACCGGAACGGTGTTCTTTATTCTCCTCTCATCACCCATTAAATTGATCGTATCGCTTTTAAACGGGTGAAAACATAATTAGATATTCAGTATAAAATGCAAGCCAAATCTCAGAGCGTTCAATTCGTATTAAATTATATTGTGAAAATATCCGTGAACTTTTGAAAATGATGTTTTGAGAAACCACTTCTTATTTCCATAGTAATCGTAAAATTTTGATTTCCTAGCAGAAAGTGAGTTTGAATCTGGTTTTCCCCACTTAGATCATTTATCGATTTTCTATTTGGCCGATTATTGTTGACCAAACTCTTCCTGTTGTTCTAAACATAATGTGCAAAATACATAAACACGACTGCTGATTGCGTGTTGTTTGGTTAAAATATTGTATTTCTATTTTGAAAATTGTTCAGAGGGTTAGCTATATTTCTATTACAGTGTATTCCAAAAGAGATCTTGATTTGGACGTTCTCAATTCATCATCATTCGGAACCGCATCGTTTTTTGAGATGAGTTCCCGCAGCTCGAGCAATGTTTCATCCAACAAGATGAGAATTCGCTCATTTCCAGTAGGAACATTTTCAAAAGTACTTATAAAAAGCTTAACTATTGTAGACTCACATGGATGAACACTATGTGTCACAAATCTGGGATCTTCTAAAACGAGCAATCGAGGAAATTCAGCGAAAGAATAATTCCGGCTTGAGTTTTGAGGAGCTTTATAGAAATGCGTACACAATGGTAAGAATGAGTGGAAATTTCGATAGGAGACGCTCAAAAATAATTCATAATTTTCTCTCAAAAAATTGTTCTATTTGACAAAAAAATTATGAAATAATTTTAGGTCCTTCACAAACATGGCGAGAAATTATATAATGGACTGCGGGAAGTTATAATCAGCCATTTATCCGAGGTGCGATATTGCCAATTAAATAAACTTGTTTCAATTGATATTTATTTAAAGGTTAGGGATCAGATTGTAGCGTCAATGGATCAAGGTAACTTCTTGGATTCACTCAACGCGGCTTGGACAGATCATACCGTTGCGATGGTTATGATTCGTGATATTTTAATGTATATGGATCGTATTTATGTTAAACAAAATGGCCAGGAGGTCTTACCAGTTTATAATCTTGGGCTTAAATTATTCAAGTAATCGCTTATTTTGTTGTATTTTAGAAAAAATAATGGATCATTTTAGAGAAGAGGTGCTGCGACAAAATGGGATTGGCGAATGTTTGCGAGCGAATTTATTGAATCTCATCAATCTTGATAGAAAAAATAACCAAATCAGTTGGTATGTGAAGATTTTTAGAATTAACTAATGCAGATGCGATGTAGGGGTGGAATTAAATCAACATGTCGAATGCTTATTGATTTGGGTCTTGACAATCGCCGAACTTATGAAGAAGAATTTGAAGAACCGCTACTGAAGGTTGAATGTGCTAAAAAAATAGAGCGCATTTTTAATTTTTATTCTAGGAAACCGCTGATTACTATCGCGAAGTTTGCAATAAATGGCTTTCGGGTGAAAATGATGCCTGCTATTATTTGTCAAGAGTGCGCATTTCTTTTTCTTTTCTCAAATAAATTACCCATTTCCAGGTGGAGAACTGTATGCATGAAGAAGCCACTCGAGCTCATCGCTATTTGGATTCAGAAACGGAGGCTAAAATTTTACGGGTATTGGATGGTCAAAACCCATTAAAAATCAATTTTATGATTTTATGTAATGGACACCGTTATGGTTGCTGAGCACATGAACACCATTGTATATATGGATAATGGTGGAGTGAAATTCATGCTTCAACATAAGAGAATCGAGGATCTCACAAGAATCTTCCGCATTTTCAAGAGAATCAAACCAAATGATCCTGTCGAATCTGGTCTCAAAGTTCTTCTCAAAGCCATTAGCGAGTGAGAATTTTTTCGAATTCTCTGGCAAATTGAAAATCAATCGGTTTCGAAAATATTTTCATTTTCAATCGAAATCGAATATAAGTTAATCTGTTTGGAGTTAAATTTCAATCGATTACGATTTAAAAAATAAATATAAGAAATGAATCAATCGATTTCGAAGATTTTTGAATCGAAACCAAGTCTTAAAATCGTATTTAAACTCTTTCTTAATCAAATCTGGTTAATTTATGTTTAGTTATTTGAGCCGTTTGATTTTCATTTGCCTGAGTTTTTTTCCAAAACTTTCCAAAGAACTTGACTTAAATTAATATTTATTTTAGGTATTTAACCGAAACTGGTAATGCAATTGTGAAAGATCCAGAACTGGCTAAGAATCCTGTCAATTTTGTCGCTGTTCGTTATATTAATTATCCCATTTGATCCAATTATTTTTTTTAGGAGCTTCTCCAACTTAAAGATTACTTCTCGACTCTTCTGACGACCGCTTTCAGCGACGAACGTGAATTCAAAAACAAATTCCAGCACGATTTTGAATCGTTCATTAATTCGAACAAACAATCGCCTGAATATGTTGCCTTGTACATGGATGATATGCTCAAGAATGGCATGAAATGCGTTTCGGACGCGGAAATGGATAATCGACTGGATAATATCATGATACTCTTTCGATATCTTCAAGAAAAAGATGTGTTTGAAAGGTAGTTTTCCATTACCCATTTTTCAATTTAGGTTTTTGCTAAAAATTGATTTTCTTTCAGATATTTCAAACAACATCTCGCCAAACGATTGTTGCTCGATAAATCGTGTTCCGATGACGTTGAGAAGGCGTTGATTGGAAAATTGAAAACTGAATGCGGGTATTTCATGGTGCCTCTTAATTATTGACCGAAACGGCCAATTTTCAGTTGCCAATTCACGCAGAAGCTTGAGAGTATGTTCAGGGACAAAGAGTTGTGGGCTACGCTGGGAGCTGCGTTCCGTGATTATCAGAATGATAATCCTGCTATTGTTGCCCAGGTATGTTTCAAGCATGTTCGGAAAATATGAAAAGAAAATAAAGGTTATCAAAAGTTATAAAAATAATCAATAAATTGTCGAAACGCGACCGTGACGCCTCAAATATAACTTCGATATCTCGTCGCGACTATTTCTATTTTTGAAACCGTTTTATTTCTCAGACAATGACTATTTTCTGATTCATCAGAGGTTATATTTTAGTTTAATAATATAAGGATAATACCCACTGACACTTTAATCGAAATATAGTCAGCATTCCGCTTTGTACCGGTAGATTTTCTAGCACATGCTAATTTTCTTGCTTTATTCTAATCAATATCCAATTGTCCAAGTTCTTGAAGCGAAAATGGTTGTATCTGTTTTTTTTCCGGATCGGATATATGAAAACCTTATTAAACTTCTATTTCAGAAATATGCTGGAATCCAGAGCTCTCCAATTGATATCAACGTACGTGTACTTACTGCTGGAGTATGGCCAACACAGCAATGCAATCCAGTTGTGATCCCAGCTGAATGTCACGCGGCATATGACGTAGTGTTGAATTCTAATTAAAATGTATTCATTATTTTTTCCAGCTCTTTTCAACTTTCTACACCGCCAAACACAATGGACGCAAACTGAGCCTGAACACATTGCTAGGAAGCGCCGATGTGAAGGCAACCTTCTATCCTCCGCCAAAAGGTTCATCGGCTTCGGCGAGTGCTGAGGAAGTAAGAAGAATATCTTTAAGGTAAATCTTTAAATGCTAAATTATAGTCTCAAAATGCGCCTGGACCATCGACTGCACCGCCGTTGGGCAAAGCCGAACACAAAATTCTGCAGGTTAATACTCATCAGATGATAATTCTGTTGCATTTCAACTATCGTGCTCGATGTACCTATCAAGAACTTTTGGTAAGAAGTTTCCTTAATCATAGGCACCTCTTACTATTCAATGATCTATAGGATGATCTTCAAATACCGGAGAAAGAGTTGAAGCGCAACTTGCAATCGCTAGCCATGGGAAAACCATCGCAAAGAATTTTGGCGCGTAAGGGAAAGGGAAAAGATATTGGTGAGTGATTTAAAGATTTTTTGAAAAAAAAAATTTTTTCTAGACAAGCTTGATGAGTTCTTCGTCAATGACAGCTTCTCGTCGAAATTGACTCGTGTCAAAGTGCAAATGGTTTCTGGTAAAGCGGAAACTGAGCCCGAAATCAAGGAAACTCGTGGAAAAGTCGAGGAAGACCGCAAATTGGAGGTCGAGGCGGCGATTGTCCGTATCATGAAGGCTCGCAAACGTTTGGATCACAATAATCTAGTCACTGAGGTAGTTTTATACGAAGAAATATTCACACATTGAAATATCGCATCAAAACTAATGGTGCCGATTTTGGAGAAAAGACTAGAAAAAAAACGATAAAATCCCTTATAACTCATTTTCTATGAGTTGTCTTTTCAAAATCTGCTGCGCAAATTATCAAAATTAGCAAGAAAACGTCTATTGAATACTCCTTCGGAAAAAAATAAATATTAAAAAAGGAAACGATAATTTGGTTTATCAAAATGTTGTTTAGGTCACGCAACAATTGCGTCATCGCTTCCTGCCGAATCCAGTCGTGATCAAGAAGCGAATCGAAACATTGATTGAACGCGAATATTTGGCTCGTGAAGAATCGGACCATCGTCTCTATAGATACATTGCTTAAGCACCATCGAAATAAATGTGTTTGTATCAAATTTTGGCGATACTGAACTTTTTTCTTAAGTTCAATTCAACGAAACTCATGTGTGTATGTTTTTTATTTCGATTTTTTCGTCAGTGTTAATTAAGTCTTTATTTTTTCGCTTACTGGGCTCTACCGCAAAGCTGGTGTTCTGGTTTTCAAATACGTGCTTTTCCCCGTTTCCCTCGTTCGTTTATTCTCAACAATTAACCGCATTTTAAATCCATTGAAAATCGAGTTCTCTTCGGTTTCCTGTCATTTGTTCCCATCCGCTGAGAATTTTGTATTTTTTGGTTACGTATGTGTTTCATTTTTTTGGTGTTCAATTTCTATTTCGGTCTTATTTCATTTATTTTCGGTTGAAAATATTATAATTTCTAAAATTTTGAACTTATTTCATTCTTTTTAAAAATCTTCTTTATTGCCTATTCTTGTGCACACTAATTTATTGATAATTTTTCTGTAACTTCTGTCCAAAACCCACCAATACCGTCGCCCCTCGCCATTTTTTGGTGATGATTTTGAAGATTCATTGACATTTGTGTAAAAATAACGTTTTTATTGGTTTGAATTTCAATAAAACAGTATGGTGTACGAAAAGGAAACGTGTTCGTTACAGTATTCCAAAGGCGCATACTTTTTTTCGACGAGAATGTCTTGGATGGATTTCGTTTTGTGTTAGTAGCAGCTTTTTGTTCGTTTATTCTTTTTTTTAGATTTTTTAAAATTCTAATTCAATATTTAAAAAAAAATTAAGCACTTTCTTTTTATATCGTTCGGGGTGTGTTGATCCGTTAAAGATAATTATGGCTAAAATTGATGAAACTTGAACAATAGCTAATTTTTCGGAATGAGCGAAATAAAATAATCGGGTGAAATATAATTATATGGTATATTTAGAGAAAATTATGAATATAGCTATTAAAATATTATCAAGTTTGCGATGAATGTTTGTTTCAAAGCGATTCCGACACGCTAAGATAACAGAAAGCGGAAAAAATGAATGAAACATTAAAAAATAGTCGAGAACCGGTTTGATTTTCCCACTTTCGTTCGAATAGCTCATAAAAATTGCGGACGCACAAAACGCGCGCTAATCGCATTTTTCAAATAACACATTTTCTTGAACATTTTTTTCGTCGGAATTTGTTTGATTCGAGTTCAATTGAAAAAAAAAACGCAAAAAATAAAGAGTAAGTTTGAATTGAACATTGTTGTCCTACACTCGAGTTTTCCGTCTGCCTCTCCATTCGTTCTCGCATCTTTCGCCCCTTTTGCTGCCTCATTCTCTCGAAATATATTTGTATGTATTTATTACGTTCAGCTGTTTTGCCGGCATCTCAATTTTTATTTGATTTTGACTTATTCAAACGTTTACTTAAATTGCTTTATAATTTCAGAGTTTGCATCCGGATGCAATAAGGCATGCAGGTTTGTCTTCAAAAATACCTACGAAATTAATTTTCTAAATTAGTTTTTTTTAGTCGGATGATCCTGCCTACTTAACAGTGGGCACAGAAGTCAGTGCGAAATTTAAGGGAGCATTCTGTGAAGCAAAAGTTAAAAAAGTCACAAAAAGTATTAAAATAAAGGTAACGATTTTATGTTATTAATTTTTTTATTGGTTTTTATACCATTTTAGGTTTTATTAAAAGAAGCACCGTTTGGAAGCATTGTAGTTGATGATTTAGCGATTCCAAAGACAGCTAAAATTGAATTAAATGAGGTTTTTTTTTCTTATTTTTAAAAACAACTTCAATTTTGTTCAGTTGGTTGACGTGACACAAGGAAAACAGACATTTCGCGCTGTTATTCAGCATATAAAGGACTGTAGCAAGTATCACGTTGGTATGTTGGATTTAAATCAAAAATATTGCGAAATCCATTAAAAAAATTTTAAAAATTCAAATGATTTTCAGAAATTCGAAATAATATATTTCAACTCCGATTATTTCATCATTTTTATTGGTTTTTCATTGAAGAAAATCTTCAAAAAATATACTTAAAATGGTTAACTAATTTCCGCGGCGTGGAAAATAACATATTTTTTTTGTTATCGGAAAATTCTCGAAGAAAAACGGTCTACACGTAATATTGACAGAACTGTTCAATTATTTTCACAAAATGCACCATAAAATTTTTGATTTTCAGTTTTCAATGATGGCGACGAGAAAGAATTAAGACGTACCCAACTCTGCTTAAAAGGTAAGTTTTATATTAAAATTTCAAACCGAAAAGAAATGCGCAAAAATTCAAATAATTGAAATTTCTATTAAACAAAAATTGTAATCCCAACTTTTCGATTTTAATTTACACACGTATCTACCAAAAAGCAAGACATTTAAAAATGTCTCATTTATATTGTTGAGACAAAAAATGGCTAAATGCCAAAATAAAATTAAGGAGAGGTGTTTTGTGGTGTGCGCCTTCAATCATTTGTTTTTTGGCATTAAGCCAATTTTTTGCAAATGCGCGACGCCATCAATTGATGAAAATAAAATTTGAAGCGTTGTAATTATAGGCGGTAAACATTTCGACGCTGCCGGAAACCTTGATGCCCTTCCATTGTACAATCCAGAGCAATTCAGCAATCCTGTGGTGAGAAATCTTGTCGGAAAAGCCAAGTTAAAACAAAAGTATGGGTTTCGATTTTGCCACGCTCGAGCCATATAAGCAATTTTTAGGCGAAAAGGCGACGAATCATCTCCATCGCGACGAAAAAAGCGAAAAGACGAGGATGATGATGAGGAAAGCGACGAAGACGGCGGCAGACGACGTGAAAAACGTGCAGCGGCTTCAGCGGCCAGTGTGGCGATTGGTGAAATGAATCAGGTACCAATTTGACATTTCTGTTCATTCATTTTTATTCGCCATCGGCTTCAGGGCGTCGAAACGCAAAGCGAAGAGTCGAGTGCCGATTCAAGCGAAGAGAAGGAACGAGAAAAGGAACGGAAAAGAAAGCGTGACGAGGAAAAGGTGCGATATTCTTTCAAAATTTGCGAAATTCGTTTTTTTTATTTGGTTTCTCTTTAGGAAAAAGAACGGGAAGAAATGGAAAAAGAGAAGCTGAAAAAGCAGCAGGAGGAGAAAAAAGCGAAAGAAAAGGCGAAACTTGAGAAAATCTCTAAACATATTTCAAGCATTGCCAATGCCAAGGTAATTTTTAAAATAGAAACTGGCAGAGGAAAATTAAAAAATGGCCTTTATCAAAATCTGTAACTAACGTTTTTATTAGCTTACAAAATGCTATTGATTAGGAACGGCTTGACAAAACGTAACTCTTTGTTAATCTATCAGTTTGGTTCAAGAGATCAAATCATAATTACGCAAAATTAGTTAATTACAATCGTGTTAATTCGCAAAAATTGATGTTTATCACGGTTGTGGTGAAGTCCTCGTTGACGTCGTCGGTTATCACAATATTCAGTTTTTGCTTGTTTTCATTACTTAAAGAATTGAGAAAACGAATCGTTGCTTCGCGAGAAGGTCGCCCGAATTTTCGTAGTAAAGATGTGGAAAAGTTGCGAATCTGAGAATATGCATATGAAACTGTGAAATCTCATCTCATTGGGCTTCTTACAACGTCGCCAGTACTCGCTGTCAATACTCCTTGAAGTACGTATAGTCGTGGCTTCTCTTTCGTTTTTTCAATTTCACTTTCCATAAATTGAAGCAAACGCGAGAGTTTGTTGGTTTGTGGCCATCTACTTATTATATAAGTGTTTGGATTGATCGCATTAAAAAAACAGGCCTTGAATGGACCGAAAATTATTAACCTGCAAATTCAAACCGTTGTTTGTGGCATGATTATAAACCACCTCCGGTTAGCCGAAACCATTTTACTAAGTGTCACATAGGTGTAGTCGGACTCAATTGGCCAAATCAAGTCCTTGTCGATTAGTTTGAGCATGGGATGTGCAAAATAGCTAGCAAATTCCGGCGCGTTCATTCGATAGACATGATTTATATCAAGAATTACGATCTAAAATTTGGTATTAATCAGATTTAAAAAAATATTAACTTCTTCTGGATTCTTGTTCAAAAAATCGGTGATTTCCACTAGAAATTGTGGTGCTGATACGCCGTATAAAGCGTGCACTATTTTGACGTTGTTGAAATCGCCTTCCTCGACATGTTTTCGAATGAGTTCGAACCGAACATCTAGGTAGCGAATCCCAATATTGAGTTGGTCTGTGATGGAAAGTCTAAGCGATTCGTATTAGAGTGTGGTTTTTTCGAAATTATTACGTTTGAGTTTCCGACCAACGCTTTATGATCGTTCTTGATCCATGCAGCTTCGATAAACGTCGCAACATCTTCCACATCGGCTGATCATGACCAGTTGGTTGAGAAGTCGAGAGGTTGTAGGCTCCAGAATCATGAGATCCTATGCGATTAATTATTTTGAAAACTGAAGCTGGCTCCTACCTGGAATGCATAGCGTTAGAATAGACTGTTGCTTCAGTTCATTTGGCAGCCTACTCATCCAGTTATTCATTTTCTTATATACTCCTGAATATGGTTTTGGTATAAATATGGATTGTGCAACAGAGCAGATTTGCACAAGCGAAATATCGAGAAGCTGAAATTACGGTATAATCTTTAAAATTTTTGCAGAATTTTGTTGTTGGTAGTTCCGTTGTGATTTTCGACGATTCGGCATTTTCAACAAGGATTATGGAATTGTATGAAACAGCCTATCAAATACAAGCAGTATGTTTGTTGTTTTTTTTCAATCATTGAAATGAAAATATAAGAAAATGTGTGTATTTTTTCTTGAAGGATAGGCGCTCAACCACTCCGGATAATCCATCGACGTCGACAGCGAACCTGCACGTGAAAGTATGCCTTCCTGCGAGCGCTTTTCCAATTTTTTACAAGAAACGTTGGACACCGGCGGTTTGTGTTTCGGAAAAAGCGTACCGTCAACATTCGGGAAACGATAGTGACGTGAAACCCGATGATGTATTGTTGAAACGATTCTCTGATGGAAAATAGTAAGAAAATAGTTTTTTTTTTCCAAAAAAATTGAATGGCATTGTTGAAAATGTGAAATAATTGCAGTGTAAAAAGAAAACGAGAATTTCTTGTCCCATTCTCGATATTGCCGACATTTTCGAAAAAGAAGCTGGAGGAAATGCGCGAGAACTATAAGGATTATGACCACATAGTTGTTATGGAGACAGCGAGCTCGTACTTTGAGGATGAGAAACTGCCGAAGGGATGGTCGCTGAATGAAATACGCGGCGGGATTAAGAAGGACAAAAAGGCATTCTATTAATAATAATGTCATTCTTGGTGTAATCTTGATTATTTTAGACTAAAGAGAAAGAATCGAAAAAGAATGGCGATGAGCAGCAGCCGGAGAAAGGGGACGGAGAAGACGATGAGGAGGCGGCGGAAAGGTATGATAATGAACACAATGCTGCGCACTCAGCCTTTGATTTTTTTTGGTGGATATATGTATTGTGAGACGGCTAGAGACGCATGTTGTAGACCAATTATTGAGTGTTATGGAAAAATCTAACAATGAATCACGCGAATTGGGAATGTGCGTTTCAAAGAATTCGCCATTCCGCTTTTATAGTGTTAATTTTCTAATGAGAAGATAACTTGCGTTCTGGGAATTGAGTAATGTAGAAGGTAAAGACTATGGAGCTCTTTGAGAGGAAAAAACAACGAATTGTAGGAGTTGACACAAAATGAACAAAAATACAAAAATAATTCTTAGAGCTTCGTCATGAACAATTAAATATATTTGTTTTTTTTTCTTTTCATGGAATGATCAAAAATTACTAGCGCGGGCCATCGTAATAATTCAACCTGAATGTTATCAATTGAAAGTTTTACATGCATTCGAGTGTTTTGCTCATTTAAAAATAACCTAAATATTGTGATAAGGCATACAAATAAACATGTTTTCCGGGATTGTCCAAACAATTTTCATTACAGCAATGCTGACGGGGAAAGTTCGTCGAGTGAAAGTGATTATGATCCGTCGAATGAGGATCGTGATCTGTTCATTGCCCAATTGCATAAGTTTCATGAAGAGCGAGGTGCGAATTTGAATACAATTTCCAACATGTAACTTTAATTTTAAAGCTTCTCCTATTAATCGGCCGCCGGTTCTTGGCGGGAAAGACATTGACTTATACCATCTTTATCGACTGGTCCAAAGTCGCGGCGGAGCTCGAAAAGTGACGGCGAACAGTAAATGGGGTGCCCTCCTTAAAAAGCTCAAGCTCAACGGGTGTCCTGGAGCGAATGCAGCGACACTCAAGAAAGCGTATGTGCGGTATTTGGAGCCGTACGCGAAATTCGAGGCGGATCTTGGATGGTCGATCGACGGAAAAGCGACCGAAACATCCTCTGGCAGCCGTAGCGAACGGGTAGTTCCGAAACCAGGATCATTGCGAGAATTTGAGAGAAAGGTCTACACATACGCAATTGATAAACTCTTTAAAAATTTGATTATAGTTTAAACGGAAAAACGAGACCAAAGTCGGACGGCGGGCTAAAGACATTGACGAGACGAAAAGCTTGAGGGGCTCTAAGGAAGGTAGTCGGGATCCTACCGCTAGGGATTATCGGAGTCAATCGCCGACAGATTGGGCGTTGAAGCGATTGTCGGACTCGTCGAATCTGTCGGTTATACGTGAAGAAGCGCGATCTGTGATTGAAGAAGCTCGGAAGAGGATTAATCAGGTACGTTTATCAATTTTTATTAAGACGAGTTGAACGGCGAATTTTAGTGTCGACGCGAGGATTCTGTTGGTCCTTCACGTCGATTCTCGATGTGCAAAGATGCGCTTTTACGGAAGGATGCGCGGTTGGCACGGGATAAGCGATCACAATCAGTGTTATACAGTGCTGATGATTTTAAACGGGAACTTTTACGGTCGGCCGATTCTGGAGAAGACACGGACGATGCGCGGAAGCGCAAAGAAAAGAAACGAATGACGAAAAAGGCGGAACGGAAGCATGTGATGAGCTCGAGCAGTGATCAGAGTGGCGATAAAAAGGATCCCGATGAGGGATTCCAATTATCGAATATGTGAGAATTTTACATTATATTGAAATGTATTAACAATTTTCAGAATTTCGCATTTTTACATGGGCCAGAAGGTACGTGCTCATCATCAGGATCATTGGTACGACGCCCGGGTTGTTGAGATTCATCAACCGAAGTCGATTGATATCTTAGAGCAGCTGAAGAAGGGTGACAATGTAAATTTTGTTTGCAATTTTCAGATAAATACTCATTTTTTTTTTAGCCCGAAGCGCTTACCGATGAAGCCGTTACGGAACTGAATCGGCTCTCGAAAACATTGAAATGTTTTGTGCACTATCTCGGCTGGAATTCGAGGTATGACGAATGGATATCGCTCGCGAAATTGAAAATCCACGAGAAGGATCAGCACAATTCGAGAAATATGATTCGAGATCTGCCCGGCGGCAAATACTTGACGAAACATCGATTCGCGTTGGCTGAGACGTGTTGTCCTGGTGTTGGAACTGATTTGAAGTTTGAACAGGTCTTAGAAAACGTTGAGGAAACGTTTACACGGCATCCGTTGGAAGAAACGCCGGTAGAAAATAGTTTATGTGGATTACATGTATGTCATATATCGTTTTAGCCGAAAACTAGTCCACCTGCATCAGTAATGTCGCCAAACTCGAATAATGCACCGAATGAGGTTCCGATTGAGGTAAGAGATTTGAATTAGCTCAAAATAAGCATAATCGAGTTTGCTACCAATTATCGTTGAATGTACGTGTAATGTACGAATAGAACAGAACCAATAGAATAGAATAAATTAGAAAGTGAGAATGTTGGGCAGGAGGCGCAGCGTATGACAGTATAGCGAATTGATGTACGTGCGTTTATTGAAATGTTCGCATTGAGTAGCTTTCAAAAACTCATATATATTTGATATCCTAGAAAATAGGGTTTGTAGAAAACTGCTAATTCGATTTATTATACTTTTTTATACATTTGAAAGTTCAATATTTTCAGGCTCCTTCAATTTCACGACCTGGCATCGGAATTTCATTTTCGACCTTCATGTCTCAAGTGGTAGGAACGATGATTTTTCGGATAATGCTCATCTTAAAATTGATTCAGGCATCTGGAAAAGACTCAAACCTGACTGTTCGCGACTTTGCGGCCGCTGCTGTCGGATTGGAAGCGAGAGCGCGTGGTTCGCGAATGCTTTTGAGTCCACCTGGAGGTCGAACCCAAAAGACTCTTCTTCATCAAGTATCATGTAAGAATTTAAAGTCTTGATCGTCATTAAATACTTCTTGGAACTTGTAGCTGAAGCTGGACTTCAAGCTCTTCGATCTGATCCGATGACTCGTTATGATGCCGAGAAGAAAGGAGCTGCGCCGTCGGTCGTCTCGCCACCTTTGATCTTTCCAACATCCATGACGATTATTCCGATTCCACAAGAGTCGACGACTACTCAAACTGAAGAGGAAGAGGTGAAAACAGAAGATGAAAAGGAGACAATCGTTCCATCGACGTCTTCTGATGAGCCGAGAGGTAATGAATTTCTTTACCCATTTCTGATGATGTTGAATTTCAAGGCTCCATTTCACCGGAACGTCCCGATGAGATTCTTGATTATGACGACAAGCCGAATATCGAGAACGAGGATACTGCGAAAAGTTTGAATTTTGTTAGAACTGAAAAAAAAAGATTTTTGTTATAATTTGCAGTAACTCCTCAAAAGGGTTACATCAGAGACTACGAGACACTGAGGAAAAGTGCGCGGAAGTCGACGATTGCCTCATCGACAGCATCGATCAACGCGCAGAAAAGTGAGCGAGTTACGATTAATCATATTCGACGATTAGGCATTTTTGCAGTGTCAATGGAAATGCAATCTGGTCCATTGAATATGTCGCCGGCCAAGTTTGAAATGCTGAATAATGAGATATCGCAGTTCAGTAAAGAGAAGAGTCCGAGGGCTGGAAGCGAGTATGGAATGTCACCGAAAACTGATAATGAAGGTTAGATAATGTGCAATATTTTCATTTTAATGGGAAGATTAAATTTGATTCGGAATTGTGGAGTAGTGGTCGACAATCGTCCGTTTTTAAGACAGGCGTCGATTGTAGGAAATTTGTCGAAAAAAATTATTTAAAAACTTTCGATTCGTCCTTCTCAACAATCTTTGTTAATAAAAGTCGTTGGCCGCGGTTCAAATCCCATTATTCGTCGCACAATGGGTTTTGACTCAATCGCGCTCGCCAAATGTCGACTAGTAGATAAATGTGTTTCGACTTTGTTTTTTTCCTTTGCAGGTGTCCACGAAAATGGTTCATTGCCCGACGAGGAAAGAAAAGAGTCGAGCTGTTCGCCGTCAATGGCAACACCAGAAGGAACGGGTCCGGCTGGCCGCATTGGACGCGGCGCACATTTGGCAGCGTTGCGAGGAAGTGGGAAACGGAAGAGGTATCTTGATGGGATAATAATAACACTAGAGAACTGTCGAGCTTGACAATGTAATATTCAACAGTAAATTAACATGCCAGTGGTGAATGTCGGAGTTCTTCGCCTTCCATCTCTTTTTTTATAGTCTTATATCAAAACGACCAGATGTGCGTAATGTCATGAACGCCATTTTATTCGTTCGACTCCATTTTCTTATTTCGTTCAATTCGTTCCATTTCCTGTAGGTCTATGTGAACATTTGTCTCCAAGAGTGTGTGTGTGTCTGTGTGTGAGCCTCATAGTATGTATGAGTCGACTTTGAAATTTTCTAGAGCGGCTCGCCACTCTCAAATGGTAATTGACAGAAAGTATCAGCGCGCCAGTGCGGTGAAGAAGCAGCAACAACATCAGCAACAAAACCAGCAACAGCAGCCGAATAACACTGAAATTGAAGATAATGATGGTGAAGATGATGAATGTATTATTGACTCTTTTTGCGATTCGTACTTTTCTTTTTTGCAGCGAATCCCATTCCCAAGATTGACACCTTTCATCAGATGAAGGTCCGCATGCACAAACTCATGGAGCATGAGAACTCGCTGAACGACTTCACTCTTTTGGAATTGTCAGATTTCCGTAAGTTTTTTAAAAATTTTTCTTCTTGTTTACAGACGAATTTCGTAGATTCCATATCTTTTCAAAAATTCTCGAATTAGATCTATTAATTTTAAAATATGCTTTTACGAACTTAATAAATCTCTAGCAGTCACTGTCCGCACTGAAAAGTATCGAACCAAATTCGATATTAAACACATTCTCAAACGTATGTATTTTTTCATAAATTGACACTAATCAGTAACTCATTCCCGCCGAGACCATTTTTCTAACAAGTTGTTACTGTAATGTAGATAACAGCAAATGATTTCCGATGATTAATAATAAAAAATTATATTATATTCGAAATGTGCTAATTACCAATTTAGTTACCCCTTTATTCAAAAAAATTGATTATTTTAGAAGAACTTCTCGAAAACACCCCAGATGAAAAATTGAGCGAAGCGCTCGAGAATCGAGCAAATGAGCTACGCGAAATTTATCATCAAGCAAAATCGGAACTCGTTGCAATGGAGAAGAAGAAACGGCGATTTTATGAGAAAAAACGTAAAGGAAATTGGAATATCGATATGAAATAATGGTTTTTTTAGGTGAACGTGATCGCCTTAGAAGCATGACCCCTAAAATTAGTAACAATCACAAAAATTCGGATATACGCGCTAGTTCTGTTGGTGTTTCAAAATCGAGCTCAGGTACAATTGACTCAGGAATCAGAGAGGCAACGTCTAGCCCAATAACACGTGCGGGTTCTGTTAAAATCGCTTGAAAATTGCATTAGATCATCATTTTTTAAATTAATTCGAACGATGTACCAAGTTTCACACCTTATCGCTCACAATTTCCTTGCGTTCTATTTTTATTGTTGCGATAATACAATATAGTTCTATTCATATTGATTCGTTTTTTTTTTTTCATTTATGTGCTCAATATAGTGATCTCCACTGTTTTTTTTGCCTTATGTGATTCATTTTTGCACCCATCGAGGAAAACTGATTTTATGAACTAATTTAATTTTCTCGAAACGATCTCGTATTATTTTCTCTCAATTCGATTGCTTTTTGTCTCCTTGATTTTTTTTGATTTAACCGATTTAATAATTGCTTCGAAATTTATAAAGATGATTTTACTTTATTTGAACTTGGAAATTTATAAAAAATAAATATCAGGGATGAGCGCTGCAAAGATTTGGATACTTGCAGTGCCGTGCAATAAGATGGCGAATTTTTGCGCAAATCAATTATTCATTATATTTGCAATATTCAGTTTTGAAGTGATGGATTAAAGCGCGATCCTAGACGATCCGACGATCAGGAATGTTGCTCGAAACAAAATTATTGAGCACTATTCTAAATTGTAGCTTCTTAATTCAAAGAATTCCGACGGCCGTTTGTATTTGATGTTATTTTTCTCTTGTCGTGAAGTAAGCATAATTGTGAAATTGATAGATACTGTTTCTCAAAATGTTGCTATACTGCAGACAAATATTGTGTAAAATTGTTTTTGCAGATTTTTTTAAGTCGAGTGAAACAGAAAAATGGAATTTAGAGCACGTAACAAAGATGGAACACATATAGGGATAACTGAAGAAAAAAATTGAACCGAAAGTTTTTCCAGGTTCCAAAAGGAGAGTTTTTCATCTCCACCTCCTTAAAGCAAACAAAGATTAAGAAAATATTGGGCTTCAATCCCCTGGTTATCTTGGGCTCGGCTGAATCGACAAATCTGATGTGACTTCCTCTTAATGAAAATGGACTCGGAAGTATCATAATTAAAAATTAAATCCAAAAATTCTTCCATGTCCCGAAACATGCGCTTTTCTAAAAAAAATCCTTTAAATTTTTTGTAAAATTTAAAAAAATTCGTGACTTTAATAGTAATACTAAATTACAATTGTACAGAAGATTAAGATCCAATCATGAAAACAAAAAGCAACTTCTTCAAATTTTTATCAGTTTTTGTCTTTTTCTTCATTTTTTTTCTTCTTGCTATGTTGTTTTGTGGCTGAGTTAGTTTAACAACAACGAAAAATAACTTCACGAGGCAGATTTCGTACAAACAGATAGTTCCTCCGTGAGGAGACCTTCGACCTTTATGGGCGGAGCCTCTCTGATCAACACCGATGGGAAACGGAAAGAAAATGATAAGAGAAGACACGCGACTATCGAAAAGTGTACGCAAGTAGTTGATAGATTGCCAACGAGATGAACACAATCAAACTAACCATGAAACCGAAAGGACGACGCGGGTTTGATAGCACTCTTACACACGTATTTCTTGATTCGATGCTCATTGAAACAATTTGAGACGCATTGAAATCTGAAATACAAAATAACGTATATTAAAAATTTAAATCAATGAATTTATTGAATTTCTAAAGAATTTTCGAAAACAATTAGCCTGCGCTTCAATAAATAATCTGATATCGCGACAAATTTCTCATTTGTCGAAAATCGAGAAAAACTAAAAATCTAGAATATTAGAGTAATAAATATACATTTTATTCAAATATGACAACGTCAGAATTTAATTACCATCGGTGTTACTTAAACTTTCAGAAAAAAAAATTAAAATTCATGAATTAAAAAGATTTGTTAGAGAGAAGGTAGGCAACATTAATACAGTTGTCCTTCATATTATTTTTTATGAGAATACATTTATTAAGTATATAAAATTTCATGTGTCTACTAACGAGATTCAAATTTTCAATATTTAATCCACGCTTTAAAAAAAATGTATTTTCCATATAGTTGGGGGGAATATGTATTAGTGATATGCAGATTTCGCAGAAAATCTCAAAAGTCTTGTAAAACTAGAATCGTGCTCAACCTGCATTGGATTTCTAGAGTTTTCAATGACGTTTTTCTGTTTTAGTAGTTTTTTTTTTTGCGAAACCTACATAATTCTAAAACCAGCTCATAACCATCCAATAAAAATAATTAAATTTTTCAAAAATTTACAAATTTTTAAAATGTTGGAGAATCTTCCCACAAAAAAAAACTGATAGCAATTCGATGACAAAATTTTCAAATAAAATTTGCATTTAAATAAAATAAATTTCGAATATTTGTGTAATAAATAAAACAATCGTCTTTGGATAAGTTCAACGAGGGTGCCTCTCAAATTATTTTCTATTTCGTTTTTGCACAATCGTCTTGTTGATCTTTATTTATTCGCTGCCAAACAGATGGCTGCGTCACTGCGACCTGCATGGTGTCTATAGTCGACCAATCACACATTTTCTGACCGGGTGATGTACGCAACGCAAGCGGACGAGTCGGCCGACTCCGCCCACAAAGTCCAAAGGTCTCTCGGTGCCCTTTTTGTGGAATTGTCAACGACGCTGCAACGACAATGGAATGCTCGTTAGCTAAACTAGAGTACACATTGATACTAGGAGAAAATGCAAGTCGGTTATCACCAATGGAATGAGAAAAAATGAATCGGACTCGTGAACTTGATTATCAGTAGACCTTTGGACTTTACGTTTCAAGCATTAAGACGATGGAAGAAATTTGAATTTCGGGTTATGTGGTGGCCTGAAAAAGCGGGAGCTGGAGGAATTCCACATTCTAGAATTCAATTGATTCTGAAAATTCAAAATACAAAATAATTTAAAGTTAAAAATAAAGCTTGTGAGAAAGATTTAGACAGACTATTTTATTAGGCAATTCTTGAAACATGAAAAAATAGGGAAATGAATTCTTATTCTTTTTTTTAAATCTCATTCTTCAAATAATTCATCCTTTGGTATGTGTGCGGCATTAAAGAACCCCTTCTATTTCTTGCTGTTTGCCTGTTTTTCAGATATATTTCTGATTCTCTGATGTCAGACAAATCGAATTAGTCGACTACCGTTTTATTCTTTCGACAATGTCTGTGTCCTCTCTGCCCCTGCGTCCCTAGTCGACGACCCCCGACTGTCTAACCGGTGGACTTTGCCCCGGCGCGTTGTGTTCGAGCGAAGAGATGGCGGAATGGGAGGAGGTGGATTGACACACACGCTCAGTTCCTTCGCATTATTTGCGAGGGGTACTCGATCCAATGCGATACGTTGGGGTACTGTAAATTTAGAATCCCTCTCTCTCTCGTTTTTTATCAATTTTTTTCTCAACAGTTTCGGGTAGCCGAAACAAAAAAACGAAAGATTTTTCCCGCCCTCTAATAAAGGGCAAACTCGCAAATTGATAAGAAAATGAAAATAAATTCAAAAGGGTGAGAAGTCGATTCTCTTCATTATTTCGAGAAACCCTTCACCGTCATCAACTTCATTCAATTTTTAGAGTGTTCTTTTGTTTTCAGATGACTAAAGTCGTGAGAGGAGGAAGCTATAATGTCATACATGATAACATTTCCCAACACAAGGTAAATCGAGAATCGCTATTCCGGATTCAGATTCTAATGATTCATTGTTGCAGAGATATCTCGATGACCTGATATTCCCGATTCTCACAAAAGAGGTCGTTTACTTCCTAACCCTTTGGTGTCTTCTTGAAGCTCTTAATCTCAATATTTTCAATATCTTCCAAAATTACTACATCACCATCGGAGCTTTCCTTTTTGGGTATTTCAATTCCTTCTGTTTCCAGATGCCTATTGATACTCTTTGCAGACATTCTTTGTATATGCATATCATCATGTCTACTCTTGCTGGATTAATCACAATAACCACTTCAATCTTTCTTGTTCGAACAATTCTCACCGGAATCCTCTACTATCACGGATGGTTGTTTGAGGAGGTCGGAAAGCCGCCAAGTGCCCTAACCAAGTGCTTCATGGTACAAATTTCGAAAAAGAAATCAAATTAAACCATTTTTTCGGTTCAGTTTATTGTGATGACCATCGCCAAACGCGCCACATTCTTCTCATATCAAGGTGTGCTCCCATGGCTTATTCCGCCACGTGTGTCTGACACTGTCACAAAAGTAGGAATCTCTCTCAAATTTTGAGGGTGTAATGAAACAACCGATTACAGTATCTAGCCACTATGAAGCCAATTCTTGATGATGCCGAATACGCGGAATTGTCGGATCAGGCGCGCGAGTTCGAGGCCACAATTGCTCCGGGATTGCAAAACAAATTGTGGATGAAATGGCTCATTTCCAAGAATTATGTATGTCGAAGGTCAAAAACACAATCCAACGATTGATTTTTCAGCTTTCCGACTGGTGGAAAGAGGTTGTCTATATGCGCTATCGTGATTCCCTCATTCGCACCAACGTGGGATGTGCCGATGTCATCTATCAGAAAACCACCAACATTCAAGCCGCTCGCGCTTCATTCGTGACACTCAATCGTCAACACTTCTGCTCGGACATTTTCGAGAAGAACAAAATGAAACCAGTGAGCCTCGGCGGAATTCCGCTTTGCGCTCAACAATACGCTGAGTACTACCGAACCCTTCGAATTCCATGCGAGACCTCTGGTAGGAAAACCATTAATTTTGAGGCATATTTACAAGTTTTCGTTTTCTCTTTTTAGATAAGATGATTCGTTTGCCGCCTGCAAATCATATCGCAGTATATCATAAGGGATGCTGGTATAAGATTGATATTTTCCATGGAAGGAGAATGGTAAACCCAGCGGAGCTTGAAAAGTAGGCAAATCAGTATTGGAAAAAAAAACAAATTTGAAATCGAGTCATTCAGGACGTTCCAAGCTATCATCGATGACAACAAACATGTTCCACAGAAGGGAGAGAAGTTGCTTTCTGCGTTGACTTGCGGACCACGAGAGCTTTGGGCGAGAATCCGACGCGACAAATTCAGCTCAGGCGTCAATCATGAATCGCTTTCATTCATTGAGAACTCACTGGAAATTGTGTTCCTTGATGATGAAGAACGCTATTTCGATGAGAATGACGCCTCGAAGTATGGACGGGAATACGCACGAGCTCTTACCGGAGACGGTTACATGCTTTGGTGCGACAAGCCAAGCGTCTACATTTTCAGCAAAAACGGACGAGTAAGTGAATCGTGAGGTGTGCGTTTATTTACAGAATAAATGTTACAGTTCTCATCGAATGCGGAACACTCGCCATGTGATGCTATGGTTTACGTGCAAGTTTGCGAATACGTCAAGTATCATGAGGAATTCGACAAGCCCTATGGTCCTGACGGCCATTGCGTCGGCTCGATTGAGTTCGTTCCAAAGGCTACTCGAATGTGCTGGGATTTCGATCAGGAAACTCTTGATGCCATCGATGAGGCGTATGCTTCTTCCAAAAAAGTAGCAGACGATTTCAGGTTTCAATTTGGCTTTGCACACTCGATTCAACTTAATATATGCAATTTTAGTAACTCCAACATCGTCTTCACTGATTATGGAAAGGACTTTATGAAGAAGGCCAAAGTGTCCCCAGACGCTTATATCCAAATGGCTCTTCAGATGGCTTATTTCATAGATCAGGGAAAATTTGAGCAAACCTACGAACCGGCTGTCATGAGGCTTTTCAAAGAAGGAAGAACCGAAACTGTTCGTTCGTGCAGTATCAAGTCTTGTGATTTTGTGAAGACAATGCTTGATAACAACGCGTCTGTAAGATATCACAAACGAAAATTATCGACAATTTATGGGTGAAATTTAGAGCAAACAAAAATTGGCGAAACTCAAGGAAGCATGCGATCATCATCAGGATTATTATAGAACTGCAATGGCTGGAAAGTAAGAATTTAAGAAAAAAAAAACACGATTTTTCCGTGACAAATTGTTAAAAGATTATCATAACTTCGTCAATTTCAGGGGAGTTGATCGTCATCTTTTCGCACTTTATGTCGTCGCAAGATACTACGGAATCGATTCGCCATTCCTCGCGAACGTCTTCAGCAAAGATTGGAAACTATCAACAAGCCAGGTACTCAAACTGAATCATCCGACCCATCTAACCTTGATTTTAAGACGCCTCAACATCAAATGGTTGAATACGCCAAAGTTCTGAACAAGGATCCTTCACTTTTCTGGCCAGCAGGAGGATTCTCGTGTCCTGATGGATCCAACTATGGTATTTGAAAAATGCCTTACAAACGAATTATCAATTTTTTGTTTACAGGGGTCTGCTACACGATTGCGTCGACTGGAGACCGAATGAGTTTCCACGTGACCACATGGAAATCATTGGAAAACACGGTACTACAACGCATTTTGTCGCCGAAATGTTCATCTTTAAATAATTACAGAATGCGGATCGATTCATGAAGAATTTACAAGAAAGCCTCGAAGCGATGAAAACGATGATCGAAGAAGCGACAGCGAAGAACTAAAGAAACTGTTTCATTTGTATCATATTTTCGAAATTTACGTGTACTTTTCCATCTTTCTGTACATTTATTTTGTATATATATATATATGCATTTGTAACTTTCAAATTCTGAAAGAAGTAAATGAGACAGTGTGCGCGTTTACGCGCAATAAATTTTTGACGAAAAAAAACGTGTTAACTTTGATTTGCATACGGTCGCCGACCTTGAGCACGCCTTCAAGAACTCCGATGGTCATTCTGTGTTTTCGACGAATCGACGAAATGCTTGCCATTTTTATTTTTGTTGTTCAAACCCATGCAATAATTCTGCAAAACGTTTATCCGACTTATCAGCAAGCTCTAATGAGCAACGCAGTTGTCGGAGAAGTGCAACAACAATGGAATGAGGTGTGTTCATTACTCAATAAAATTATTTTTGATTAATTAATTGCATGAATGCCATTGTATTATAAGACCCGAGAATCATTCAGGAGCTTCCTGATAACTTTGCAACATTTGAAAAACCTCCAGTCTCTATTCTCAGTGGTTATATTCCTGACTTCATTATCAAGAAATGGGCTGGTATTCTAGAGAAGCGTTTGCATAGAAAATAATTGTTTGAGTTCAGAATATTTATTCACCCTTCTCAACGGTACAGGAGACGTTGTGAAGCCGAAGAATCGACGAAAATTTGCGCAAAAGCAATCGGATATTAATAATGAAGAAAATCAGGTTTATTTTGAAAAAAATGTCGATAAATTGAAAGTTCAGCAACAGAAACTTTCGTTTACAATGAAGCCTGAGGGATCAGAAACAAATCCTTCCACATTTCCGACAATGAACGTCATTCAAGAAGCGTCAATAGTTTCTTCATTGAATGATGTTCGCATGGCACCAAAAAGAAAGTGGGGAATTTCGAGAATGCGATTTAACGATATCAACAGTGAACGAAGATTTTTCGGAAAAGTTTAAGCAATTATCAAATAAAAAATATACAAATAACACATATTTTTGTAATAATTATTGAAAATCATCATTTTCGATTAGAATCGGCTCCTCAATTGTATAATCGTAAATAATTTCGTTGTGTGCAGGCATATTCGAAACATAAATCGGAGAAGGATCTGGCTTAAAAGAAAAGAAATTTGTATGCGTTACAATGCTTTCAATAGTTTACTTGGAAATTTTGCAAATTGGCTGATCCCGCCCATCGCCAATATCCTACTCCTTTTTGCACTCCAACCGATTTAGTGTTTCTGGAAATTTGTGTTATGTTGTAATGTATTGCTTTATTGAAATGAATTTTTTGAAGTTTTCAGAAAAAGAAAATAGCGAAATAAGAAGAATAAACTTTTCTACATTGAAATTTTGTCTACTTTTCTTTAACAGTTTAAATCGAATTTCGCTGCTTCGAAAAAGCACGAAGGACCACAATTATGTATCTGCAGGGTGCACGTTTTACAGTTGCAATTGCAAAGAAAGAGCACGCTGCGGCGACTTACGGTGATTTTGATTCACTGCTTAGGTTAGGTACGGTATTCAAATTCAAACTGATTTCGAAATTTGAATTACCGCGACAAAAATTACGACGGGGCCCAAATAATCAAGATGCTCGTTTTTTTTGGCGATGGTTTAAAGGACTTATTTAGTCAGCGAATGATTCTAAATAGCCACTCTTAGCGTATTTACTTATACAGTGCGTTTCACATTTATAAAGCCACCCCTGCTTTTGGGCGTAACTTTGTCAATTGTGAAAATTTTTAAATTCTGTTTTCAAATTTGAATTCAGGGTTAAAAAATACATATGTTCACCAATTTTCATAATGATATCTGAAAAATTGGCAGAGTGGCATTGAAAAAACTGAAAATTGGTCACTTGCAACCGTCAAATTTATAGAGCCACCCCCGTGAAAGGTCTGAAAATGTGGAGACCTGAACGAGAATTAGCAGTGTAGTTATGAATAGAGTACTGCAAGATATTTTTCTTTATTTTCCGTGTGTTTTAACCAACATTTGAACATGTCATGGGGATTTTTTCTCACCGATGCCGAAAAGGCTACCATCGATTCCTGAAAATCGCTGGATGGTCGAACAGAAGGATTTCTTCGCACCAGAAGCGGTCGAAAACTTGCATTATAATTTTGTCAACAAGATCGACAGAAATCAGCCCCCAAAAAATCTCGGATCGAAAGCCAAACTGAACTCCCGCGACCGAAGATCGATTCTCAACACGATGATGTCATGAAATGACATCAAAAATGAGCTGAATCTTGATGTTAGTAAGCCGACGACATGTAAGACACTTAAAGATGATCCCAACATCATCTGAGCAGTTATTCGTCCAGCTCCGACCCTCCAGGACCATCATAAGTTGCGTCGTCTCGCATTTGCTCGAGACAACATGTCCACTAATTGGACAAAGGTAACTTTTTAACTAAATTTTTCTTAAAAAACAATACGATTATCATTAGATAATTTTCTCGTATGAGAAAAAGTTCAACCTGGATGGTCCCGATAGAAATAAATGTTATTGTCACGATTTATGGAAGGACAACCTAATTTTTTCAAAGCGGAACTTTGGTGGGAGGAGACTCATGATCTGGGGAGCATTCTCGTCGGTGGGATTTCTCATTCTCGTCGGCGGGATTTTTCTTGTCAACTGTCGAATGAACTCGCTGGACTATCAGCGAGTATTAAAGGGCCACCTATTGCCATTTCGACGACAATTTCTGCGCAGTAAGTTCGTATTCCAATAGGCAATGATTAATGTGAGGCGATCGACTTTGGATTAGCTCAGCAAAGAAATTATCGATGTTTTGGAGTGGCCAGCGTGCTCACCAGACTTAAATCCGATGGAGAATAGTTGGCGAGGGCTGGTTAGCAGCTTTTATCGCCATGGCAAGCAATACTGATTCTTTAATTAATTGAAAGCGGCGATTACCGACGAGTGTGATCTCATTGGAGCAGGAATTCAACACCAAGACCACCCAAAATGTGGAAAACCTGGTCCAATCGATGCCAAATCGTATTTACTACCTTATTTCTTTAAAAGACACCGCAACTAAATATTGATCTGGTTTTATAATAGAGTTTTTACTGCGTTCGCGGGGGTGGCTTTATAAATGTGAAACGGTTGCAAGTGACCAATTTTCAGTGTTTTCAATGTCACTCGGCCAAATTTTCAGATAACATTATGAAAATTGGTAAACATATGTTTTTTTAGCCCCGAATTCAATTTTGAAAACAGAATTTAAAAATTGTCACAATTTACAAAGTTACGCCCAAAAACAGGGGAGGCTTTATAAATGTGAAACGCACTGTAGAGTAAAAATAACAAGTTCGGCAACTTTGCTAACGGATCCGTTATAAAATAAAATTTTCTTACGTTTGTTTTACGCAATTCGGAAATTTAAACATTAGCTCCTTCTTCCTAGATCGTTTAGGCGGCACCAATCGAGTGTACTTATAAACCATCTGCGTTCGCTCTATATAATTCGGCTCCTAAGCAAATGCCATCAATCGAAAATGAAATTCATATCTTACTTTCCGGTTATTTATGAAAAATGCATTTTTAGTGAACTCCAAAAGTCGGTTTTCTTGATTCAAGTCGCAAATTTTAATGAGCTGCAATAAATAAATTTTAAAAAATTATAACAAAAAGTTAAAATGAAACAAACTACCAGCTTAAATGACCTACAGGGCTCATACTCATACTGGGATGCATTGTGTTCATATGATGTCGCCCTTCAAGTTCGGTGTGGTAACCTTCCGTTGGACAAATCGCGCATTTGAATGGTTTATATTGCAAATGAACCTTGAGAATGTGATATTCATATCCAGACCATGTGTGAAACATCATATTGCAGCTTTGACACACAGGAGCACTTTCTTCAGCTAAAAAGATTTACAAATCACACAAAATGTTCCGTTTCAATTTACGATCAAGCGATCCTTGCTCATTCGGATCAAACTCATTTGCTTCGATTTGCTGATATTCCTGATTCTGCTCGTCCGTCTGTTCTTCTAATTCTTCGTAAATAATTTCTTCTGCCATTCTAGTTGAATAAAAATATTAAATAATGTAAATGTGGTATTTTCAAGTTTACATTAAATTATGAGAAAGTTTGCCCATATTTTTAATAAACAATGCTAAATATAGTTTATTTATTTTATCAACCTATCGATTTCATATGTTTACTCGCGATACGATGATGTTTCGTTTGCAAACGTACGTTTAAACCAACAGCAAAAATTTTGCAATACGACCTAGAATTTGTAAAATATTTATTCGGCCATGCGTGTAAGTAGTCCACACGGAAAACGCCGCGTGATGTTTTTAATATAAGCTTTTAACAAACATTTTGCATTTCTATTTTTAGTTTACACTTTCTAAAGGTCTATGCATACTTTGAAAGTGTGTTAAAGGTTTTTGTCTCCGCTCATACTTAATTTATCGACAAATTGTGGCCTATCGATTAAAAAATTGAAATATTTCACAATTTTTTTTTCAGCCGCCATGTCACATTGGTTTCATAGAAATCCTATTAAACCAACGGAATTTGTGAAATTTGAATTAAAAGGAGTGCTAACAACCGATAAATGTTCAAAAATCTGCGGGTAACTAATTTTAGCTGTTGAATATTAATAAATATGAATTTTTTTAAGTGAGCTTCGATTGTTACGAGACCGACTTTTAAGTCATTTTAAAAGTGCCAGCAACGATTTGACGGAAGTACAATCGGATTTCTTCACATATTTGAGACTTTTTGCTGGTTTTCTCGTCGAAATTGAATCTCCAGGTGCCGACGTTTCTGGAGGCAAAATGAATAGCAAATTGATACCCGTCTTACGTTTCAAATGGGGAAATTCGATGCTTGTTAACGATCCAACGTAATGAAATTGACGACGTCATTTTTAAATTTAAAAATTATTTAGAGAAATCTCCGATTGTTGGTTTGAAGCGCTCAGCATGATTCAGTGTATGGCCATTTGGCTTACAAAACATGCAGCATTCATCGCTGGAAAAGACGAAGTTCGAGAATTCGAAGCTAAAGAATGTTTGCAATGTTTGAAACAAGCGGCCGGAATGTTCCAATACGTAAAAGACGAATCAAGTTATTTTTAACAACATACTGTCTTCACTGAATATTATGTTTCAGCGAGAATATCTGGCGCAAACGAACTTCAAGGTTCTGATTTCGATCCAAAAGTCATGGAAGCTTATATCTTAATGGTATGGTTTTAATAAATGACGAGTTAACTACGTTTATATTTATATAGGCAACTGCTGAATGCCAAGAAATCGTCATTGCGAGAGCTATTGAGATGAAACATAATGATACGCTTATTTCGTCACTTGCGGCAAATACTTCTGATATTTTCTCAAAAGCGGGTATGCATTTTAATCTGAGAACGGACATATATCTTATTTTTATGTACCTTATTAGCGTTTTCAAGTCTAAAGATAGTTTGATGTTTCTGTTGAAGATCAATACATATTTTTTTACTATCATTAAGAAAATAATCTCTTTCAGAGCAAAGCATCTCTTCACTTCCCGAGGAAATTTTCAGCAGATGGCGAAAATATTTGCAATTGAAACATCATTTCTATTTGGCATATGCCTACGCATTTCTTGGCCAAGCTCAGTTAGCTGAGGATAAGTGTGGAGAAGCTGTCAGGTAGTCATTATTTATTAATAATCAATAATTTGCTATATTTTTCTATATTAGCCTCCCCTAGTTATCAAAACAATCTGGATTCTTTAGAGCTTGCAAACAAGGAATCGCTGAATATGAGGTTGCTAAAGATTTCGCAGAAATGTACAGTAAAGCGCCAGGACCTGGAATGCGAATCAAACCGGAAAAACACTTGTTCTTCCGGCAAATAGAACCATTATTGAGAAGGCATTTGGAAAAAGCCGAAAGAGAAAATGGGTTCATTTATCACCAAAAAGTGAAATTTACCAAAATATTCAATCTTAAATTTATTTTTTTTCAGGTGCCTGATGAGTGCCCACAATTGGATACCAACGTCTCTTATGGTATCGCCAAACCAGAATCTTTCACTTATCCACCAGCAGCGGAGGTAAAAATTTTAAGTAACTAAATTATAATAGAAAAATTCAGATTTGGAATCCAGCGGTGTATTCAGCTTTCGACATCTCCAAAGCGAAAATGCCAGACTTCTCGAAAATGAAAAAGAGCTCATCGAAATTGGATCCAGTCAAAGAGGAGAAAATCTATCAAACCGAAAAGGACCCTAATAATTCCAGTGGATGTGTTATTTGCTAAAGTACTCATTATTCTGAACAATCTAACTAATAATGTATTCAAATTTTCTGCGTTTTTTTTTTACTTTATGACTAGTCTCAAAATAGAACCGAATGTAAATAAAGAATGGATGACACCGATCAAAATCTTGCAGCTGATTCAATGTATATACAATCAGGTGTGTCAATAATCCTAGTGACCACCAACTGGAATCAGTATTCTGAGCAGAAATGCGCAACATGTTATTATTATTATGCACTTCTCTCGTTTTTGCAATTCTAGCCGATGCTTCAAGACCCTGCACTCATACGCTGCAGTGTGGGAAAGGATATTTTTGCGAGCAGAATGAATGTCGACGGGATTCGTGCATCAGTGAGGCTCAGTGTGAGAAGGTGAGCTTTTTTAGAACAAATTGCAAGCAAACAAAAGTTTAGAACGAAAAATGTCGTTCTGGAAATATCAACGGAAAATTGAAATTTGGGTGTTTTAAAGAGCAACAAGACACGACAACTGGTATTTAGTTTCAATGATACTCTCAAAAGTCTGATCATTTTATTCAGTTAACTATTGCCCCGGAGGAGCTTTGGTCTTGTCACCACTTCAAGGTCTCACCACTTGCGATTTGTCAACCGATTGCCCGTCAACTCATGTATGCAATCCCATATATGGAGTGTGCTGCACAAGTAAACTAGCATAATTACACCAATTCGTAGAATTTGAACTCAGAAATCAACGCATGTCCTTCAAATACTAAAACAATGGCAAATATTATTACGGGAAAGCCAATTATGTGTCAATTCAAACAAGGAAAACCACTTCCATGCCCCGAAAATGGACAATGTGACACGGCAACTGGATTCTGTTGTTTGCGAAATGAGCCGGGCACTAGAAATGGTTTTAAATTAATGAAAACCTACATCAATTGATAAAATTACAGTCGAATTTCCGATTGTGAATCCAACGGAGCTTTCAAGTGAGCGTCCGTATCTTGGACAAACTTGCAAACCGCAAGATGGATGCGCAGGCGGAGCTTCGTGTGTGTGCAAATCTCGAGGTTGAACAAATATTTTCAAAAAATAACACAAATCGCCGATTCAGGAAGATGTATGTGCGAATGTCCGACAGAATTGGGATATACGATTTCGAACGATGGAAAAACATGCCAAAGAATCCGAAGACGACTTAAGGTGGGTGGTGTGTGTGTGTGTGTGTCTTCATGGCGAAAAAAAATCGCTGCCTTAAATTTAAGAAAAACGTGAGCATGGAAATTATTTCAACAAAAAAAATTAGCAATGGGTGGCAAGCTGCTCGGGCATTCGCTATGGTCTTGTCACGAATGGAATTTACACGTGAAAAAATTATTATTTTTTATTTTGTCTAGTTTCACAATTCCTTACATTTTTGTAGTTTCGAATATTAAAAAAGAATGTTAAAATTAACTTTAGAATTTGAATTGGGTTCGCACGAGACTCAGACACATTTCTCGCCGAAAATAGCCTATAGAGCACTTTGAAACTTAAAATCGACACGCATATTTAAATTTGTGGTAAAAATTATCAAAAGTACATGTTTAGGAAAAATGCAAAACCGATATGGAATGCTCAGCAGCTTTTTCTGAATGCTCATCTGGTGGGTGTCGATGTAAACGAGGATTCAAACGAAGCGGTGATGGTGGATGTGAACCAATAGGCAAACAAATTTGATGAATCATTATAATAACTGTGATTTTCAGAATATCGATGTGCGAATAATCAAACTCCGTTGAAAAAGAAAGAAGAAATCGTGGAGTGCTCGATGAAAAACGCAGCAGTCATGAAATTCAACAGTCTGAAAAATCGTAAAAATGCCACCGAACATGAAATTGATGAGATTCTCAACGAATTGGCAAAAGAGACTAACCAGACAATGTATTCGGATAATGGAAATCAGAACGATGATTGTCCTTATGAATATTATTGTGTCCCGGTGTTTGAAGATCCCAGAAAACTTGGCTCATATAAGGTATTATTCCCTATTAAGGGATATAAAAGCGATTTGCTGATTTTAGGGGATTTGCTGTCCTTCCCCTTCCACTATTCGACCAGCCTGCCCAGTTGGGGAGCCACACGAATCTAGTTATCCACCAAATTATGGATGTAGCTCGTGCCCAATGGACTACTATTGCCATCGAGATGCTATTTCTACAGATAAATCGGTATTTAGGTTTTAAATTAATGAGAAATACAACGAACTTTTTTAAGATTTGCTGCCCAAAGCCATGTTTATCTCTTGAAGATATTTACTACAACGGACAGTGTCATTCAATGGTATTTTATGGCGACAGCTGTCAGGTTAATAAATTTTCAAAAATCAACCACCGAAAAAGCCGAAAACTTACTCAATCCAATTATATTTCAAGATATCGAGTCAATGCGTTTATTCAAAAAATCCCGATGTTAACGAGGAATACGCTACCCACGCAAAAATGGAGTGTTTGAAAGGAATTTGCTCGTGCCCGTCTGGATTTAGTTTTGCAGATGGAGAATGCAAAAGTCCGAAGCCTAACATGTCAAGAAATAGCTATTCTAGTTTAGGAATAATCTGCACTATCGGATTACGCGGGGAGCCTTCTGTTGACAGATCAGGACAACTCTTACGATGTGACAAGTCGTCAGATTGCAGTATGGGTCATATGTGTGACCCAAACACACGAGTGTGTTGTAAAGGAACTAATCGTGAGTAAATCGCTAATAATTAATAATAATAGGGGCAAATATTTTTAAAACCTATTTTCTCTCTTTTAGGTTGTCCCAAAGGATATGTCGAAACTGGAAGAAGTTGCCACGAAAACTGCACCGGTCTGAATGAAATTTGTCATCCAACTAAGAATGGAAAATCAAAATTGTGTTGTGTTTATGAGAATGGCAATTATAGCAGAGATTCGAATTTAACCATGACTTAACGGTTTTAATTTGACCTCTCGAATCTTTGTGTGTATTATAATGAATATTAATTAATGCAATATTTCAATAAATAAAAGGGTAACATCTCAAAAAAAGAAAATAAACAGTAAATTTTTCAGTAGGGAATTATTCAGAAAATAAAAAACACCGTAATCAGGTTTTTATAGGAGCATAGTCTTTTCCAAAAAACTAAACTACACATGAAAATGGTACGGTAGCGTATTATTTAATGCGTTACTGTATGACGCAATTCTGCAATTACGGACTAAACAAAACCGGCGGGCGTCATTTATTTTCCATTTTCGTTTTTTTCTGTCTTTTCGAATATCTGCTTTTCGAATGTTATCTAATCATATGATGTGCAAATTAAAAAAAAAACAGCTGTTTGAGGTATTAGTTCCCGTTTTCCGTTGTTATTTAAAATTGTTTCTCCATATTCATAGTAAATCATATTTCTTTCTCACACTAAACTTGCATTAACTTACAAGTTTGACTAAAACAAATTGAGCTCATAGTTAGTCAGATTTTAGGCAATTTGAATTACCAGATAAACATCTTTTTTAAATTTGTTAGCCTAAAAATTAGATGTCTTGAAAATTTTATTTGGAGTTTTCCCCTCACAAGTTGTATCGTAGAAATTCGAAAATATATTTATTATAGGCAGAATCCAGCTGTTGCGCGCGCCTAACAATAGAAGTATGCGTTTTTCATTTTTCTCATGCTTAATTGCTCAATATTGACAGTAAATCAGTGTTTTGTTCGATTCGTCTCCTCACAATTTCTCTTACCATAAACCGTTTCTAAGACGTCGAAAAGAGAAAAAATAAAAGATAAACATTCGAGAGTTCGACTCTTCTGAAAGGTGAGCAAATAGAGAAGCGCCAGAATTCTGCGAATACAGAATTTGTGTGTCTTTATTTAACATCACTCATCTTCATAAGACGACTGAGATGTTTGGAATAGAATGCTCCTAGAGTTTTCGAGCATATATGTAATGTATGAGGCTTCCACAACCAGAAGCACTTTTAAATTCGTCTCATGTCATACATAAACTAGATAATCGCATACCCAGCCAGCGCAAGCCGACCTTTCTGTGCCTCTCTCCTTTCTCAATATCTACAAAATGTTTACTTCGTGAAGTATTCAAAAAATTTGAAATCTTCAAAAAAAGAAAGGAAGAAATGCATAATGAATATGCAAAGTTTCTTCTTTCTCTTTACTTGCTTTTTCTTTTTATTGGTATCGACGGAATTCGTGAAGTCGAGCCAACAAAAAAAGTGAAGAATTGAAAGAGGAGGAGTTCTCTCCAATTGATGTCTCACGGAGCACTTCGAACCACGACGGAAGACGGCCTGTTGCCCAGTTGCAGTTGTCGTTCGTCGACTCTCAAGAGTCTCGGTGACGGCCTTCAGGCGCTCATTTTCCGTCGGCTTTTTCTTTTCTTTCAAATAGCTTGATGACTTCTTCTATTTTATTCTTCTCCATCTTCCTTCCTTCCTTAGTTTCGTCTTGTCGTATTTTTGTTTCAAATGCAACATGTCGGTTTTTGTGTTGCCCCGCGCTTCTTCCAACCAACCAACCAGCCAGCCAAGCCAAGCCAACCAACCTTCAATTGTTTTTTGTCGTTGTCATCGTCGTCGTCGTTGTCATCATCAACGTTGCCGTATCCCTCGTCCGCTTCGTTATTGACGTGATTTTTTTCTGCCGTTTTTATTTGCCTTGAATCGTCGTGGAGGTTTTTTCCTCTAGCCAGGTCTGAATAAATATTGTCTTGTTGGCAAATTTTTTTGCCTGAAATTTTTTCGGTCGCTTTGCCTTCAACCTTTCTTTCTTAGTTGACAAATTTCCGAACAATTTTTTTCTTTCGCCATCTAATGTAAGAGCATTACAGATCACACTTTAATTACTTCGGTTTTTTAAAATATGTATTATCAAAATTCGCATTCGTTTTTTCCTCGATTTCCTAATTGGAACATTATTCATCCCAATTTTGTAATTCCATGCTCCAATTATAGTTATTATGAAATATTAGTGGCAACATCACCCCATTAACAACTGTCGACAATTTGAGAAAAAAAAAAAACTAAATTTTATATCAATACTTTATTAATATATTTTTTAAAGAATTTACAAATTTTCAGAGGTTTCAAAGGGGTGAGGTTAATTTAAGAATTTTGAGAAATTTTAGAAACGATTAAACATTTTTTGAAAAAAATATGATTAATTCTTGTAGGTTTCAAACTTTCATCCAATTCGAAACAAAACAGATTGTTTTCAGACATTTCAGATCATTATTGGTTTGATTGTTGTAAAATTGTCCCTCATTTGAGTATTCAGTAATGAAATGAGTTAGTTAGCCGCTCCCAAACGTTGTATCGTTATCAGTGGTGCGGGGCATCAGTGTCGTTTCGTTAAAACAACGACGAAGCAGAAGACGACAGAGAGACGTCGCTTCGCTGCGTTTTGTTTGATGTTCGGGGCACTGTCTCATGTCTCTGAGTCTCTCGTCCCCACACACTCACTCACTCATCAGGAACTCCGGGGCACACTTATTTTGTGTGTGTGAGTGTGAGTGAGAGTGTTTGTATCCTCGTTTGCTCCAATCGGGTCTGTCATCTGAACAGCCACTTCAGTGTCGAAGAATTTCTTGGCTTGTTGGGGGAGAGCAAAGCCGCAAACGCGGGCTTGAATGGATCGCAAGAATTTATTAGGTCGTTCATCTGGGCAAACGTTGAAAATCGAAACGCCGTCCATCGACGATCATCGTTGGTTTTGAAATTTTTTCCAGAACACCATTCGTTTCGATAGTTTTTTCGTTCATTGACTCCCCGAAATTATTGATACTGACGCGTAAAATGCTGGTTACTTTTGGCAAAATTTTAAATTTTCGTCATCGCAGAATTTCTTATTGTTGCCAACGCCTTTGTTCGTCTTCTCGCAATAATACGTCGTGCGACGTTGTTTTCGAATCAAAAGAAGACATTTCGGGAGATTTATCGAATTTTCCGATTTGACCTGCTAATTTTGAGCTTAATAAGAATCGAATAACAAAAATTATGAAGCTTCTGGATTTTTGGTGTTCAGCGATTAAAACAGATTTACGAGCATGCGTCTTTCATTATGATAGTATCCATCGGACTAACTGGTTATTTGACATTCTATGATCGACTGTGACTTTTTTTTAATAACACAAAACGTTAGAAATTCAAGGAAATGACAAAATCAATACGAAAGATTTATAGCAACGAAATAAGCTTTAACGTGTTGCGAGATCGTGACAAAAGACGCATTCCCGTAAATCTACCCGCGTACAACAGGTGCCGGGCGCTGAACAGAAATTTTCAATTATTCAATGTTGAAGATTTAGTTTTTCAGTACTGAAAAGTGTCGCCAATTATGAGAAGATTCGTATGAAGGCAATCCAATATTCTTAAAACGGGGCATGTTTTTCTCATCGCTTGTCTTTTTTTTCCAGAATTTTATGGAAAACGTTTGGATTGTGTCCGAATTCACGCGGCGACATGTGTGAGTAATAAAACGGCGTATTTGTAGTTGTTTCGGTAGTGAAGTGAATGAGCAAATTTTCGAAATGAGAAACAACACGCTTTCCATATTTTATCATCAGCCACCGATGGTCAACAGTCCTTTATCAATTCTGATTCAATCGTCAAATTCTCAGTTGATTCGATTTCACTTTTTCTAAAAGAGCGGTGCCTTCTAATATCCCTACCGAATATTATCATATGATTGCCAATTTTCCCAATTGTTGCCTATTGAGCAGTTTGATTACATCGTTGAGCACACACATACTCCCAGACGCACACATACGCACACACACACACACACACACAATTTCTCTGTGGCCGCCTTCTGTCAGCCATCATCGCGGTGGCTCGTCAGATGAAGCAGAAGAAGAGGAGAAGAAGAAGAAGAATTATATCAGTTATCCGTGTGCTTCGAAGATATTGCACCTCTAATCCTCGGAATTCTACGAAGTGTGCATTTCGTGTTTGTGGGGTGTATCTATCGGGGTGTGTGTGTGTGTCTCCGAAACCCCCCGAGTTTTGTTGCTAAGCAGACGCAGATGGAAAATCGTCTTCAAATTGCAGTAGCGAGGCACACATTCTTCTTCTTCTTCTTGTGCATCGCCTTCGGATGAAAAAGGTAGCCTGAAAAGATGCATGAGATTCATCATGTAAACACACTTGCATGGAAGGGGGATAATCTTTTTTTCAGAATTTGCGATGACGATAGTAGATTTCACGGCGGCACGCATCCCTTGTGAAATAGTACGCTATAATCAAATGTCACGTGAATTCCATCAATTAACAAAAGACCTACGTCAGTGAGCTTCTAGTGAAATCTAAAAAATTCAAAAAAAATTTTAAGGTCTTCAAAATTTTTGAGACAGCAGCAGTAAATCTGAAATTATTTTTGTCGATCCGATCAAAGTTAGAAATCCTTTTTAGCGGGATTCGAATCCGGGCAATTGTTACATTTTGGTATTCAAAACTGGAACAAAATATGAATTCAGAAACGCGCGTCCCGTTTTATTGCGAAAAATGGCCGAAAACATTGATGGTGTGAATAATAGGCGAATGATTTTTGTGAATATTTTGTTGTGTCGCCCCGGTTTCGCGGTTATTCTTCATCGTAAAATTTCCATAAACACAATTCTTCTGCGAGTTTCGTCACTTTTTCGCCTTCTTTTTTCCAGTTGAGCTGATAAGACGTGAACTGCTCGTGAAGTCGATATGTATTCTTCTTATCATTCTTTTTTTTTCTCTTCCCACGTCTTGTCGTGATTTTGCCGAACTTCGCATATTCTCAGTCAGTTTTTTTTTTGCATCGTCGTCGTCGATCGGGAATTTTCGATTGGCGTCTTTCATACGTTCGAGATGCGCGCTGAAGATGATGCCTTTGGAGTGTTGACCTCCGCGCTCCAGACCATACACAGACAGACACGCAGGCACGCATCCTTCATCATCACGACCATCATCTCGTTCGCCTCGTTTCATTTCGTTCGTTGTCAGCCGCCGTTGAGAATTCATCGTCATTCGGAAGCGCAACAACAGCCTTTGCGAAACCAACCAACAACGTTTCGTCGGCGCCACTCACGTCATCTGACCGAAATCGATCGATTCGCGACTCTTTGGGATTGGGCCTCGACAGAAAAAAACGGCATTTTTGAGCGCTTCGTCCGCCCCCTCCCCGTTGATGGCGATTGTCGGTTGTGTGCGTCGCTGTGTTTGTCTCCATTCGGCGCACGGGCCGCTCTTCGCTTTTGCATCGCACCGCATCCTTCCATCCAGCAGCTAGTCAGTCACTCAGTCAGTCGCCCCATTCAGTCCGATCCATTCGCTTGTTTATTCACCTTTTCCGTTGTCGAGCACCGTCGTCGGCGTCATTCGAATCTTGAAATTCGGGTGAGGGGAGGGGGGCGGTTTAGCCTGCGTCGAACGTGTGGACGACATGTTGTCACAAAACGCGCGACTCCGAGGAGTCATTACGCCCGGTGGTGTCCGTCCGTACGTTCGTCGTCTTTCTTCATCATCATCATCTTCTAAAAGAATCGCGACGAAAGAGAGGAGACGACACAACATGTGGCGATCACTTTGATTCGTCCTTCTCCGTCACCATCATCTTCATCTCCTTCTTCTTCTTATTCTTCTTCTTCTTCTTCTTCTTCTCCTTTTCGTTGTTCAACGCTGGAATCGTGGCCTCCGTTTTATTTTTTTTCCCTTCCCTTGTTCATTCATCAATTTTTTGTCGTCGTCTTTCCAGAATCATTTTCCTCATTGCAAACAAATTTGTGTTGATTCTTGAAATTCGTCGATTTTTTTTCTCCTCTCTTCTTCTTCTTTTTCTTGCCTTTTCGAATGAAATCATTTATTAGCACAAAGTTATCAATGATTCACGGATTGTGACTAACCGCCTCCCTCTTCTTTCAAAAAACCGAATGCTTCTGATGATGAGGCGGAGATTTTGAAATGATGATTGCCGAATTCTAACAACTCCGCCCCTCTCCCTCTTCTCTATATTTGAAGCCTTCTAATTCCATCGTTGTCTTACACTGCTCGTTGGTTCTTTGCCACTTCTGAAATTCCTTTTCATTTTATTTTCTTTTCATCTCGTTAAAGAATCCCTCCACAACAATAGCTCTTTGGTTGGCTTCTATTGAATTGCGGGCTGATTCGTACAGTCCCGACGATGTCAATGAAGGAATGTTTATTTAGCACTCCTTCGACTCCTAGCCATCGTCGTCATCATGGCTCGACGCAGCTCGGCTTTCGCGCGGCGCGCACCAACCCGACGTCTTTGACTTTGTCTGTATTATGTGTGCACTAGGCAAGTCACCCGCGCGGGAGACCGACCTCCTGCTCGCTGCTCTCTCCTGATTCTCTAGAACTACGGCGCCTTTTCGTGTGCGGGCATCCATCGTCGACTTCTAGTACGTGGAGAGACGTACATACACACTCCCTCTCTCCCCCCCACACACACACACACATACATACACACACCAGCCAACCAGCAGACCAACCACGCACACACATAGACACATAAACGTCGACGATGGCGGCGGGTATTCGACGCGCCGATCGGAGCTCTCTTGTAGCGGTGTGCTTCGTCGCTGTTGCTCTCAGGGACACTTGACGGCAGATTTCTTCGTATTTTCTTATCCGCCTGATAACATCGCTATTCAATTGCGTCGTCGCGACTAATCACCAACAAACGAATTCTGGATTTCACGTCATTCGATTCTCGGATTAGGTCGCGTTTCGATCTGCTTGCGGTTGAACTTTGTGTGGTTTTCTGAAGTTTCGAGCCTAATCCGATTCAATCACGAAATGTTGAGAAAACCACAAATGACATGTGTTTTGTTCAGACACAGTGCCAAATTCACAAACAAGATGTAACAATTAACACTTCAAAAAAAAACATTGCCAGATTCTCTCAATTTTCGACAATAATATCAGCATCCTCGACTACGTCATGGTCTTGTTCTGTTCGAAAAGCTCAGCACAAATTTTCGTTATCTGGCGTCAGAAGAAGCAATTCCTATTAATTAGAACTCTGTAGGGACTGATTAATCTGCATTGTTCATGCCTCTTTTTTTTCTTTAAGAATCGCGATTCGCCGAAAATTTCTTTAACACTTAAAATTCGGCCAAAGATGGACGACGTGGGTTTAATTCTGACATCGTTAGTCATTGCACTATCAGTAACCGTTGTCCTCCCATCATAAACTATCAGCACATTATTATTATTCAAAACGGACGACGTGGTGAGCGGTGCGGGGCCCCACCAAAACTGATGTTAGAGCGAGCGACGTGCTTATCAGTTACCGATTACATTCTGCTCATCGGTTTTCGCCGCCGTCTTCGCATCCTTCATCATTCACCCCATTCGCCGGTGTACACGACAAACGGTTCGATTGATGGACATCCAAATATGGCGTTGGAGCGAGGCGAGGGGTAACAACAACGAGGTTTTTGGAGGAGGAGGCGAAGGGGCGAGGCGGAGTGGATTGGCCATATGTGTCGCATACCGTCGCATACATCTCCTGCGCCGGCGTCCCGTCCTTCTGTACGCCGTCGTTCGCACGCACAATGTTCGCTGCGTCTCTGCGTCTTGCGTGCTCTATGCGCCTTTTTTGACGATGCTCGCGCGGGCCATGCACGTCATCGACACTCCCACACGGCCTTCTTCTTCTCCTTCTTCTTCGCCTTCTTCGCGGTCTTGTTGCCCCGCCACCAACACCGCTGTCCGTTGTTCGTCATCGTCTCATTTTCCCCCCACTAGCCGCGCGTTTTTTCTTCTTCTTCTTCTTCTGATGCCCAAACTTTTATTTCCGCACCCACACATACTGTTTTTGTTGTCGATCCCTTGTTGTCGTGCTCTTTTCAGCAAATATTTTTGATTGTTGAAATCCCTGGGATTTTTGTAGTTGGTCGAGCATTATCAGCTCGCTTCTAAATCTCTAGTCTCTGTAATCCTAAAAGAATGCCCAGGATTTCATATTCAATTTTTTCTTTGAGGCATATTAGCGCTCGACAAGCATGAATAATGTGTTTCGCGGGGGAATATATATTTTTGAATGAGAGGAAGACAGTTGCTTTCGCCATTGTGAGATTTGAACTAACCCCGCGTGTCCGTTTATCCGATCGGCATACAGTGAACTTCACTCATCTTACTATTTCAAGAATCTCAACGTCTTAGTTGTTGAAATCGAATAACAATTTTCGGGTTACGATAACAGTAACATTCGGTCTAAATCCTTTTTAGATTCTATTCTACTTATTTTCAATTTTATGAAATGCTTCCGAATTGTGGCAATTATTCAAATAAAATTGTGCGCGTGTGTGAGAATTCCATAGCCTTTTATAAACAATTTACATCTTCCCAAAATTATTTGAATATATTGTGTTTTTCTTCTTCTTCTTCTCGCTTCTCTTTGTCGTCTTCTAATTTTTTTTGTTCAATGCGTTCATCTTATTATAACGTCATATTAATTACAGAGTATCGCACAGTGTAATTGCCAAATAGTTAGCTGAGCAATCACCCGATTCGCGGTACCCGATGGATAGCGGCGCAGAAGTGCTCCGATTAGCGACGAGTGCTTTCAAAAAGGAGTTCTCGACGGTTGGCAGCAGCAGTAGCAGCAACGGTAGTAGCGCCGGCGGCGGCGGCGCAGGAACCAACGAAAAAGATCAAACAGACGAGAAACAACGCGCTCTGATTCAGCAGTTTCTCACACAGGCCGCAGGTTTTTTTTCAATCAATTTTTAACGTCTTTTGATTCGATTCGCGTTTTCAGCCATGAATGGGAAAAATGGTATCGAAGATATTGCCAACCGTCTTGGGAATAGCAATAAAAAGGCAGAGAAAAATTGGAGCAATGGATACACAGCACCACCAGAGCCGCTCACAATATCCAATCACACACCATCAATGCAGTTGAGCTGCGTTGATTGCGGAGTGATTAAAACGAATTCGGAAGAGATGGAGATCCATATAAAGACGGAACATCTTGGTTGGCTGCCATTCCAATGCCCGATTTGCCTATCAGAAAGAGCGTCAGACGCTCAAATGAGAGAACATCTGCATTCATCCCATCGGAAGAGCATGAACAAATTCATCTATGTCGACAACGTGCAGGCGAAGCGACAATTACAAATTCTCATGGATAAAGCGTTCTCGATGAATGTGACAGTGCGTGTGAACGCGTCAGCGTCGGCATTGTCGCCGAGCTATCGCGGTGGTTGCTCGACACCGTCATCGGGACGCAACACGTCGACCACAATTACTAGTGGAGGTAGCGTTGAAGCTGCGGCTACGGCGATCGTACAAGCGCACAAGGACAAGGAGAAACAGCAAGCCCAGGCGGCGGCAGATGTACGTTCTTTGTCTCTTTATTGGTGGGGGTGCAGGGCGAGACGAGTGGGCCACGCGATGGAGGGCGACATTTCGAACAACACCCGTCAGATTCTGATAGTTTTTTTTTGGGCGGGAGGGCGGGGGGACAGCCTTTTAAAACACGCGGGGTTCTTTTGAATTCGTCGCGATTCGCACACTTTATGATCTATAAATGCATGGTGGATATGATTTGTTTACAGTTTCTCAAACTTCTCGAGTTTACCGATTCGTCATTGTCGGCACTTCAAACGAATCCGGAAAAATCGCAGAAGACGTCGACTGGTAGAAAGCGGCCGTATGTGCCGACGTCGGTCACCGAATCGATCACGACGATCAAGTTGGATCCGAGCACCGACAACTTTTTGGCGAATCTGTCACGTGAAAATGAGGAAAACGACCAACGTAGTTTGCGTCTTTTAGGTTTTTATCTCTCATTTTCGATTTTTAGCCTCATTCTCGTTAGATGATTTGAACATCGACAGCTCTTCGGCTCTGGCTTCATTATTCGGGCCACCGAAAAAGGCGAAAATGGATATGGGCGAAATTGATTCGACAATGGATGATGCACTCGATGCGTTGAATCCAATGTAAGAAAAAAATTTTGGGGATATTTCGAAATTCATCACACATTTCTCCCTATTCAGCTCTGTCCTTGACAATGTCGCTGCCTTGTTCGGAAACGCAAATGATAAAATAGTGGAGGAGACGAAGAAACCGGTGTCGAGTGTCTCGAAAAAACGCGTGCTCGGCGAATGCAGCAAATGCCAGAAACCGGTGACAGCCGGAGCGCGCCAAATGCACATGTTTTTCCATTTGGCCAAGGATGAGAATGTGCGTTTTCGAAACGGAAATGTCTGATCATGTCGATTGATTTTTAGATATTCCGATTCCGATGCAAATTCGATGGATGCTCTATCGAACATTACCGTAAGGATCAAATGGAGAATCATCAATCCAAAGTTCATGGAAAAATTGATCCCGATATGATGGAGGATCGATCGTTGGAGTTGTTCCAAAAGTGTCAGGTGCGTAATTTGTACTTTTCTACGATTTTTCGTATTGCTATATTTACACAATCACACGTACACACAGCTTGAAAGAAAATCTAGTCGATTTGTTTTGCTCTTGAATCAAGCGCATGAAACGAATCGATTGGATCCGAATCAATATTATTATGATTATCAGTATGGTTAATGTGATTTATGATCATGATTATTATTTTGCGTTTCACACTTCAGTATTGTATGGTGACGGTAGTCGTTGCAGCATTCTCTAATCATTACATGTTGTGTAGTCCGATTTCAGGAATTGAATCATGAATTGTTTGTCGCCCATCGCAATCCGGGCGCGAAAGCGCATTGCTGGTCGTCGCCATCGCAGGTCGACAACCAGGTTGGTATAGTGGTTGATGGTGTGCATGACAAAAAAACGATGGAATGATTTTTGTGTGGTGTCCTCGTTCAAGGCTTTCTTCTGCATGATCTCATTGCAATTTCACTCTTTGTTCACAACTGACTCCTTTCCATCCTGACTTATTTCTCCAATTCAACCGATTTACCAGATGTTGAACCTTCTAACCCATTTTCAGGACTTGTCGATGGAATTGCTTGGAACCAAATCTGGAACTGTGCCGGGACCAACGGCAGCGAAAGCAGAAATCGCCTATGCGGCACAACAAGCGGCCAATGCAGCTAAGGTTTGCATTTGTATTTGAACTAAGGAATGGTGTGGAGTGTTTGGTTATAATAGCCCTTGTGATAGATGATTTAATTACCATTTTTTATATCGCGAAACAGTTTTCAATGTTTTTTTCTGAAACTTATGGACAACATTTCTAATGTTTCGAGATAAAAAAAATTGCGCCGTCTATTTTCCCAGTGTTTTTTCCCTATTGGTGTGATATTAGCCATATTCCCCTAACCTGATTTATAACACTTCCCCTCCCTTTCCCTTAATCCTACAAAATACATTATTATTATTTTTTACATATTTCAGGCTGGCAAAAGTGGCAAATCATCGAGCATATCTACAGTAAACGGTATGGATTATAAGATCACCGTAGGGCCGCAAAAGTGAATTTGAAAACCATTTTCATAAGACTCGTAATTTTCATGTAATTGGGTCGTTTCACGGATTCATAAACACAAGGGGGAGAAATTTCTTGAAAATTAGTGAGCACACATACAAACACACACAGAGAACCACCGTCTTGAGTGGCGGTGTCGAAAACTGAAGAGAAAATGGAGAGGTAAAGCACGATTTTGTTTTTCTTTTCTTTATTTCATTTTTCGTGGCAACAAGGGGTTCTGGAGGCGGGTTTTCTAAAATTAAAAAAAAAATTGTTATCCATTTTTTCTTTTTATTTTCAACTTTGCAACTAACACGTTGTTTCTCATTCATTTTTTGCGATCTCAATTCCTTTGCTTTTCATTTTATAACTAACGCATATTTTACGAAATGTCGAGGGGTTTAGAATTGGCATTTTTTGTTCAGTTTAGGATTACGGGTACTAGATGTTGTAATTTTTTTAAGGTCGCAGCTTCTGATTCTTGGGGATTATAATAGGGAATAGTAAAAAAAAATTATGATCTACCCTATATTGTAGTCGTCCATGTCCATTTTTGGAAGTTTCTAGGAGTTAAATTTAGGTGTTTTCCCTGGGATCGTTGTTATCCTTAAATGTAAGCACTTGATCCACTCTTTCTCTGCGTCTCTCTCTCTCTCTCTCACTCACGCACACCTCTTGATCCCTTGTGCCTATGAACCCGATGAAACGACACAACACAATCGATTTCAATATTGTTTGATTGAAAACTTGCTGAAAACTCATATACTACCATTTATGTGTATTGATGTTGTGTGTGTTTGGTCCGGTTCAATATTGATATTTTATGATGATTATTTTTTTTTTCTTGTTTCCCCCAGAATTCCTTACAGTTTTTACCCTGTTTCATGTCAATAACCATCTCCTCCGTTCTTTTATTATTATTTTTTTTTTTACTTTATTTTGAAATTATGATTTTACAATCAGTAGACATTTTATCATATCATTTGTGAGTTGTGTTTGTGATGATGATCAGGATTTGGCAATAAATGCGCTTTATGAATCCGTGGAACTTTTTTTGGGAATGGAATACAAATGGAATCGTTTTCGCAACTTGGGGGCACGATATTTGAGTGTTTTTTACAGGCGGAGTCGGCATTTTGAAATTGATGCCTGATGAGGACCATCCGCTTCAATGCAGACTTTGCGGCAAAACCATGCAGAATCGGGTATCGTTGTGCTAGACAATGTGATTGTTCATTTTTGTTGTTATTTCTAGATCAGGGGCTTCCATATTCTTTGGCATATGGCCAAGGATAAGGGAATTAATCGCTACACGTGCAAATACTGCGATTTTGGACATGATCGTTCGCAATCGGTTCAGGTGCATGGAAAGAAAGAGCATGGATCAGATGATTGTGTCGAAGATCGCATAGCCGAATACCAAGATGATGTTAAAGAAATGTCCGAAGCTTGCTTCGGAATCTCGTCGCTTTTCGCGCAGGAGAACAAGAGAAGAAGCAAAATCCCGGCAGCGGCATTCCCTGTATGATTTTGATGTTGATATGTTTTTGAAGATTCCCAAATTTCGGTTTAGAGAGACAAGGATGATGGTGATAGCAACAGTGGCGATGCTTCGCCTTCAATTATTCTTGACGACACCTTGTCGAACGGAAGTGATGAGAAAGAGGAGATCGAAATCAAGATTGACCCAAAAGAGGAAGTTGAAGACGAAGAGAATGAGCATAGTGAACACGAGATGGAGCACGATGAGCAGGAGCATGAAAATGAGGCTGAGGAAGAGGGGGAAGCTGAAGAGGAAGAGGATCCCGATGAGGAAGACAGCGGTGTTGTGATGACTGGAAGCGCCCGCAGAAAGAGGAGGCGCTTCAACTTTCGACCGAAAAAGACGAAGAAGCAGATTAAAGAAGCTCTCGTGATGCGCAGCATCTCGATGTTGATCGGAGGCGCGCAGTTCTATAGAAAAAAAGTGAATGAATTCTGCTATTGCGAGGTAAAATTGATTTGACGCTTTGAAATAATGCTATTGGTTTTTTTTAAGAAGTGTGGCAAACATACGAATAACCGCCTTCCTGAACACGCCTATACCCATATGAAAGCTGATCTTTTCTTGTGCCCAATTTGTCAATTGGGACATCAATCGCGCGAAATTGTCATTAAACATATGCGCGATATGCATCCGCTTTGTGCGGAGAAAGTCGTTGATAATAGGTAAAATATTTGTTTTTCCCTTAAAAAAATCATTTATCATTTTTTTGCAGGCTTTTACATGTTGCCGAAATCAAAGAAGCTATCAGAGGATGTTACCCGGCATTCTTTGTTGACATGCCGCTTCCAAATGAATCGGATGTCGCTAAAATGTAAGGAGTCGAATATTGCAGTTTTTATAAATATTGTTCAGATCCGAACTTACTAAAGGAGAGGAGACCCAGATTGCTGGAATTGAGGAATATCTTCAAAAACTCGGAAATTAAATACTATTTTCCTTCTTATTTCTGCCGTTCTTTTTTTATCTTTTTGTTTATTATTTTCTTGTGCTTACCCTTGATTCCGTGCTTTATTATTCCACCAACCTACATTTCACTTTCTATTCGCCTTTACCTTATTCTGAGGCCTTTTTCTATTAATTACTTGTACCTGCAATCAATGATAACAGGGTTTGGTTTATCTCTATCAATGTCTAATAAATTTGTATATATTTAAATTTTTAATTTTTATTGTCACAAACGTGGGTTTTCATCTATTTTAATGAGAATTAAAGATTTAAAACATCGAATTTTGAGATAATTTTGTAATCGAACATTCTGTTTTCTATAGTAGCAATGAAATTGACATAATATTTTGAAGGGTGGAAAATCTCATTAAGTTTGTCTTGAATAATTGTGGACCATTACACTTTTTCGAGGCGGTAATTCAAATCTGAAGCTAAACAGTGAATTCGGATACCGTAATACAGATAACTTGCGAATCAAATAACCTTAATCTACCCAAGGTGATCAGTTTTTGCGATTCCATTAGTCTTTTGAGGTTTTTATTTCTCAAAAATCTGCATAGCATCATAAGAAACTTTTTGAATGCAGCGAAAAAAACGAATTTAAATGTTAGAAAAAACCAAACTAGAAGAATTTTTCAGCAAATTTCGCCATGTGGCCGGACCATTAAAAAACATGATGCGGTGTACCATTTGATTGGTCTCAAAATAAATCACACTCCTCCAACTTTGTTAATGCTAAAAAATCATTTTTTTAATTATGCACTTTCACATTATGATAACTCGTTCCTAAAATTGTTCAAAACGAAACCCGATGAGAGCAATTCGAATGGTGAAGCAATCGCGAGCAAAATTCGTTCGTCGATGATAATTGTGTGATTCACTTGACATTTTTGTGCGATAACATCAATGAAACTTGGAAAGATTTATCACAAATTGATTTACCCATTATTGAGAATAGAACTGGAATGAAACAGCACAAATTGAGAGACATGAACATCATTGTTAGATTCGAGATGCAACCGGAAAGAAAAACTCATTTTCACTAGAGAAGTACATGCGACATTAAGCGACTATGCGGATTTTTGAAAAATACCCGAAAAAAAACAAACAACAACAAAAAGAAAATTATAATGTGGTAAATTATGAATTGGACCAGGAAGCCGGAACCCATGATGGTTCGGTGTTGACTTTCATCATGATCTGTTTAAGCTCCTTCAGCGATTTTTCGATATCAATGTTGACAATAATTCCATCAAAAAGATGTCCATACTTCTGAAATGCAATTTTCTCGTAGAATAATTTCAACAATTTCATAATTTCAAACTTGTTCAATCATTTTCGATTGCATCAACGTTGCTTTCAAATCCTCATCCTTTGTTCCGAAGCATCCGTCGGTTTCCTTTTGTCTCTTCAAAGCGTGCAATGACGGAGCAGCGATGAATACAATGAATGGCTGAACTTCAGGACAACGGATTGCGCCGAGGCTCTCCGCCTTCAATGTCATCACGCAAGTCTTGCCGCGTTCGATGACATTTATCACATCTTTTTTAGCAGTGCCGTACCAATTCTTTTGATATTCGCCGAATTCCACAAATTTGCCCGCCTATACTATTTGAGATATTCAATTAATAATTTTTAGTTAAAGTTCCAACCCTTGCTTCTTCATGGAACTTCTGTCTGCTAATAAAATGATAATGAACACCATCGAACTCTCCTTCCTTCGGAGCTCTCGAAGTGTACGGAACAGGGCATGACAGAGTGATTCGATCACCTTCAAGAAGTCGATCACGCAACTTCAAACTTCCGACGCCTTCAGCGCCACAGAGAACCAAAGGTCTCCGATGACTAGCGCGAGGAAGCTGAAGGACAACTTCCTCATAAGTAAGTAAATCTGAGAATAATCGAATTTGAAGAAAAAATTGGAAGAATTCCAACTAACCCGAATAATGTGATATATTCGGCAAGTTCATTTCATCAACTGGCTTCTGAATATCGGTCTTCTTTTTCTAAAAAAAAACATTGATTTTATAATTAATCGAAGAATTGCCAACCTTCTTTTTACTATCTTTCCTTTTATTATCGTTTTCTCTTTCAAGTTCTTCGGCATAAAGCACAACTCTATAAAAATCAGCGAATCATTTCAGCAATATTTGTTCTATACAAACTGTTGTCTGAAGGAAGCGCTTGGTATTAAACCAGCCAACGAATTCGAAGTATCTTCGCCTTCTCGATAAGCTTGCCACCAATTTTCATCCGTGGTGCTCAAAACGTGAAGAATATCACCGCGTTGAAACTTCATTGCCAATTCTTTGCATGGCACATAAACGTCATCCTAAAGAGATGATTTGAATTGAATAGCTTCTTCTCTGTCGAAATAATACCTCTGGATCATAGTCGAACAACGCTCGGAGGTGTTGAACATGTTGGGTCTTGGTACGATTGACGAGTTTCGTCTCATCCTTGTCGTTGGTTTCCCGAGAGGCGACGAGAAATGTGACCTCTCCCGACAAGTTCCTCTGCCAATTTCAATTAATTAAAAAAGTGACTCATGGGCGGTTCGGTTTACCATAATGTCGCATATCTCATTGATCTGTTTGCCCTTCAATGAGACGCCGTTCAATTCGAGAAGCTCGTCGCCTTCTTGGAATAGATTCATCTTTTCAACGATTCCTCCTTTTACGACACGTCCAACCACAATTTTATTGTCTTCGTTTCGAACAGTGGCTCCCTGAAGCGAATTGATGAGCAAAATAATGAGCCGACGACGAACCAAATAGCTATCCTCATCTTTGATTATTGAAACAACTCGAGCTCGTCCTTCAACTTCGTCAACGTTTCTGGATTTCGGTGGAACTGGAGATGACGAGCATGAGGAACCACCGCTGTCGGTTCCGATTCCAGACGATGTTCCGCAATTTCCATTTGTAGTCTATAACAATTAATAAATTAGGGGGATTCCTTCAAGCCAATTAATTCACTTTATATTAATATTTCAAAATCAAGATGCAAATTTTGTTTTCTTCAATTTTTCACAGTTTTTAATTTTTAATTTCTTTCAACGAACTTCGAAAGAATTCGAATATTGCAAAATTTGAAAAGTCTTTTTGTTGATGAATATTTTAAAGCTTCGCAGATGCACATTTAAACGGTTAAAAAAAGAATTTCACGAACCTTTTCATTAGCTTTGACAGTTTGCTCAATGGCTGCTTGAATTGGCGGAGCGGAGAAGTATTCTCGAAACATCGCGACATCGGATTCAGCAACTTAAAAAAAACTTGATTTTGCCGAAAAATGTCGACGCAATACCATTACCTTCAATAGACGAAAGTTTGGATGCGATTCGTTCAACCGAGATGATGACTTCATCCAGCACTTAAAGCCATCAATAGATAATTAAAAAAAGAGAAATGAGCTTACGAATTGGCTCTTTGTTGTTATTCGCTTCGGCATCAGATTTTGACGGTGTTGCTCGTTGAATTGTTCCAGGCAAATCGGATTCTTCGACTTCAGCCAAAGGGTTCGCAAATGAGGCAACCTTTGAAGGCTCTTCTGAAAAAAAGAAAACAAAAATGAAAACAATTGAAAGTGTGATATGTAATACTACTTCCTGGTTCGACGGATTTAGCAAGCGATTGCAATTTCTTCGATTTTCTCAACGAGCTTCTCAGAAACGTGTTCTCCTGCTCTTTTCGTCGTTTTTCGAGCATTTCAAAACTTTCCAAAGGCCTTCGAAGGCTCCCTCGCTCAACTCCTAAACCATTCGTCTTTGGTTTCTCCACACTCGTTGGCGTGGTAGCCGCAATATGCTCCATATCATACGTCCGGATTTCAGGATATTCTCTGAAATTGGTTTTTTTTTTCATGAAAACTACATTCGTTGCATAAAATTCGGTTGAAATGGCCTCGAAGTAGAAAAAAAATGAACTGGTTGAAACGACATTTTTTTTATGCAATGTCGTCGATCGGTGGGGAAACAATAAAACCAAACAAATCGATAAAGAACGCCTTAGTCATAAAATAACAGTTTTGTCAATAAAGCGGCAAAGCCTGGGAGACAGGTAGAATGCGAAGATCGAGAATCGAGATAAATCGAAATTCTGAAGGTCTTTCTCATTTGGTTTTTGTTTCACTGGTTCGAGCGACCAAAACGAGAGTCGCCGTGTCTCAATTAATGCTCGTCGTTGCGACAGCTCGTCGAGCGCGTACACCTGGCTTTTCCTGTCCACAATTTGCCCGAATATAATCTGCTAATCGCACCACCGATGGTGATGCTGACTGCCCTATTTGTGGTTCGGGTTAGATGCGCGAAGCAGCAACACGCCGAAAATATACATGAGGCGCCAACCAAAAATAAACAAACATCTTCATTAAATCGGAATATGAGGAATAGAAGCTGACGACAAAAAAATACGCATTTTACACCTAAAATTTCCTTAATGATAAGTGTCGTATGAATAACTCGCCTATTATGATATAATTTATGGGTTTTGAAGAATGAAACAAACAAAAGGGCGTGTTGCTCATATGAATTTCTTTTTGTGGTCCGACCGACACCTCTCACCTGTCGCAATATGGCCGCCGCTAATTGAGGACCGCTGTTATTTTATGGCAAGATGCGATATATGGACGACGCGGGAAAATAGGCCCGAAATCTGACACCACCCGATAAAACGGAAAATTATTTTGGACTCGCATGAAACGGAGGGTTGAATAGAGGCGAGGATGAGGCAGCGGATACATAAATATACATAGAAATGTGTAAAAAATATATATAATATGTGATGGATTATAGGCAATCGAAACTGGTTGTGTGTGTTGTATGTCAAATGTTTGGTATAAAATGCGTGGAGGCAAAAAACCGTAACCGAAAAGGGTCCTTGAATTCGGTTTTGAGTGCCTCACCGAATGCACTAATTTAAAAGGCCGATGGTGATGGTAGGCGAGCGAGAGAGCGATGGAGTGTGTGGGCGATATGAAGAGGCGAAGGGGTTCGGACAGGGGGGTCCCGACTGTCAACAACAACTAATTATGCGGCGAATCAGAGCAGAACAACATGAACATTTATTAGTGCACAAAATTTCGACAGTACGATATTATAATGGTTATTTGTTTTGGTCAATTGGAATATGGCACCTTCGAGTCTTGGCTCAAAATTTGATTTGAGCGAAAGGAATGCGAATCGGAGCTTCTTCATTTCGATGAAGCTTGGGTAGAATTGTATTGATATTGAATTATTTTAGGCGGGTGCGTGTTTAAACCAAAAAAAAACTCCCCTATGATGAAATTGAGAAAGAAATGATGATAATGCTGCTCATTCCTCATTTTGATTGGGAGCGACGAAAGATGCCATTAAATCGCCGACGAAACGCGTAAATCTGCACGAGAGCAAAATACGAGATGGCTTGAAGTAAAAACAGAAGAAGAAGAAGAAGAAGAAGAAGAAGAAGAAGAAGAAGAAGAAGAAGAAGAAGAAGAAGAAGAAGAAGAAGAAGAAGAAGAAGAAGAAGAAGAAGAAATGAAAAATTGCGAAGTGGAGCAACGAACGAAGAGTAATGTGAGAACACGGCGAAATGAACAATTCTGAGCAGCTCATACATATGGTTTTCGGCAAACATTCGTCATTTCGAAATTGAATGAACAGACCGAAGCCAATGGAACGAGGAGACGAACAAATGATTGAATGAGGACGAAGACGAATCGACCGGTTTCAATTGGTCTGAGAGCAAATAAGATCGCCTGAAGACTAGTAGAAGAAGCGACGAGCAGTTAAGCGGGCAGTAGAAGAAGAAGAAGAAGAAGAACGCGACAATATTTGGACAAGCGACTGCGGGCGTGTACTGTTTGTGTTGACGAGTAAGGAAAGTGTGCAATGTTTCTTTTTTGATAAGCACTCCAAAAATTGTGAGCGTCGGGTGAACCTGGGGTATTCAAAAAAGGAAGTTGCGATAAAAATAACTGATAGTGAAGTTAAAGAAAATGTCATTTAAAGAAATGACTTTTAGAGTTTATGAGGGTTAAACTAAATAATCCACATTGATATCCCTCAAATTTTCTAATAAAATGCTTATACTTTTAGTCATTATTGTTTTTTTAAATAGATTTTTGAAATACTTTTCCATTTCCAGATAAAAACATTGGTTGAAATTTTGAAATAAAAAAAAATTCATTAGGCATTTCATATTGCTGACAGGGAGGTTTTTTGCTGTCCGTCTTAAAAAAATTTTTATTTTTTGCATGCAGATTCTTTAGAAAATTTCCAATCGAATGAACTAGGTACCTGTGCAAACTTCTAGCTATCGAGATATGGACCTTCAAAGTTTTAGCCCCTCCTCACGTGCACGTGTGAGTACCATGCATAAATATGCGAAAATCGCTGAAGAATGATGAGAATACGCCAAATCGCAAGGATCCTCCTCAAATTATACGTTTTGAACCCTTCAATTACATTCATGGCGCAATGTATTGAAGAGAAGAAAGATCGCTATTAATTTAATTTAAGTACATCAAAAAAGTAAGGCGTTTGAAGAGTTTTGCTGGCGGTTTTTAGTTGACGATTTTTATGGCATTGGCGATAGGAAAAATGAACAACCTATTCGATACCTAACAAGACCTCCTTCGATTGAAGGTTGTCTCAATTTTTCATCAATTTCATCAATCAAATACTTAGTAAATAGGCATATACAGGCAACTTAAAAAAAACTTGATATGCCACTAATCAAACACCAAAATAATTGAGATAAAGAAGCTCGATTCAACAGAAATAAAAAAGTGAGGAAAAACGGGGACGTGACGACGGAATTATATGAGGCGTGAAACGAATTCTCACAAGGCTATGATTATTAGGAAAAACGATGGGTACGAGAGAAGGGGGGGGGGCTTTCGAACCGTTTCGACGAAGAGGTCGGCCGATGAGAACACACTCCTTCTGATAAACGTGGCCGATAACCGTGCGGGCGGCAAGATGGAGAGAAGAAGATGAATACGCGACGAAGAATTTCATATTTTTTGAATGATTGATGACAATTGTTTGAAGGTTGTCGTCGGGACGGGGAGATGAAGCAAACACCTTCAATGAACTTCCAAGGTCGAACAGATAGCCCGAATCTCGACTGTCGAAGGCAAGCCACACTCAAAAAAAAGTGGGAAAATGAGAGAATTGGAAATCCATTTGGTCCACGTTTTATGAGTATCGCGAATAAATCGAATTTTAATTGGATTTGTGTGTTTGATGCAAACATTAATTAAGGAATTCTTGCCAATATCTCTGCCTTCATTTTTATGTTCGATTGATATTGGGTGATCGAATGCCATTTCCATCTGAGACCCACTATCCAATATATCGGACTATCGAGACAAACTGTTGAAATCGTCGAATTTTTTAAACTCTTGAAAGAAATTTCTTTATCCTTTTTTGACAAAGATTGAAAATTTTCTAACAATTTCTTCGGCATTTATTTGGAAAGTCGCGCTATTGCAGACGACCTACTGTAGATTTGGGTCTTGGAACATACGTGTCAATTGGGGGATATTTACGCCACGCTTGTAGATGTGAAATTGTCCGTGTGGAGTACACAGACGAAACTCTTCGTCTCGTGACCATTCATGGTTTTTTTACAAATTTGTTGCATTGGCACAATAAAAAAAGTTTTGTTTACATAAAAATAATTCTATTTTAATTTTATGGATATCTATTTTTTGACACTTACAATCTTGATATTATTTTCAAGGCATTTAAAACTATTAAACTTCTATAACTTCTAGTCGTTATAAGACCAGCATAGTTAATTTGATATTTTTCCAACCTTTCTCATAAGCTAAAGTCCAGAAAAGAAATAGCCAATGCCCCAAAAAATAATAGTGTTCAAGGAAATGTAAATGAAAATCTATGAAAAAAGCAATGAGAATGTGGCTCAAAATTGATTTAAATTCCAAAAAAAGGGAGAAACGCGACTCTTTGCAGACATAAAAAAAAGAGAAAAATTGTGGGCGAAGACGCGTTTTATTTTCGAATGAAGCCACCAAATCCACCTACTTATTCAATCGTTTTGTGACCTCTTTAATGTGCTCTTTGTCCACCGAAACCAAATACGCATCAGTGACCATCCGACTTGTCTGTGCGCCTTCAATTCAATTGTTTCGCACATATTTACCTATTTCCCTTACAATTAAATACAAATGCTTCGTTTTCGGCCGGAATTTCGACTGCCGTTTTTCGAACTTTTAGCTGAATTATTTTCTTTCGAATACACTGAAATGATGCTTGAAAGAACAAAGTATGAAGAATAACCGACGGACCTCTTGAATATAAGCAACGATTTCCTCATACTTCTTGCCTGCCACTTTCAAGTCATTCACTCCAACAATTTCATCGCCAATGCTGAGCCCAGCTCGATCGGCAGCAGTGCCTTCAAAAGTGTGTTTCTTGTATCCCGAAGAACTCTCACGACTTACCATATAGCCTGACCTCATCTCCTTCCTGTTCGACAAGTATTACAAATCCGGTGAGTGTTGTTGTGCTCACCGGAACCTTCTTCTGTCGAGACGTCGCACTGCTCAGGCGTCGAAGTGAGGTTCGTTTGAGGTCGCTGAGCGCCTGCGGTATTGACACCGATTTGGACATCGCTTCTGAAGCAAACAAAAGATGTTTTGAGGAAACCGAAATATTAATTTTTCGAAATAGGAATTTTCACAAATGAAAAAGAAAGAATGAAATTCGGGAGAAAACAAGAATTACATATTTTCTTCGCTCGAAAATTTCTTCGTGCGAGAAAAATTGCCAAGAATTAAATTGCTTCGACAATATTCTTTTGTTATAATTGAGTTCTGAAAAATTCAAAAATGTTTAGCTAAAAAACGCCATTGAAACTGAAACTTGTTGATTGTTTATTTCTAAAATCGAAAGTTTAAAAATCGTTGTTTTGTCGGTTGCAGAAAGTTTATATTAATAACGAATAATGACGATTGTGAAATTCGAGGAATCAAAATATTGATTTAAAAATGGCGTTTGCAAAAAAAAAGAAATTTATGAAATTTTAATGACAAAATATTTGTCTCCTCATAAAAAAAACTTCAAAAATAAAAGTGAAGTAGTTGGACCAAGAATTGAAGATATTTAAATTTATGCGAGCATAATTCAACCGCCGCAATTTCATTTTTAAAAGTGGTCACATTTTACGAAAAAAAAAGAAATTTTATAAAAATAAATGAATGATTGTAAAGATTTTCAAAAGAAAAACCCGTGATTCCTCTTCTTCCAATAAGTGCATTATTCTCGGGCATACTTGAATATTCTTTTGAAAAAAAAGGAAACCAAAAAAGGAAAATCTATTAGTCTGTCTTCTTAAGGAAGGAAATTCATGAATGCTGATTGAAATAAAAGAAAAAAAAAACGAGAATTGAAGATAGTAAAGCGAAGAATAAACAACGACGACGTCGAAATTCTGGAGATTAGCGCAACATACTTTGTGTACGTTTTTTGCCTTCGTTGAAAAAAAATCTTTTGGGGAGGCGTGGCACCTGTTATCCCGCTTCAAATCAATGATCAATGGCTTGCAAAATGGTTAATGGCAAAGTGGGCTCGAATCAATTCATCACATCACATATGTTCGAAGTGAATGATCTCGGCAGGAATCGGTGTGCAGCGAGTTGGACCCGCAAGAAAAAAAATCGAGAAAAGTGAAGAAATCAGTGAGGCACGAAATAAAAGAGACGATGCATCGAAAAAAATAACAACAAACTAGTGAAGAAATAATTAGTTAATTGTAGTGCAGAGGGATGAGAAGGCAGCGATTTGGAAACAAGGGGTCGAGCCTCCGACGAAAAAAAAGCATTCGAATTTTGACATATGACCCCATGGGGAGAGCCGAAAATCCGCCTGGCATGAAAAGATGCCGTCGATGCGAGAGGAAGCCAACAAATAGTTTGGGGTGGGTGCTGAGGCTCGCACAATGCATTGGTGGTGGGTGGTGGTGATGATGGAGACGGCCAGCCAATGGTCATCACACCATCGCTTGTTTAATTCGTCGTCTCTCCTCATTTTCCTTTCGAGCTTTTGGCATGTACTTAAGGATATTCCTACGAGAACATAAAATTTCTCAATTGGTTAGGAAATTGCCCCGTTTTTCAGAACAACTATAACGGAAAATGAAACGAATTTGATCGCACTGCGAAATTTGAAGAGATCCTCATCGAGAGATCTTGTCGAGCTCGACAAGATTCATCACGACGCACTCATTTGTCTCATTAATTTGATTGAGACGTTTCGATTCAGATGGAAAGAATGGGTCGCCTCCGCTCAATTATGAGTGCCGGCATGTGACGCAACGATAAAAATAACGGAAGGAGAAAAGATAATTAAATTATTTTCCGTATAGTCTTCAGTCTTCTTGAACTGAAATTTAATTTCTAGTTCCGGTTTTCCAAAAACAATATTGAATTCAAGATAAATTTAATTTTAAGAAACAGTGATTGTAATTAAAAGGTATTTAGCAAAAAATAAATCCTCATTTAAAGACGCAAAGATAAACATTTGTTTTGAATTGACCAAAAACGAGTCATTATAGCCAATTTCCAACAAAATTCCAATACAACAAGTTTTTTGCTAGACCAAGAAGTGCCCCCGGCGGCCAGTTTTAATTTCCGTTTTGCCAAATTTAAAAATCGATCCCTATTAATGCATAACAAAGAAAAAAATTTCGTTTCAGCAAATTATTATTTTATAAAATTCTTCGAAACCCTAAAAGGAATACACAAGAAAAATCTTTCAAGAAAAAACGGCATTCGTTGCCGCCTTTCTAACATAAGAAGTGCTCATTAAGAACTCCAGACATCACTCGCTGGTGAAACCACAAAACAAAAGACCTACCGTACTTCGTAATTAGCTGTTGTTGCTGCCTTCTCTGAAGGCTACCAATGGTACGAAATGAACCTAAGGGGCAACGCTTCTGCGCCACGACTAATTGAATTCGCTTCTAAAGCAACTCAATTAGAAGCGCCTACAAAACACGCGAAGATGAAGACAAAATGTGCAAATGAAATAAGGAAAAGCACCATTGATCATCAAAAATTTATATAATAACAACTGTTGCACCCGCATAAGAAATTGAAACAGACGAGAACTAATGAAAAAACACATGAATGGCGAGATCGGATGACTAGAAGGGTGTATTATGCGAACGACTTCAATGAAAGAAGCAATAAAAAGAAAGACGATTCTAAAAAGTGCTAATGTTTCTACAAATGCCGCAGCCCATTGCGAATTCTTCTCCAGTGGGCGGGTGCTTCATCTTTAAAGGACAACTCGGCTCGTCCAATGGCATCGATCGAGGGCCAACTGGACATGGCGGAAGTAGGTTTTTCGGCAGTGTCATCAGACGCTGGAAATCATCGTGGCACGGTGCGCAAAAATGAGTTGTTCCAAAACTGAAACGAATCAATATTTTAAAATCAAGAAAAATGAGTAAACGTAAAACATTACCAAAAGTATACAGCTATTGAGCAGCAGAATCTACATTTATACTCTAAAAATTCTACTCCATGTCTTGGGCAGACTTGCACTCCAGTGGTGTCCGAACAAGCACCACAAATAAGCTCTTCCGGATTGTATTGAGAGCTATCCAATGCCTAAAATGATGCCTTGAGACCAATTTATAAGAATTTCACCCATACCGCTTGACATCTGCTTTCTCCGCCGAAATATGCTTTCTTACACTTGTGACAAAGAACATACATGTAACGATCTAAGGCGTATTCTTCAGGCTGATTGAAAAATTCGCTGAAAAAGAAATTGCACTGTCAGAAATGTGCTATTGAAAACATTTAATAGATACGGTAATAATATTTCAAAACCAACCTTCTAGGATCTGTCAGAGCTGGCGATGACATCAAACCATCATATTCGAGCCGCATTTTCGCTTTTTCAATAACTTCTTGGCGGATGACTAACAATGGTTCAAGAAGATCCGTTAACCCAGGATGAGATATCTAAACGTAAATAAACGTTGAAATGTACAACCGTGAGCGTTTCATACCTTTTGAATACAAAGTGGACAATGCATAAATCGGAAAACAATTCTTGGTCCATTCCATCGGCGATCAAGAATCATTCGAACACAATGATAATGGAATATGTGATCGCACTCAAGTCGAATACATGGTGCAGCTCCAAGACGCTCTGTGAAACAGATCACACATACGTCATCGCTGTCTTGATTAGCATCCGATCGTTTGCACGTCATGCACGGAAGACAATCAACCTCGTCCTTGATGCCGCCGCAAAAATGTCCGCAAGAATGCACTTTGTTGCACGCAGTTTTCGCGTAGTTAACACAATCATCATGAGAGCATGTGCCGTCGAGATTCTGCTCATGACTAGGCACAGAATTTCCGCAAAAACGGCAGAACGAATTCTGGTTTCCAGGACTAAATGCTGATGATTGCATTGGATTGCCCGAAGACGACGGAAAAATAACATCCGAAGTGATTTCAACCATTCCATTCAAAGCTTCTCCATGGAATAAAACCTATGAATAAAATTTAGTTAAAAGAATCGCAGAATCAAAATTGATAGCACAAACCAGTAAATTCATGAGTTTCATTCTTGCGCATCCTTGATGAATATTGATATCATGTTGAACATTCGATTGAGCCAGACTCTTCACACCATGATTCCGATTTTTCTTGTGAAGGTGCATAACCGTGAAACATTCCTTACAAAGCGCGACATCGCAGTCCAAACAGAATACTTGAGCAACGGTGCTACCGTCGTCATGGTTCTCACAAAGGATAACCGGCTCATCCTCGACTTGTTCCTGCACGGTCCTCCACCTCTCCGACAATTCCAACCATTTCTTATCTTTGATCAATGCTAAAGACGCAACAGCGAGCCAGAATCGCTTTGAACCGATGATTCCAGACGATCGCGCCCTTCCCGATGATAATTGCTCCGAGAATGACATTGATTCGGGCATTTGCACAAGACTCAGCAATGTGTTGGCAAGTTCTGCACGAGCGGCTTCGGCCCAATCATCAGAATAGGTTCCGTCACTAAAAATTATATTTGAATTATCTGAAAACCGATCAAAATATCTACCATATGCTCATTATTAATTGCGCGGTTTGCCTTCCAATTTCGATATCAATCGGCCGATCAACTCGCCAATTCTGTGGCGCATTTACTAGCGAAGACTGAATTGATTTTCGAAAATACATGAAACAAAATAATTTGAACATACACACAGATGAACGGTGACCACAGTATGAGCTGCTTTATCTCTCACTTGCAGCTGAATAACTTTTCCCACAACAATGAGGAGATTCCGAATGATTTTCGATACTTCTACAGCATTTGGAGTGAACGAACGAAATATGCATTCAAGCGAATTAAGACATTGTCGTTGAACAACCTGAGTTGATAATTAAATGCACATAATTAATGGAAATATACCAGTGGAGCAAAAACGAGCAATTGAGTTATCGATGACAAGATCGTGTTCTTTTGACCAGAAATGTCGGCAGAAACATTACAATCGCATATTCTAACCAACAATCCCATCAATCCACAACAATACGAGTAGTTTCGCTTTGATTTTTGGCAAAGAAGTTCAACTTCCCTTGAAGTTAAAAAAAGTAAATTTGTTAAAATATAATGGAAAATGTACCTTTGCATTGCTTGAACAACTTGGTTGTACACATAATTTTGCAAAGGATATAATTGAACTCGACTGAACAGCAAATCAATGACGTGCTCTCGCAATGTATCATCTTCCGAAAATTCTCCACAGAAAGCCTAAAAGGATAAATTTACACATAAATGTATTCAAAAAGACTAATTGAATAATACTTGTGACGAAATCGCTTGGAACAATGCAAAAGCATCTCTTTGAGTATTGCTGAAGAACAAATGATGAGATGACGAAGGCGGAAGACTCGACGTAGCAGTGATTTTCTCAGTAAATCCAAGAACAGCCAATTGTCGAACTCTTGAAGATGGAGAAGGTCCTTTGAACGTGATTTGAATGTGTCGAACTGTGGCGATGCAACATTTCACCCAGCCGGTGTAATTCTAATATTTCAAAACAGGTTTTTTTTAAGCGGTGAACAAACATGCTTACATTTTCAACATTGATAAAGTTCAAATCTTTTTTGCTTCCATCAGCTTCAATCGCTTTGAAAGCTACAGAATGTACTCGATATCCATCATCTCGAACATTATCAATGAATACTGATAAAAGAACTCCAGTGGCTTCTTCTTCAATCTGCACATTGAGAGTTCGTGATCGATTCTTATCCTAAATTCAAAATTAAATTTTGAATATAAAAAAATATTTACAACCTCGTCCCCACTTTCCCAGAATGTTTCGCCACTTTCATCGGTCAAGCAAATCACCATCGCCTGTCTACTTGATGCCGTAATTTTCACAAATTTCGTAACATCAATCATTTCCTAGATAAATTTTCGATTCAAATCTATTCCGACTTTTGTTTCTTACTTTAACATCCACTTCATTTTTGGTGATTCGCGATATTTCATTGATCGATGTGTCTGAGAGTACTCCTCCAACTGTTGCAAGGATATTACACGTCAAAATGAGAAGATCTTGTTCTTGAGCGGTTAGTTGAAGTGTCCATGCTTTAAAACAAAGTGATCGAAGTCGTCCATCGACTCCAGACGATTGAAGAATGATCGAGACGGTATGAAGAAATGAGTGCAACTGGCACACCATTTCGCCAGCAATTGGTCCTGCGAGGAAGCACAACCTCCAGGGATGTGGGAGGATGTTCGCATTCTTCTTTGAGGAATATATGTATTCCGCTAGACGATTGTAGGAGGTGAGTGCCGTGAGATATTGAAGAATAACATCGGAGACACTCGTTTCTGAGGAAACCATTCGAAGGAGCCAATTCCACACACGAAGAGCATGGGAGAACGCAACGGCGCGCCGAACAGATTGAGCACATGCGGCACGAATCCTAAAAAAAATAACTTTATTTGGAATAGATAAAATCGAATGAATACCTTTTAAGATCATGATGTTCTACACAAAACGCTAACACTGGACGCTTCAAAAGCGCAGTCGTAGAAGGTGTTGCGTTTGAAAACAGCGTTCGCAAGGCCGCAGATGGTGATTGAAGAACTTCTGTAGGAGCCGGAACGTTGCCATGTCGATTCAGAGATGCTGTTTGGTCGGGTCCGTTACCCGGCGGACTAAGAATACTGCATGCTTTCGGCCCTGGATCAGAAGAATAACCGGTTTTCATAAGTGATTGTGCCATATATGATGTTTTTGCAATAGAAGAATCGATCTGATACTGGAGATTTAATTTAAAATTTAAAATTGCATCAAACTTGAATTACCTTTTTCACACTTTTTGGCATAGTCGAAGGTGTACTAGAATGTGTTGGAAACAAATTTATCGTCCATCCAGAAGTTGCAGTGGAAGAGTTCTAAATCAATTAATAAATCAATAAAAGATGGAAAAAAATTCGCTCACTGCTGAATCTGAGTGCAAACTAGAATTTAAATCCAGAAGGAACAATGCATTCAATCGGATGATGACTTCAGGCCGAGCTTCAGAAGCAGACGTCGAGAAACGGAATTCCCTCCAACGTCTCGTTCTTTCCTACAATTCCGAAATGCGCATAAAACGTGCACTTTAAACAAACTCAATTTACCATATGATGCCCAGCAGGTGTCTTCCGTAAATATTGCGACCGACAATTATTGCACATCAAGTACCAAGGAGCTTGTCCCCGACCACCTGTACCGCATTCTCCCGACCAACCAGTTGTGAACTTTCCGTTTGAATTATATCCATAACCAAGACAATCGCCACCGCAACCCGGATGAGCCATTCTTAGATGAACGGTTAGTGGCACTTTGAATGTTTCATCACAAAGTTCACAACCACCGCTTCCTACGGATTGCTGAAAAAATCATTATTTTAGAATTTCATCGACGAAAAAGCAGTGGACATTACCTTGATGGAATCAGCTAGCAATGTCTTGTTGGTGACCGCCGGCATTATGAGATGTTGTTCAACGCTTACTTGAACAACTTCACAAATTTCTCTCCAAATTTTGACAATCGGCTGAAGAGCTGCCGGCGCATTACTCGTCGCAGGAACATCGCAGGATTGCCAAATCTGAAAATTCTCGTATATTAAAAAACCAGAAACTGACGAAAACTAACGTTATGCAAATTTTGATGAAATCTAAGGTAAGCAGCTGCAGCCATCAGATCTTTCACCAGGTGCTCATGCCACACAAAAGCAGCGAACACCGCACGAATACAATCGGCCACCGATGGCTGAATCGCAATCGGCAGATGTCTTGGAACTTCGCGTTCTCTACCGCAATCGATTTCCTCTTCGTTTCCATTCGTTGAGAAATTCAACGATCTTTCCAGATTATCTGATGAAGCATCAACCTAGAAATATGAAGCATACATCTACAATTCATTTTTAGCTTTTTGTCTTACACTTTGGAGAACATATTTTTCGGCACCAGCAAGTTTAATCCAAACTCCATGCCGATTCGTCAGCCATCCACTGCTCACAATTTCTTGAGGACCAACAATCTGAAGCACATAAATATTGAGTTGGTCCCCAAATATTCTCTCGACAACTACTATTTCAAGTCAAAATGTTAATTTCCGCCGACTGAGACTTTGAGGAAATTGAACAACTTTGGCACAATTTTTTTTGCGACAACTTCAAAATTTAAACGTTCTAAAAATAAATAGTAACCTTTTCGCCACGAATAATAGCATTCGGTGTTGGCTGAGAATAGACTTGAAGAGTGTCCGTCGACGACAAAAGATAAGTTTCATCTGCATCGATCGAAATACTATGATGTTTCGTATTTCTTTCTTCCGATTCCACAATTTTCTTCCGGAGTTTCACAGTCTTCTCCCTGTTCTGTTTGTCACCCAATGGAATGAGCTGTCGGCGGAGTGCTCGATGATATGCGAGACACCAAATCTGTCCACTTCCGATAGTACACCCATAAAGAAGTGCTGTTTCATCGGTAAGACGAATCCATTTTCCATCATCGTTCTCAATCTCCTCGATAAATTCAATTATTGCGCCCCTGAAAAAAACATAAAGAACCTAGTTAGGAAATACATCATCCAATAAATTATTACCTTGGGATCACACCCACTGGAGTAGATGCCAACGTTGTTCCCAAACGCATTCGCAGTCCAGAAAATGCACTTGTGAATGGGATAACAGCAGTTTGGGCAGTTTTCATCTGAGCTCCACGATGAACAACTTTCTCCTCCGGCTTGTTCGTCATTTCGACGATTTCAACACTGTAGGTATGAGCAATATCATATCCATCAACTTTGCATTCAAGACGATAATTTCCAGGAACAGAAGGCGTCCAGTTTCCACAGAATATTGATTTCCCTTGACTGGTTAACACCGCTTTATCCTACAAAATGTAGTTTAAATAGGATATAACGACAATTTTTGGGAAAAACCTTGACAAGGTCTTCTTTCATGAATCCAAGGCGAATTTCTTCAATGGAATAGTTCGCGAATGCTGGCATTGCACAAATATTCATGTATCTCGTTCGATTTGCAATTATTGCCTGGAACGGATTTTGCTGGATCAACAGCGCTGATGGCAAACTGTCACCAGACAACTTTCCATGCTGAAAACGATTTACTTCTAACATTTCTATGAAATTAGAAACCATTGAAATCTTCGAACTACGAGCACCGAGGGTAGCAAACACTTCAACAATCAATTTTGGGCATTCGACTTCTCGATCAAATTGATCTCGACATGATAGCTTGATTTTCACCGGTTTTCCGACAACCTGAACGTTCTTTTTTTAGATCTCAAATTGTCAAAATAGCAGCTTACCATTTCTTCTCCGCTAATCGCAAGCTGACACTTGGAAGGGTCAACGACAGGACCTGCCGGAAGCCATCGTGCAAGAAAGCCAGAAGACGTCGCAGGATGAGCCGCCAAAAACTCTTTGAGGAACAGCAAATCCGGAGATTGTGCAGATGGCGGATGCCCTTTGGTTATCAACTCGGCCAACGTCGGCGAATGACTCAAGCTCAATCCTTTCTTCAACAAACTCCCATGTTTCTCGAAAAGATGCCGCGTGTCGTCTTCGGCAGTTGACAGGTGCTCAATACTTTTTGGGTTCACTGGCAGCTGTACCATTATTCTACAAGCATTGGCGCTCAACCAAACGAGCTCCTGCTCCAAACGAAGATTCGAATCCTTTTCGGTCGACATGTATCCCGAGACTGTTACGTGATATCCGAACATCTGCTCGAATGTCGCGCCTTCAACACTAGTCGACGTTTCGAGCACAAACCATAGTGAATTGCCGGGAAGAATCATCGGATAATTGGGCCAATCGTGGGATCCATAGCACCGTTCCACTGGCATATACGAATGCCCATTGACGCCAACATAAATGGTCAATTGATCGTCGAATTGAGCTGTTTCGCAGTTGGGCGAGAATCGGATGCACATAAAGTCGATGTTTTCATTGAATCCAACGACCATTGAAAACACTGAGTTTGGCTTATACGGATGAGGACTTTCCACAACAATCGGAATACATGCCGATTCAGATAACTCGTTATCTCTCCATTCTTCACTTTCACTCGTCTAAAAATATAGTTCTGCTTAAAACATCATAAATTATCAAGAATATACCTCAATAGTTCCATTCATGTTAGAGACCAAAGGAATGAGTTGCTCTAGTGTAGACATGATCTCGAGAGACTTATCCGGAAATCGTTCCATAAATACCATAATATGAGGAGAGATTCGTGAAATCAATGATCTTCCAGTTTCGGGGATCTCACCCAAACCAATTGCGGAGCCTATTTTGTTAGTGGCTAAGCGAAGCAGCAATAAAAACGAATCGTGTATCATTTCCTGCGTGATATGCGAAGTCTTCGATTGATCCATGACAGAATATAGAATGAACGGGATTTGTCCTCGTTGTACAGTCGTTCCATTGTGGCTCAAAGAGCACCCGGAGAAAAATAATCGTGTACCATTGACGAGTCGTATTTGGGCAGTCCCGCCTAAATTTGCATTATAGATTTTTTTTTCAGAATCCTCACTTTCTCCGCAATATGTCTTTCCATTTTTGGTCATGCACAATTTAATAGCATACGTGATTCCAGGAGATAAGAGAACATATTCAGTAAACTTGATGATTCCCGTTTCCTTATCTTCTGAACTCATATCAGCAGTGACTCTCAGAAGACAAGTCCACTTCTCGGATGAATCCGGCGAGAGCATTAGAATCTATAAAAAATCATAATTTCAATTAAATACACAAAAAATCTGATACCTCTCCAGTAAATTGTCGTTTATCATGCTCGGTCGGTAGATAAATTCCAAATCCATGAAGTTTGATGCCTTCCGAATCAACACGGAATGCGATAGAGTCCGGACATCCATCAGACATATCCCAATTAGGCACTGCACTTCTTCGTCGGAATCTTGACATGTGCTGATGAATAACGGGGCCCATCGCATTATCATCTTCCGGAATAGCTAATTCTTGAGATATTTTAACAATGATGTTCTCAGCAAGTTTTGAAGAATCATGAATTGGAATCTTGAATAAAATTCAGTTTTAAAATGATAAAAATTTGTTTTTTAAACCTGATTGCACTGGAATGTTTTATCATAAAGGAATCTCAGAACGTTGGAGAAAGATGTTAAAGAAGCAAGGGTCTCTTTCTCACAATCAAAGTGTTTCAGAAGGAGAGAAGACAACATCGGATACGTATCTTCCGCACAGTTATGAAGAATTTTGTTGGTAATCTGAACTTCATCTGATGAAACATAAATTCCTATATAAAAAAAGACCAACCTTCTCCATTTTTGCAATACTTCCGATCACAACCGCTGTCAAAATTGGTGATCTATGCGAATTCATAATTGCTATTAAGTGAGCATTAATTAATGAACTAAAACCAACAATATTATCACATTTTCTCGAGAAAACGAACTATTCTTACCGAGATCCTAGAAAACAATGTGATAATGACACAAAAAATTTGACACTTTCTGCTAAAACTTGAGACAATGCGTACCTCTGTAATAAAAAAAAAGTTAACAATATAAGAATTCTGTTGGGAAAAAACTTACATCTTCAAAACTAGAAATATCAATGCTGAAAAATTCTAAAAGCATAGAATGAAGGTTAACAAGTTTGTTAGCGAAATCGATTGACGGCTCATCTTGGATCGATCCTTCTTGATATATTGTTCGAATTTGACGTCTAAATATGAATTTTTCGATTAGAATCAAAAACGATGAACAATTTTACGATAATAATCTCATGCTGAGAAGTGCAATGAATGCAAATCGTTCATGCATCCACAATCTCTCAATACTTTCTTCCTCGTCATTTTGCACTTTTTGAATACTCCATTCCAATACTTCCAGTATACTGGCAATCCCTTTTGGTGTTACATTTTCTATTAAATTTGATGAAAACAATCGAGACGACGTCCTAAAAATCGACACTGACATAACAAAATCAACTAAATAGCTTACAATGAATTTTTTCGAAGTAACTCCTCATTCTCTCGTCCATCCGTTGAATTGTTCAACTAAATAAATAAACTATATGCAAAAAATAACTATACAAACCTGATAATAAAGTTCGGGAATTTGACCAACATTGACATCAGTGCCGTTGTTGGAAACAATCGAATTTCGGAATGAAAATATGACTCCATCACATTCAACGGTGTGTTTTCCATTAGCGCCACAATCCGACGAAGGCCCACTAAAAACAAGTAAGGATTTTTGAATAAAAATTTTTAATTAAAAAAAAACTACCTTATCTTCGCACTAACAACATGCCACTGATTCGGTTGGATTACAATTGTCTGTGAGAATAATAGCGTTGCAGTTTCATGTGCTCCACATTCATACATTGTCTGAAAATGCATGTCCAATTTTTTCTCGATCAAACGATTCTTACCTCATCCGTCTCACTAATTTGTTCGACATACAGCTCATCGCCTTCATTTCCCAATAATCGATACAATTTTAATCTAAATAATACATTTAAATGAATCGAAAATTAAAAAATAATTTTACTTTGATATATATTCTCCTCTTCCTCCATATAATCCAACTCCAACAAGTCGAATTTCTTTGGAAACTTTAAACTGAATCGCTTCAATCGAATGGGCCGAATATCCCCATCCTCCACCTGTTCCCTCAAATCTGCTAACCACCGAGTAGCTATCAGTGGGTGCCATATCAGCAAAACTCGGATCAGAGTTTTTATCCTTCCAAAATTCTGCATTTTGCATCACATTTGCTGAAAATGTTGCCGAAAGTAGCAATATGCCCATATGAAGGGAGGAAGTGTAACATCCAGGTTCAAGTTGAATGGCAAATTCCGGAGACGTTTGGTAAGTTAGAGAATCTAATGGATCTTGAGAATAGCTCTAGAAAGTTGAAATGCATTACTTATTTTGTAATTAAAACTACTCACCAGTTCATCTTGTTTTTGAAAAACACTATAAGCCTGAACCCTCATCTCGGCGGCATTATATGACCAAAGCATATCAAAGTTTGGTTCAATGGTCCAACTAGCGTAAAGTCCAGCGGCTCCAATTGAATGATGTTCGAACGAGTTTTGTCGTCGTCGAATTACAATATAATCTCGCCCGACCTCCCGAGGGAATATGAAAATGTTTTGCTAAAAATGAACAATATTTTTGGGAAAAACAACCAAAAACGACACCTTTGTTGCCACAATTTGCGCATTCAGAACATCATCGGATGATAAGAGAGCTGTGTGACTGTGAATGATAGTAGAATCACCTTCTGCTCCAATCCAACCAGCAAATGCTGAATATCCAGGCCCATAACCAGGTACTCTTCCAGGAATCGAATTCCAGTTCTGCCGATCTCCGGCTTGTCTCGCCAATTGGCCTTTTGAGTAAGCTCCGAACGTGTAAACTGATCCATCTGATGTTCGTAGAACAGTGTGATTCGATCCCGCAGCAATTTGAACTACCACAAGGTCTGCTGGTAGGATCACCTAAAACAGTTCTGATGTTGACGAGGTTGTTTTGACGTAGATTACTTGTTGCGGAGTCGATTTGCTACTGATATCCCCCGTTCCGAGTTGACCATGGCAATTCGATCCAAAAGTGAACACGCGTCTGTCAGCAGCCAATATGACAGTGTGGAAATTGCCACAACAAACACTTGACACCTTGACATCTGGCACCGACTTTGACAAATTCAGTTTTCCAGGAGATACCGTGGCTCGTGGCGGTATTGCCGAGCTGAATGGAATGTGTTGAAGGGATCCCGGTGCAGCCGGCTCTGTTATTTCCCCGCACGGCCTACATAATCCGCAGCGAAGACAAGTCGACTCTCCTGTGCCACATACGCATGCATTTCCTTTTTGACGCGGAGCTTTCCCACATGAAGCTCCGCGAGCAGAGCAGAGGCCGCATTGCGCGCAAATTGTTGGCATATCATTCACCCAAATATGTTCGCCAATCGGGCATATCGGAATAGCTGTCTTTTTTGGTGAATTTGTAGTCGACGTAGGAACATCTGATCTACCACACTGGTTGAGGTTATTGAGACCCCATGTAACGATATTGCCATTTCGAGTGACGGCAACTCCGTGAGTTTTTCCAAGAACGATTGAAGACTAAAAAAAATGAATTTATTGAATTCCGATCTGGAAATCTATTACCACATGGACCCAATCCATTCCTGCAATAGACTGATTCGAAGCATTGACTCTCATATTATGATGACCACCAAGGAATGCTTTTCCATTCTCGGTCACATATGCGTACATGTGTCCAGATGACGCAATGCTGACAATTTTTCGTCGAACAGGAGCAAAAAGGCGCTTCATTCTTCCATTGTGCTTCTTTTTCTCATCAAAACTCGCAATCCATGCATGTCCAGCCCCAGAACGGAATAAAATATGATCAACCCCAACTGATATTTGAACAATAGGTTCAGGTAAAACCAATTCCATCCAGGTGTTTCCAGTCTCCTGAAGTCCGAATCGAGTTCCATTACCAGCGTAGTAGACCTTTCCCGAACGCGCTTGAAGCAGAGCCATATCTTTAGAGATGTGAAGATCAGCAGCTTGTGCTGAAAAAAGTTGAAATAAAAATTTTTTGAAAACAAAACAACTTACAGTGTAGATTATTAGGTAAATGCCTGGGTAAAATATGAGGTGGCCTAGTATCACCATAAGCCGTGAACGTGACATCCGTCAGACGAAAATTTTTTCGGGACATCGATTCGGTAGATGGTACAAATGAGTCATTTAATTGAATTGTCTAGAAACAAAAAAATGAGAAAATTATCAAAATCTACTTCTTACCGATAGGGTAGAATTAGCAACTAGAATTGCGCTATAGAAGTTTGATCCATCGGAAAATAATGCGTTCTGCACGGCGCCGGGTGGCAATATCACTTCCCCAATATCTTGAAGTGAATCGGTGTCAATTACGGAAATACATGAGGAGTGGCTTCTGCGAAGATACAATGATCCGTTACACAAGGCCATCATACAGTTTTTACTAAAACAATATAATATTGGAACAATTTTTCAAATAAAAATCTAACGTTGCTTTCAATCCCTGATTCGCCGCATACAGTTTCCCGATGACAGTTTCTTGTAGGCCAGATCCCAATTTGTACAGTCCAACATAATTGAGCACATAAACGAAACTACCTGAAAAAGTTTTTAGGACACATAAAGTTTGAATTAAAATTTCTAATATAATAAAAAACGACATATGAAATAAATTGACAAATCGAAAAACAAGTTACAGTAATTTCGCTTTTAAACATGAATTTTAGAAAACCATGTTCCTTTAAACTGTATTGAGTAAATTTTTTTAACTTATAAAATATTTTCGCTTTTGTTCAATGTAATTACTCACCATCGCATGCTATCGTTGAATATAGTCTATGATCGTCGTCCGGGGTATCATTGGGAGAACTATCCGGCAAACTAGGTAAATCAAAAGAGCAAGAAACAGCGTGATTTTCAATCGCAGTTGACGCCCAGCATGGCCTAAAATTGAAAATCTGATCTATATAATGAAAAATTAAAATATATACACTCCGTCTGATCGCTGATGAACTTTTCTCTGAATTTTAAGTAACACCTTTCGTAGATTTTCGGGAATTTGAATGCAATCATAAGTCGAGTCCAGACTCTGAAATAATTTTTTAAAAGTGAAATGGAAATTTCAACATACCCCACGCCTCTTAGCTGTGATGCATATCAACGATTGAATGGCGCTGCTCAAATGCTCAGGTTCACCGGAAGCAATAGATAATGCGGCTAGGCAGGATGTAGCTTTTGAGCAAACCGCTGGTGATCCTTCTTCTCGTAAATTTTTTAACACTTGCATCATAGATGCCACAGATATTCTATTTTCGGACTTCAAACACTCAATCGGCATTGCTTGAATCAACGATAAAAGCGAATCTAATGCTTGAACGCAAAGATCCGAATCGCGACGACTAAGTTGTTGAAGGACGTCGAAAACACACGTGAGGCTGGTACCAACTAACTGATCTGTCTGCAAAAAGACCTGTCAAACTACAGAGCAAAATTGACATCGTAAAAAATATATAATATATTGTAAAATAGAACTCTTTTTTGAAGAACTAGTTGGAATTTTTGGAGAAAAAACTCGATTACCTTGATTCCACTACTCTCGTCCACCTCTTCATTGCACTTCGGCGTATCACCTCCAGCTAGCTGTTTCTTCAATTCGTATCCACCATATCTACAATTTGCAGTTTTTCCAAAAAAAACCTCAACTTTGCTTTTTTTTCCAACTAAAACCAATTCTTATTTCGAAACATGGCAAATAATTCTAAATGTTGTGTGACGGAAACGATTAAATACGTATACATATTTGCATTGTGGATCTTTAGAGTCTCCCGATGAACTTCTTCGCTCACCGGCGTGTTCTTTTGTATAAAGATTGGTTATAAAACCGGATTTTTAGAAAAAAAAAATTAAGAGAGATGTCACGTTTATTGAATTTTATTATTGATTAATACCAATATTTGATAATTATGAGAAAAAAATGGAAACCTTGCCAGAATGCACTTTGCCATTGCGATACACGCAAACGATGATGGTGGTCCGACGACAAATTTCGAGTTGAGCACATCCATACTTTCAAGAATCGCATTATCTCGAGCTTTATCTGAATTCGCATATTGTTCGCATTCCTCAATAAAAAGCACACTCCACCTTCTTTACTATGAGCCGAAGCGGTGTCTAAAACGCTAGGAATTTTCAAGATCTCCGATTTGCATGTATTCTCGGCGCATTTGTACAACAAATTGGAAAGTTGCCGCGAGACTCTCGTCGATTCCGGCAAATTGTCGGCCGCATCGGGTGCGTTTTCTCGAATCGGAGTGATCTCGCGCAAGAAGAATGACATTTCAGGACATGCTAACTGCAAAAATGAAATGAAATGAAATTGAAACCAATGGATGATGGTTTAGTAGGTGGAAGACGTGTAGAAACATTGGGATTGCTCATTGTGGCCATCGGACATTTTGGGCACCGCATCGAGAGCCTGACTGGTAGGAGAAAAACACAAAACGCGAGATAGTGCGTGGAATGAAGAGAGCGAGACGAGCGGGTCATTTGCTACGAATGTCGCGCTGCGTACACATATAAGGGAGACGAACGCCACAAAACGAAAACGCAAACGCTGTTGGGATTGCTACTGCACATGGCGCGCGACCTCACCGACATCTTGAGCTGCACCACGTTGACGGCTGCCTACAGAATGACAGATGGTTTTGATTCCCCGCCTCTATTTATGCGTATCGCTTAATATATGTATTTATGAAGAACCGCACCATCAGCTATAGTTGCTCATTTTCGAAATTAGTGGCGTTTTCAATTTTTAATTCAAAATTTGAAAAATTAACATCTGTTCTGAGTATTGTTGAAAATGTTTGCAAAATAACACATATTCAATCTGAAACCATATTTCAGGAAATATCAATAAAAAATTGTATCTGTTCAATGGTGATGTTTATTGCAGAATTACCGCAAGCTTGTATAATTAAACTTTATTTTAAAGAGATTTATTGCTATTAATAATAAAAATAACAAATAATTTTACTTTTTCAATAAGAAATGAATCCCCTAGATAAACCACAAAAAACATCGAATAGTAAAAATAATGAAAAAAAAATGAACTGAAATATCATTGATACCATAAATGGGTCTTAACTATCAAAATTCAAACATTAATATTTCTTCCACAATTACTATGTATAAGGATGCATCAAAAAACTACAGTAATCAATCAGATAATTGTGGGTATAAAATTGGTTTGTTTTTCAGCCTACGTCTTTTTTGAAATGTGATCAAACGAAATATTAATCTGCGGTTCGAGATTCAAAATAAGAACACATTATTTTTCTATATTTCCCATGGGATAATACATAGAAAAAAGTGGTCATAATTCATTCATGAATGCTCAGTCGGCTGCGCCTGGCCACTCGGCACCCACTAAACGATTCACACATGAGAGCCGCTTGATTTATATTCTCACATCGGCGGTTAAACACGAATAATCATTTTATTTTGGTTGTGGAAAAAGCTGGTCAATTGAACAAAGGCAACTAAGACGAATCTCGACAATAATTGTGTGCAATTAATCTCATTTCATAAATTTGTTTTTTTTTTGCGTTTTTTTCCACCGAATAATCGCAGATTTCTTTTCTCAAATTAAGAACAAATGTTGCTTATCTGAAGTGTCAATCAGATTTCAACTAGAGATAATTTTATTGCCCACAATAAATTCTCTGCAATCGTTTATGTCTTCAATGAATTCGATACCAAATCTTAAATTCTGTCTATACTGCTTACTATGGGCTTCTGCATTAAGCTTTATCTATTTGAATTTGCACTACAGTCTGAATTATAAAACAGCGGCAAGTTGGAATTAATTTGAAGAGTTCTTTAAATATTTTTAGCCTTCGTACACGATTTCGCCAAATGTTTCAAAAGATTTGGAGATAATTTATACAGAATGGTACAATTGTATTGTTAGTAATATGCGAAATCTGAAAATTTTGGACCAAAGCGCATATGAATTGGTAGAATTTTTAGCCTTTAAATTTTAATTCTTCCCAATTTCCCAATTTATTAGTTTTTTCAAAAAATTTACGATGCAAATAAAGGATGTCAACGCTTAAAAGGATTATCGAGGCTGCGAGTGATTGCAGTCACAAATATGGATGAAACCAAGTTCGGTATTCTCCCAAAAACGGTAAGTAAGAAATTTTTATTCGATTTAAGCTTTACTTAAGCTTTTTAAAAACAAAGAATCAAGCTTTAGGGTGATTCACATACAATTGTGACCCTTGGAATTGGGCATGATACGAAAGCTGAAGAAAAACTGGCAAAGGTTCGATGGGTTACAGCTCGGAGTATCCAAATTTTTCTTGTTTCTAGATTATGCCGAATTCAACAGAATTTTATGGAGCCGATCCAGACAGTGTTATAAATCAACAACTTTATTCCAAATTTGGAACATTTTTACCATTTGCGGTTGGCGCGAAGTCTGGAATTTCAGAGGCTGTGATTTTGGAAAAAGATGGAAGTGCGAACATTTTTTTTTGGAATGTCTTAATTGAAATTTTTTTACAGAAAACTATTCGAACAAAACTGTAGTTCATGTTGGCTTGGTGACCATATTGAAAGACATCATTCAAAAAGACGTATAGTCGGCGTCCAGAAACAGCTGTACGCGGGTTAATTTACGGTTGCCTTATTTTGCTATTTTCAGCTTTTCAAATTTTTTGATACTGTTTGACGAAATTCTAATTTAATTTAAAAATAATTGAAACGATCCCGAAAATGCAAAATAATCAGTTGGTCAGCGTAAAACCAGATCTACCCGCATACAGCAGTCTCGGGACACCGACTATATGAGAGTATGAAATTAATACAATTAATATAATGAGTGCTTCAGCTCGTTGATAATCTTTGGATCGATGTCGAATATACAGAGTTTGAACTTTTTGAGATGTTCCGAAAAGGAGGCCAATTGGATAAAAACAATATAACAATTTGTCAGTTTAATATCGAGGTTGAAATGAAATTTTGCTAGATCATTTCGAATTGTTTCATTTTTAGGTTCATCCGCCGCAATCGGATATTCACAAACAGCAATTCCAACAATTCGTTTTTGATATTATTCAAGATCAGAAGTATTTAATTTTTAAAATTATGCGAGGAATCACTCATCGTCTGTTTTTTATCAACTTTAATGATTCTGTTTGCGCCGAAAAATATATTTTATGATTATTGTTTTATATTCCCAATTATGAATGTATCGTATTTATAACATGTCTTTGAAGTGAAGCCTAAGTCAAAAGCGATATTAATGATTATTTGTACCAATGTCTAATGCTTTTTTATGTATATGCCAGCTTCAATAAAAAAATTTTTGGAGTCACCTCATTCTCATAAATCACTTCATTGCGGAGTCAAACAGACGAAATCGAGAACAGTCAGCTCGGCAGCTTTTTGAGTATCGAAAAAATGCAAAAATAACTTCGAGTTATCATCGTTTTTTTAGAGCGGCAAATTCAAATTTCAATTTTACCAGTGGGGGAATTCCACACTACATTTAATCTGAAAATCAAATTCTCCGTAAATCTACACATGATTCTCGTTTTTTTTTGCTATTTCGAACGATAAGTTTCAAATAACTACTTCGGTTTTTTTTAATGTCTATTCTCTATATTTCTCAAGTCCCTGATCTTATCCTCCGAAAAATTGAAAGAAAAAAGCATTGCGATCAAAGAAAATGTTCTCCATAGATTGTCGGAAGATTGAAAATTATCTCGAACAGATCAAAGCGTGTTTCAAATGCGAGACACCATCGACCGATCGTTAGACTGAATACAGTCGCATTACGAAATGTTTCAAATAATTTATAATAAGCGAATAGAAATCGTATGCATTCTCGCAGTCTATGCTCTAATTTGTGTGGTATATAAAAATTTGATCATGGTGAGATTTCTTTTCAACATATTAAACCCAATTTGTGATTTCAGGAATCTCCAAACGAATTGAAAATTCGAGAAATATATATTGAATGGCATAATTGCATAATAGATAATTTCGAATCAGAAGGGCTTTTAGACAGAAATCAGTTTGATAAAGTATCAAAAATTGTCTAATTTGGTTACCTAACAAATTGGAGATTTTTTTAGTTTTGGAATACTGCTGGAACAATTGGGAATAAATGCTCAAAACTTCCCAGTTTACAATCATTTCCAATATTAAATTTCACCAATCGCGACGAGACCAAATATGCAATTCTTCCAAAAAATGTAAGAAAATGTGTAATTTTTGATGTGGGCTTAATAATATTACAGAGCTCCGATAGCAATCTTGTAGTAACTCTTGGAATTGGACACGACACAAATGCTGAAGAAAAATATGTCAAGGTGAGTATTCGAACGCTATTCATTTTCAAAGTGCCGTTTAGATTCTTCCTGCGGATAGCACGAAATTCTACGGGGTAGATCCGAGCGTTGAAATCAATCGGGATCTTTACTCGAAATTTGGAACATATTTGCCAATTGCAATCGGAGTCAAATCTGGAATTACTGAAGCATTAACATTGGGACCACAAAGAAGTAACTCAAATATTTTGTTTTTGCTTCTTTCTTTTGTACTCTTTAATATGAAGGTATGAACTTGCTAGGTTTAGAATATTTCAAACCAACAACTGTAAATAATTTTAAATAATTTATGAAACAATGTTAGTATTCTCAATAAATTTTCACTTGTTTTAGGATCATATGCATGGAGAACTGTTCTTCACATTGGCATCACAACGTTTTTCAAAGATATCATCCAAAAAACGGTATCCATTTTTTTATTTTTTTATTTGAAATTTATAAATTTAAAGTTTATCGATCATTTGTGGATGGATGTTGAATACGGAGAGTTCGATCTTTTTCAACTGTTTCGAGTAGGCGACGAGCTTGATCAGAATGGAATAACTATCTGTCAGTTTAATGTCGAGGTATATTTTCAAAACGGTCTTTCGGATGTACATATATAGCAATTAAATAGGTTTTCGAAAAGTCTATAACGTCCTCATTTCAGGTTCATCCTCCAAGAACTGATGATGTCTTAAAACAAAAGTTCCAAAATCACATAGTCGGATTTGTTGAAGATCGCCGATATTTATTTTTCAAAATCACCGGTGGCTGGACGTATAGGATTTACGCATTCAATGTTCAAAATTCGCAATGTGTTCAAAAATATTTATTTTGATAAAATTTTCCTTTGAAAATCGAAGGCCAGTTGCCCGCCGCTAAAATTGTGAATATCTGAGCATCTCAAATCCTCCAAATTCCTTCATTCATTTTCTATGTATATTAATGTTTTGCTCGATTTGAAAATAGAATTACGTCAATTTAGATTTTAAAACCCCTTGGTAAAAAAAAACCAAAATTTTAATATACTGTTCAATTCTCCAAAACTACATGCATCATTGTTCAGTTTTGCGCAGAAACAAACGTCTTTTGATCATGTGCTCGCTAGCACTGTTCAGAAACATCCATGGATGTAATATTTGCGATTGATACAACGGCAGTCAATCGTTATTAACATTGTGGCTCGCTTTGAGCCATTGCCTTTTCTATTTGTATTTTTTTTATTAATGTTATAACCTACTTGTATTTTACACTTACCTCGTGTATCAAATAAAAGATTTTTTAACCCAAAACTGAGGTGTAAAATTAATTCATACAATAATTTTCAAAATTGAAAATTCATTTGGAATGAATCGTAAGGTATTATTGTCAAAGTCGCGCGACTACGTAAAAACTGTTTTAAAAAAAGAAACAATGGCGGTGGTCTTGGTGCAAATGCAAAAATGTTGATATATGGACCTAAATATATCCGTAGATAGACAAAACGAATGGCTGCATTGAAGATTTGACAAAACAAATTGCACAGTCATGAGAGTATGTCGAGCGGTTCAAACATTCGAATTGTTTTGACAGAGTTTTTCATAGGTAAATCATTTTATTGTTAAGTTGAAGAGATCTTCTTGATGGGACCCATTGTATTTTTGTGAATCTTGCACACTATTTAAATGTTTTATCCCACGTTTCGATCATTCGATCATTATTAGGGGAAGTCAATTCACCTCAAACTTGGGTAATTAAATTGGTTAAAACATTTCAATAGTGTGCAAGATTCACAAAAATACAAAGGGTCGAATCAAGAAGATCTCTTCAACTTAACAATAATCCACGCAATGCACTTAAAACTCCGCAACTAACAAAACTTAAATCTTTTTATAATTTTTAGATTAATGCATATTTTGTTTATTTAAAACTGGTATTCGTTTGTCAAAAGTATGAAAAAATTGAACCCAGTAAATATTTCCCTCGACCCCCCCCCCTCCCTTGTCGATGGTGGCCCCATCACAAGATCAAAGCATTGTCTTCCTGATTTTCTGATTATCTCCATTTCCAAACTAGCTGTTTCTCTGCAAACTTATCAATGTTGAAAAAATTGCGAAAAATTCAATTAAAAAAAAGAGAATAAACATTTTTCCTTTTATTTTTAATTCTTTTCGCCCGTTCTTTGCTAGGTTTGCGAATCGAAAAAAAGGATTAGCCGCACATTTTTTAAATGTTTTTTCTTTATTATTCGGTTCCCTCATTTTTAGTTCCTCGTTTTTTTAATTGATGCCAACTGACCTCTCAAACAACTGGCGTGTGTCGTCTTGGTGTTTTAAAATCAAATAATAAATGAGATTCGGTTAGATTTTATCAAGTCATGCAACGGATTATTGTAATCTTGCTCCTTGTAATTGCGATTGCTCACAAAATCGCGACTACCGATTCTAAGGATTCCGATTGCACTGTTACCGATGGATTTATGGCAATCTCGTGCCTCTTGGTTGCTACTTATTTCTAAATAATTTGATAATTGGAATAATTTCAGAAAGTGAGCGAGTTTACAGACAAAATCAATACACTCGATTTTGACAACAGGAATGATGTAGACGAGTTCCAAAAATCATGCGCATCACTTCAAGTACGCTCAAATAAATTCTATATGTAAATCAAATTGGTTAATTGAGGATTGTGTGAAATCCTTGAAATGCAAAAGAAATATCGCTGATGGCGTTTTGAAGTCAATCAAAGCGTACTGTGAGGCAGTTGATTTTGTGTCGATTGAATTCGCCAATTGCACCAAAAAGGTTGGATAATGAAAGTTATTCTATCTCGAAAAAATTCAAATTTTAGATAGAAGCGAAAAGTGCAAAGTGTTTTGACGAATGGGATCCGTTTCCGGATGTGGTATTCAGAAAATATTTTTGATATAAAAAATAAGAAATTTTAGAAGAAGGAGGAAAATGCGCCGCTGCCTGTCTGCAAAGATTTGTTCGGAAAAGACAATTGCATGAAGAAGGAAATCACAGAAGTATGCGGAACGGCAGATTGGGAGGGCTTCTATGCGACGTTCACTTCATTGGCAAAAACGATGAATCAATGCACACCACCAGTCATTTGAAACTCAAATTAATCATTATATAATAAATAATATTTTAACTGTTAAATAAATAAATGATCATAGTTTATGTTAACTTTGCGTTATTGTTATTGGCGAAATACCCGATCCTGAGATAGATGCGATTGATATCATTTGAAATTTCTCCCTGGGTCGCTGTTTTGTAATTTTTTAAAACAAATATCATAAAAGAACAGAATTAAAAAAATATTATTGTTTTGAAAGAAATCGAAATCGGAATTTCTATGAGCCAATTGAAATGGGCCAATTGAACTTCAGCCTCACAAGTCTTGGCATTTTCGCTGGATAAACTATGTAGTATATATATGTAAATTCTGAACTCCTCCAGTTCCGTGATATTTTGTAGATTACTTGAAACTCATATTGGAAAATATCAAACCATAGAAGATAGATGTTCGGGCAATTGATGTGTTCAAGACAACTGTTTCACACAGATACTTATCCTTTTGGTTTTTCTCGTCGAACAGGCGACAATTTTTTTGCAGATAGCAATCCAGTGGCAAAAATTTCACTTTTCATCAAGTCGTGATGCTCAAAATCGTTGCTCTCCTCGGTCTTGTGGCTGCTGTTGCTCATTGTGCCAGCGTGGCTACTGCCGATTCCAAAGATAGCCAATGCTCGATTACCGATAGATTCAAAGCCATGTCGTGCCTATTGGTATGTCTAGAATGAATTACATATATTATGATGCTATTAATCATGCAGAAAATGGCCGAATTCGTTGATAAAATTGACGAGCTTGATTTGGATGAGGAGAATGACCTCGCAGAGTTCCACAAGTCGTGCAAAGACATTTCGGTTAACATATGTGGTGAACAATTTCAAAAACACACAGACTATTCAGAGCTGTTTTGCATCGATGAAATGTGGTGGAGAAAAAAGTGAGATGGTTGTCAATCGCCTCAAGGGATATTGCGAAGCAGTCAATTTTTTCTCAGCAGAATTCATTGAATGTGGAAACAAGGTTGCCTTGATTCAATAAATATCTAGAACTCGTTTTATAGCTCGAGGAGAAAAAATCGAAATGCTACGATGAATACAATCCATTCGAGTACGTTGACGTTAGTTTTAATTAATCATCATATAAAATTTTTGAAAATAATGTTTGAAGGAATCGACAAAGCCCGTGGATCCAAAAGCGCCGAAGCCAATTTGCAAAGGACTCTTTGGAAAAGACAACTGCATGAAGAAAGATGTTAGCGAGACTTGTGGAGAAAAAGATTGGGAGGGACTTAAGAAATATATGGCGTATATTGCCAACTCTTCGGAAGTTTGTACAGTGCCACCAGTTTAAATTTATAAAATCTCATTGTTACTTCCTACTTTAGAAATCAATAGCATAAATTTTCAACGCGAAGATTGATTCTTGTAGATAAATTTCAAATTCCACGTTAAATTGAAGAACAATGCGTATATTTTAAAAATATATTCATTTTGAATTGTGAAAGCAGCGAACAAAATAAGTACAACACAAATTGTGATTCTCGAGAATCTAATATCCTGGAGCGGTTCTTGGTGGTGGGCAGTGGTCGCAAGCCCCCTCGCTTCCGGATTGTCCGTCCTCTCCTGGTTGTCCCGGCTGTCCTGGTGCTCCTGGGGCTCCTGGAGCTCCGGCGTCTCCCTGTGGTCCTGGTTGTCCTGGCTGGGCATCTCCTGGAGTTCCTGGCTGTCCTGGTGGTCCAGCTGGTCCTGGTGGTCCTGGTGGTCCCGCTGGTCCTGGGGTTCCTGGAACATCGACGACCTGTCCTGGGGCTCCTGGCTGTCCATCGTTTCCTGGCTGTCCGTCCTGTCCTGGTGGTCCTGGTGGTCCGGCTGGTCCTGGTGGTCCTGGAAGAGCGGCTCCTCCGTCTTGTCCTGGGGCTCCTGGGTTTCCGTTTGGTCCCTTTGGTCCAGCTGGTCCGGCTGGTCCTGGTGGTCCGGCTGGGCAGTCGAAGCAGAATTGGTCGGCAGTGGCAGTTTGGTCCTCGGCAGCGTCTTGTCCTGGATTTCCTGGGGCTCCTGGCTGTCCATCGTTTCCTGGAGCTCCGTCTTGTCCTGGTGGTCCAGCTGGTCCAGCAGCTCCAACTCCGCATGAGCAGCAGCTTCCTCCAGCAGATCCTCCGAAAGATCCAACAGCAGCGTCATCCGATCCATAAGATTGTCTGCGCGCCTTCTTGTGGGCTCCGCTGATTCCTACTCTACGATGGTAAGCCTCACGCTTCAGTCTTCCGGCAACGCCATTGACTCCTTCGAACTAGAATCAAATGTTGAAATCTGGTTGAGGCTAATCGACGACTTACTCGTTTGTACTCATCCCAGAGCCCGTTGGATCTGTGGGTGCAGAACTCAACTTCTGATTGAAGGGAAGACTGGATGTGCTGTGTGTAGTTGTAGAGCATTGGCACAGCAACGATCGCTGTCAGCGTGGCGATGGTCGACACGGCGATGCCGAAGAATGCCACCTTGCGGAGCGACTCAGTCTCCTGAGCAATCAACTTGCTGTTCTCAGAATCCATTGCGATGGATCGAATGATATTCTTTAGCTGTTGATCACCTTATATACAACGACACATTCAAACAGTTTTACAATGCGCGATACCCTTTTTCATTACAACAGAAAAAAAAACGGCAAACTTCCTACGCCAATGCCTTTCTTTACAATTATTGAAGATTGCCAATTTGACAAAAAGTCACAGGAACTGTTTGAGAAACCATTTTACGTTTCCATTCTGAAGAGGGTCCAGTTATTTTAATAATTTAGCCAATTATTTTGCATGGGTTAAATTTATTTGTTAGTTCAATTTCATAGATATATGTATGTCCTGCAGATACATAGGCTTATCGCGTGCGAATGCCCATATTTGTAAAGTAATTTTTTTTCTTGATTATAATAGTTTTGTTATTTATTTTCTTCGAATTTGAGAGATTCTGCAACCAACTCTACTATATCGCCTATTTTTTTAACAAAAAAATTTAAGGGCAAAGTTGATGGAAATTCTACGAAAATTCCGCAAAACGTTTGGATTAATTGGGATCATGTCTTCTCAAGATTTGGGAATCGTCTTAACTCTATGCAGACTGGAATATCTGCTACACGCTATGCGATTTACATCAGGACTGTGCGGCAATGAAATTGCCGATTGCCGAAATTGCCGATTTGACGAGATTTATATTTTCGGCAAGTTGATGTCAAAAAAAAATCGGCAAAACAAAAATCAATGTTTTATTTTCGGCAACTTGCCGAATTGCCGAATTGCCGAAATTTCCGATTGCCGCACAGCCCTGATTTACATCAAAGGCGTGTCAATTTGATATCGATGAATGAATTTTAGCGGCAAAATCACCATTCAACGGCTAAAATATTAATGGAATTGATAAGGTACACCCAGGAAACAACGGAAAAGCTACCACTGCCTACCACCCAGAAAAGCTTAAAAAATGTAAAGAATCTTCGAAGAGGGGTTCAAGGAATTCCGAATAAGGTTTCCGCGATAGATGAAAATAAACTAGTTTGTGTTCGGAAAATTGCGCTTTTCGAGGGACAACCTAGATGAAGTGCAAAAATGTGAATTTCGTCTTGTTTGCACTCAAGAAAAATGGGCAACTAATGGTGATGTTAATCAACAAGAAGCGTATAACCGTGGAGGCAAATTTCAACATTCAAATTGATTGAGTAATCGCGAGAACATTTCAGGAAGCAGTTAAATGCCGAACGTCGATTAACAGAACTCCTCATCCGTTACAAAACAATTATAATTTTTCGAACAACGACTTCTGAGGGTGTGATGAAACCCGTCTACGTGGAGACTAAAGCGAACGTCAAAAAAGTGTTATTTGGAGAAAATTTTGATGCAAAACATTCCTCTTATCGAAAACCCAGTATGATCATTCTAACATGATTGTGCTCTTGCTCACAAATTAAAAGCCATACAAGCGTGACGCGCACCTATGTAATTTTCATCGCTTCATCACAGTTTTTGTTTGCCATCGTAGCAATCGAAATAAAATCCGATCGACTGTTTGGCATGTCGAATCCTTCAGTCAAATGTTTTTACATATTCATATCCTGATTTGAAGTCCGTGCAGGCCATCCTCTTTCCAAAAAGCCTCCGCGCCACACGGAGACCATTCCTGACGAGACTCAACGATCCTGTCGAATAATACTAATAATATCTTGTTTGCAACGGGTTTAATTACCTACTGCTGCATGTTTATGATTATATTTCTTCTTGCGCGCCATAATTGATAATTGTGGGTCATCTCACTTATTCGAGCTCAAATAACAGTGTGAATTCAGGTATCGTAATACGGAGAGCCTGCGGAAATAACTCGCTGTAAATCGGCGCAGTCCTCTCGTTTTTTTGCAAATAATTATTGCCTATTTGCCAATGCGTCTCGAGGCAGCAAGAAGTACGCAAGGCTGCGCACATTGCTCTATAGCGTACGCGCATTTAATATTCAGTCAACGAAAAAAAAATCTACAATGTTTTTGCGAATTTGAAGGCCTCGCCTACCTTTAACCGTTTGAAGCTGGCAATATACAACTATTATTTCTTAGGGAAAATATTGCGAGTCAACAATTTGTTTTCCTGTTTAGTTAGTTTTTTTAGACGGAAATATCAATTGTCGAGTCGATACTGCCGACGTATGTATGAAAATTAAACATTCATAAAACCGATGCTACGTCAATGATTTGGACGTCCGGTGTTCATCATTACAGTGGGTTTTCTTAAAGTAATAAGTATCCAATCCTGTTTCTTTTTTTTCTAATATTCCTAAACATTACAGTTTTCTTTTTAGCCTTCAGTTATCTCTTCATCATTAAATTCATCTAAGTAATTAGTTTCTTGACAAAAAGGAATGAATTGGAACACGTTTATTCGTCGAAAGAAACTAGTTGAAAGATCGAGAGTTAAAAACAAAAACATAAAGCATGACCAATAGAAGACTCCGGAGTTTCTTAATATCCTGGAGCGGTTCTTGGTGGTGGGCAGTGGTCGCAAGCCCCCTCGCTTCCGGATTGTCCATCCTCTCCTGGTTGTCCCGGCTGTCCTGGTGCTCCTGGGGCTCCTGGAGCTCCGGCGTCTCCCTGTGGTCCTGGTTGTCCTGGCTGGGCATCTCCTGGAGTTCCTGGCTGTCCTGGTGGTCCAGCTGGTCCTGGTGGTCCTGGTGGTCCCGCTGGTCCTGGGGTTCCTGGAACATCGACGACCTGTCCTGGGGCTCCTGGCTGTCCATCGTTTCCTGGCTGTCCGTCCTGTCCTGGTGGTCCTGGTGGTCCGGCTGGTCCTGGTGGTCCTGGAAGAGCGGCTCCTCCGTCTTGTCCTGGGGCTCCTGGGTTTCCGTTTGGTCCCTTTGGTCCAGCTGGTCCGGCTGGTCCTGGTGGTCCGGCTGGGCAGTCGAAGCAGAATTGGTCGGCAGTGGCAGTTTGGTCCTCGGCAGCGTCTTGTCCTGGATTTCCTGGGGCTCCTGGCTGTCCATCGTTTCCTGGAGCTCCGTCTTGTCCTGGTGGTCCAGCTGGTCCAGCAGCTCCAACTCCGCATGAGCAGCAGCTTCCTCCAGCAGATCCTCCGAAAGATCCAACAGCAGCGTCATCCGATCCATAAGATTGTCTGCGCGCCTTCTTGTGGGCTCCGCTGATTCCTACTCTACGATGGTAAGCCTCACGCTTCAGTCTTCCGGCAACGCCATTGACTCCTTCGAACTAGAATCAAATGTTGAAATCTGGTTGAGGCTAATCGACGACTTACTCGTTTGTACTCATCCCAGAGTCCGTTGGATCTGTGGGTGCAGAACTCAACTTCTGATTGAAGGGAAGACTGGATGTGCTGTGTGTAGTTGTAGAGCATTGGCACAGCAACGATCGCTGTCAGCGTAGCGATGGTCGACACGGCGATGCCGAAGAATGCCACCTTGCGGAGCGACTCAGTCTCCTGAGCAATAGCTTTTGGGTCTTCGTAAGACATCTAAATTTGTGAAATGGACTGTGCGTACGCTAATATGGTTACTTACGATATTGGAACTAGACAACGATGTCCAAGTTGTAGGTTATAGCCATCATCGGCCTTATATAGAAGACCTGAAAGCGTAATGTGAACACAGGTCGGCAAAAAAGTGAGAAGCTTTTCGCGCTGTCTCTTCATTATCTCCGCTATTTTCAACCGAAAGGTGCGTAAAGTTGCGTAAGGAGGAAGAAACTTTCTAACGATTACACTCATCGACAAAGCACCGTTTTTGAACGCATTCATCGCATTGTTCTATCATTTCGTCAATTAATTGTTTATTGTTTAAACGTCAACCCGCAAGACTATTGTAGCATCAAATCAAACCATTGATAGGCTTTATTGTGAACACCTCGAAGTACAAAACTATTTAAACTATCGCAAATTTGATTCAATGTTGAATGGAAGAATCGATGTGTCATCACAGAACTTATCGTCATCGTCTTTGAACGAATTAAGCTTAACCAGTGGATCGAATCTCGATACTTCAGGACCAATAGCGCGGAAGTGCCTGAAAAAAAAACTAATTATGTGAAATTGTATATATGTTTGCATGAATTAACTTTCAAATCTTGCCTTATAGTACAATCTCGACCTCCTTCATGATTTGATAATACTGTTAGTGTGAGCAACATTCCTCTGGTCGGGTGGCTTTTCTCATCCTTCATATCAAATATTTGCCAGCCTTGCGGCTTCTCGAACGTCCTCGTTACAGTCTTGAAAATATTTGTCGACGACCATCCCATATCAATCTGGATTCTGAAAACGAAAAATATTTAAATGACACCTGAGCTTTGCTTTCATCACTCACTTTTCAGGACAATATGATTCATCGTGAGCATAATCGAGATAGATTACCACATATGCAACGTCAACGACTTTTTGGAATTCAAGGAATAACGTGTGCGGAGCTGCCTTGTTGCTTTTCCAATACTTCCCAACAGAACGGTCTAGAAGTTCTTTAACTCCATAACCTGCAAGCTTCACCTCTCGAGTTGCAATAATTACCTGAAATTTACCAACAGCTACAGATGACAATGTAATGATTCCCAAATGGGTGACGTCAATAAGTTTCTCATCATCTATAAAATACTTCCAACCAGAAGATGATTGTTTTTCAGCAGCAATAGTCATTTCAGCCATTCTCGTTATCGGATTGCGTAAAATACTTTTAAAAAAAGTTCAATAAACAAAATGTGACATAAAGAAATTCAACCTCATATCGTCATCTTCAGATTCACCGTAAGTTTGTGACCTTCTCATTTTCTGAAAAAAATGAAAAATTGAAAACACTCTACGAGGTTTATTATTGCTAAAAACTTTCAAATTTTAATGGCGAAAGAAAACCAAGTTTCGGAATACGCTAATACGCGGGCGATAGTAAAGTGGAGTGTCGTTGTTTCACCGCTGGATTTCATTGGGAAAGTGAAGATTGTAAAATACAGCTGCAGTTTTTCTGGAAAAAAAAACAAAATGTTGATTACAAGGAACTTTAAAAAGAAATTCTACAGAGGAATATCTACTTCGGAGAATACATTAAACTCGAAAATAAAATCGCGATATAATAATTTAGTTTAATTTAAAATAATTCTTTAAGCAATAAGCTCATATTTGAGTTGAAAGCAATAGCTCAACCCAGTTTGAAAATTCAAAATCCCTTGAGAAAATATTCGGTTTGACATTTTCTTCTTTTTTTTATGAAAATCGAAACCAACGTTCTTTTGCGTTGTTTATAGTGCGTTTTTCGTAATCTTACAATACGGCAAATTTCTGAATTGTAAGCTAATTAAATAAAATGAGTAAAAAATTTGTCATCAAAAAAATGAGATTGCATCAAGCAACATTCGTGCCATGTTTAAATTATCACTGGTTTGAGTCTCCTCAGAAATCGAACTAATCTCGCCGGCGAATGGCTAATAAAATTGGCTAGGTACATTTTATCATTTTTTCCTTTAAAAGCTATCAAAATTCTATATTTGGTACGCGTTTAAAAATGTTTGAAATGCAATATACTTTCTAAAATATTTGGAAAATTTTGAACATTTTAAATAAACAAAATAAACATATCAGGAAAGGGAAACGCAAAACATAAGAATTTGCATTTTTTAGAAAAAAAAAATGAAAAAAATTCTCTCAAAATATTGATTTTACTGAGTTTGCAAAATCTTAAAATTTGATTATTCTGGATTCTTCGAAGAAGTTACAAATTCAATAGCGGAAACAATTAAAGAATCTTCACACTACTCCCTATTTCTTCTTTTTAAGCATCACAAAAAACTTCTAGCTCTACAAGATGATTTTTTTCGAGTATTTCGAGTATGAAAAATTTTCCTTTGTTTCATTTTTTTTTTCTGGACATTTCTTTGATTTCAAGTTTAGAGATACGACATAAAACCTGCAGGCTCATATTTATGCGTTTTCTTCACCTTTGCACATGAGATATTCAATCACAAGCAAATCCGCACAATGATGTTCATACATCTACTTTTTCATAGGAAATAAAATTTTCGGAAGCTGATTTAAATGCACAGTGTTTGTAGTGAGCCGTGCGATGACATGGCGAACAGACAGTTCATTTTTATTGGCACTATACGATATTGAATAATTTCCTCAATACAGTTGATCGGAAATTTTTAAACGTTTATTTTTCACAATAATTAAAGGCTCTAAAAGAAAGTATGTCCGTCAATTGACACAAGTGTTTTGTTTTTGTGCCTTTAACATTTTCAGCGATAAGTGATCGATGTTCAACATAGATTTTCTCAGTATTTGCTTATTTATCTTGAGTTTTTTTACGTTTGTCTCTTCGGCAAGATTTTAAATTTGCTGAATTTAAATTTGCACATTCATGAAATAATTATAAAACGTCTCGTCCTATTGAAATAAATTATGACAGAAGTCTATTTAACACAATTGATCATTGATTTATTTGCACCTATCAACTTATACAGTCGTTTGCTGCTACAGAAGTGTGCTCTCTCTCTCTCTCTCAAATATTAACTGTCGTTTAAAGGCACATTCCAACGTGTTGCGTCTCTCAAAAATCATCATTAACCACGCGGACAGCACAAAAATTAAAGTCTGTTTGACTGATAAAGTCCATTCTAAGCTCCGCCCGTTTTTCGTTGATTTAAACAGTGCCCCGTGCGCCTTATCATAAAACAATGTTTCTCATGTGGGAAAAAGCTCGGCCAAAAAAATTGGACGGTATCAGTGTCGGTTGTGTTATGCACAACTAAAACAGTTATTACGCGTTGATTTTATTGCTCGTTACGTTTTCCAACAAAAAATTGAATAATTTTGAAGGTTTCAGATGACTTTTTCTGGGAGAGACTTCTCATATTCGGGTACTGAAAAATGTCGAAAATCGACGACTGAAAGCTCGGTAGACTTGTCGAAACCTTATTATAATCCGACGGGTTTGGAATAGAATTTGAGAATCTTCGTGATAATTTTTCAAATTTACAGGCCTGAACTGGTTCGTGACTGGATTGTTCGTCGTCGGTGATCTTGCTGGAGGTGGTCTCGTTGCACTCCCAACTGCTATCATTCAATCAGGTATGTTTCCACCCAAAATAGGGATTACGGTATCAAGGAGATCAGCAAGTTATCAGTGATTTTTTAAGACTATTTCCGTCGTTTCACTCATTTTCAACTTTTCTTGTTGATTATATGAAGACTCGAATTTGATAAGCCCAATGTAATCCTCTTACAAACAATCTAATCGTTTCCCTCATTTTTTTCTTTCGACCATCCCTCCGTATAATCAATTTATCAGCGGTTCCGGATTGTCCGGATAGCTAATTTGTGCTTATCAGCCACTGAAAAACGTTGTCAGGTTTAGTTTATGTTGTGATAACAAACACAATGTGATTGAGCGAGGGACATGTGCTAAATTTCAGAGTTCTACATCGGATTGTGCATATGTCTCGTTATGATCGGCGTCGTCACCTACACAGCCTATGTGTTGGGTCTTAGTTGGAATATTCTGTTGAACACCTGGCCGGAATATCGCCATCATTGCCGGAAACCGTACCCGGAAATTGGAGGAAGAGCAATGGGTCCATTGTGCCAGTAGGAAATTTTACACCCGACCAATATTTTCAAATGTTCATTCATTTAGACGATTGGTGTCATTATGCATTGATGTTACCCAATTCGGAATTGCTGTCGTCTACCTGCTCCTTTCATCGAAAAATATTCAAAACATGATCATGGTAAAGAAAATTAACAAATTAGGCAAATTTCAATAGCAAAATTTAATATTAAAAAATTGAAAAAGAAATACCAGCGATAGTTTTTTCTGTGAATAAACCTTGGAGTTAATTTAGTTCTTCACCTTTAAGTGAAAAAAAAAAGACATTCTTAAAACTATTTTGGTGACTTTTGATATCTTTAGTTAAATTCTCGCCGTAAGTCCAATTATAAAAAACTTATATCTTGGGTCTAAGTCTCCTCGGATTTCAAATATGTGAAATTAACTTTTCTTTAAGAAATCTATTTTCTCATCGGTGCAAAAAAATTGCTCGTAAATCTTCGAAAAAAGTCCAGCTGTCTTATATAATATAAAGCAACCAACAAATTTGGTTTTCAGGCTTTCGCTGGTGTCAACATCTCATTCTGCGTTCTCGTGCTCATCGTCGCCGTCTGCCTTCTCCCACTGACATTCTTGAAATCGCCTCAAGATTTTTGGTAAGCCGCCTTCTCTCAATCGTAATCGGATTATTGTCTTCTAAAAATTGCATCACATCGCCCATCATTTAAATAATTCCAACGGGATTATTCGTACGAATTTCAACCAAAAAAAAACTGATAACTTCATTAGACTGATGTGAGCTCGGTGAACGACATAAAACTCATTTAATGGCCCATTAAATTTAAACTTTTTTTTTCAATTTGCGGAGAAATTTGATTGATAAAACATGTGCTGAACACTGATAGAATGTCATACGGTGAGATAGAAGAATGTCGAGTCGCTAATTTTATGACTAGAAAATTAACTAAATTTGTGATATAACTCCCAAATGCAAAATTTTTCATTTATTTGAATACAAGTCAATAAATGGAAAGAACTGGGAAAATTAATAAAATCTAAAAAAAAATATATATATTGAAGCGTATTAGAAATCTATGATTTAGGTGGGCTGTTGTTCTTGCAATGATCACCACCTCATGCGCCGTCATCTTAATCATTGTTGGATCTGCCATCGACTTTGAAATGTGCAAAAATTATAAGTAAACCGGTCCCTTGCAGATTTTTAAAGAGGAATATTAAAATTGTAGAGAAATGCCTCCATATAGCCTTAAGAACATGTTCCTGGCGATGGGAACCTTTTTGTTCTCCGTTGGTGGACACTCAGCATTTCCAACCATTCAGCATGACATGAAAGATCCGAAACAGTTTACCTACAGTACCTTCTTGGCCTTTTCAAGTATCCACTACTAAAATCATTCTGTCATCGCTCGATTGTTTCAGTCATGGCTGTCATGTACATTCCAGTTTGTATCATGGGATTCATCACCTATGGAAATTCACTGCGTGATTCGATCATCCCATCGATCCAAACGGTTTGGATTCAACAAGCAATCAACATTTTGATCACAATTCATTGCATTTTGACACTCACCATTGTGTTCAACCCGTTGAATCAAGAAATTGAGGACATCTTCCATGCTCCACAAAGCAAGACACATCCCCGACTCGAGTTGACAAATAATAGAACATTTCAGAATTCGGGATCAAGCGTGTTATTGTTCGTACAGGAATCATGGTTGCTGTCGTATTCGTCGCTGAATCTGTGCCAACCTTTGGCCCATTATTGGATCTTGTCGGAGGCTCAACCCTCACTCTTACATCTGTCATCCTTCCATGCCTCTTCTATCTCTATCTAGCCGCTTATAAGGAAAAAGAGAGGCGAACTGGCAAACTAGGATTGGGACCAGTAACATTTAGAGAGTAAGAATCTATTTTAAAATTACTGCTCACTGTTTGAATTTCAGAATTTTCGTCTATAACAAATTTCACACTACAATCATCTGTTTTTGCATTATGTGTAAGTAACATCGATAAAATTCAATCGAAATTTTTATATTTTAGTAATCGGACTCATCGGTGGAGGATGTGCGACATTCTCAGCGATTGTGGAACTCACTTCAACACAATTCTCGTACCCATGCTATGTGTCAGCTTTCATGCATGTAAGAATACTACATATATAAACACTTCCATGCACAATGATGTTTATTTCAGAATAATGGCAATTCATCGACATCGCAAACAAATTGCTGTGGTGTCGGACAGAATATAACCTATGAGGGAAACACTTGCAGTGATCCGGATTACGGCTTCTACACATAAGAGTTGTTTTACTGTATAAAACGATTTTGTGTAAATTTTCTGGACGAATTAGCCGCTTCTAAATTCTATACATATTTATTTAGCGTTCAATCATTGTACAAAGTTATACCATAGATGGCCCAGCCGATTTTCTGTGTTTGTATTTTGAATTGTACACTTTGCGTGTGTGCGTTTGTGCTCCATTTCAATGGCGGCGTGATATTGCAATAAATGAATTGTTCATTTCATTTTCAATAATGCCACCAAAGGCAGCAAAAAAAGCACCGGCACCGAAGCCGTCGAAGTCAAAAGAAACTGGAAAGAAACCGAAAAAGGATGTTGGAAAGAGAAAGAAAACCAAGAATCCAAAAAAAGTTCAAATTTTTTTTGCTGAGTTGATGTTTTATTTTGAATTTTATAGAAAAAAACTAAAAATCGCAAAGAAAAACGAAAAATGGGGAAGCTGAAACGCCCTCACATCAAACTTTCAACAAGCAACTCTAAAAATTCGTTAAAGGAAAATTCGGAAAGCTCGAGCGATGAAGACGAAGACGAAGAAGTTGTTGAACAAGTTGAAAATGACCAAATCGATGAACAAGAGCCCAATAATTATGAATTCCTACCATGTGGAGTCTGCAGTAACTCTGAAGAAGTGCGAATTATTCTAAGACAATGCGGACATGTTGTGTGTGTGCCTTGTATGCTTGAAAATTTAGTGGTACGTGTTCATCCAATAAGTCAATTTAAACAAATATGCCTTATTAGAATTCAATACTAATTGATGCGAAGACTCGAATTCCTTGCTTCGTTGCTGGATGTGCTAGTGTAATCCATGAAAATGACATCAATGCTGTACTTGATGAAAAAGAGGTTTAAAAAAATGAATTCCGTTTAGTTATTTTCGTAGCCCGCTCTCGAAATGTACATGGGCGTCGGACAGAGACGATACCTTCAGCACAAATACAATAAATATTCGATATCATACGCACTAATGACCGATAACATTAAGCAGTGTCCTTACTGTAAGGTAATGTTTTAGAAATGTCAAGTTTTTAATGTTCAAAAACGAATAATTATAGTCACCATATGGAAAGGAAGATGGCTGCAATTTTGTGATCTGTGCCAATGCGGCATGTGCTACCAGCTTCTGCTGGACGTGTGCAAAACCAATTGGACGCCCAATTTCACATTACACATATGGCATGTTTCTGAAAAACATCTATATTAGAATAGAAATATCCAGCTTCTACGTGTCGATTGGGATATACAGATTATGAGCGAATATTCGCACCATTTCAAATGGCTCTTGACATTCACATTTCGGTTCTTTTCATCTTCCTACCGTTTGTATATGTCGCTGCATTTTTGGTAGGCTTATTATATATGTATATAACATTTTGTTTTAAAATCATTTAACAGTACGTGCCCATCATAATCTTATTTTTAATTCCAATAAGTGTCGCATATGGTGTGTGGTCGAAGGCGCACTCTACTTCGAATTTTCTCAGTGGCCCAGAATACTTTATTACCTTTGTTAAAGTTTTAAGCAGTTTTAAATAATTGAAGTATCGAGTAATATTACCAGATGTTCATTTTATCATCATTGAGTATTGTTCTCGCTGTTCCAGTTGCCATTGGTTCAATTCTCTCTGGAAATATCATATGTTCAATTTATTGGGGAATGATTTTTTCGAAAACAGCCGGATGCGGATGCGTAAAGATGAAAAATTGAATTCAACATTAAAAAATTAATTTCAGACATCTGATAAACTTAATACTCTTCTTTGTTTGATGAGATGGGCGGGAAGACTGCTAGGGTGAACAAACTGTATTAATTTGCCGTTAAACGATCCATACTTTCAGAATAGGCCCATATGGACAACTTTTGGATAGTGCGAAAAAAGAGCGCGCTGCTGCGCGGATAAAGAAGGAAGAACAACAAGCTGAAGCTGAGCTTCTCGAATACGAAGCATCATCTTCTTCCCAATTCTCGACACACAAAATTGATGAAAATGGTTCGTCTTCGCAGACAGAAGTGTTGGATGGTGGAGAACAAAAATAACATGGAAACGATTAATTATAATTGTAATTTTACTCTTAAAATATTAATATTTAGTTGAATTATGGCACTTTTTCCTAATAAATATCTTCATTCATGCAATTAACTTGGCAAACTCGTCGGGTGAAACTGTGGCTCGCATTCAATGAAAGCAATGACAAATTTGGGAGAAAAAAAAATGGAAAAATAGAACAAATTTGTTGTTTTCTTAGAAACGGCGAAACGGAGGAACCGCCAAAACCGATAAAAATCGCGAATTCGATCGATGAGTTTGCTTGAGAATTCAATAAAATAAAAAATTACAGTAACTCATTCAACTCAAGACCATATCGCAGAACTGTCATGCACCTTTAACCTTGTTAATTTTTTTAATTCTCAAAAAAAAAAAACATTTTTGATGTTTTATACAACATTTTTTCTGCATATTACTGTTTTTAGATATTTCCGGAAACACTTTAAAAATGGTTTTTATTTTTTATGCTCTAAATATAAATCATGGAAAACGTAACAAAAAATACGCCGTGAACTCATTAGATGCATATCGCAATGGAATCAACAAATTAGGAATCAGTTCCTAACATTACTAGCCTACTAACAACCACTGAACTAACCCCCTCTTCGCAAATGCAACCGCAGAATCCAAGTCAAACCTTGTGCAGGCGAGGCGAGCGCCGTGAAAACCTTCCAATTGCCAAGCAACTTAACAAGGTGACAATGATGCATCATTTTTTAAAATTTTGATTCTTTTCAGTTTATCACTCTACCGAATCTTCTTAGTTGGAAGGTTCATGAGTCGGATGTGCTGGCACGCGGCCGAGTTCTCTCATTGTTCCGCACTAAAAGAACGTGCTTGCCAGATTATCTTTCGATTTTGAGACTCCGAAGCATGACAGTTACTCGTCACGGCTTCTTGGTAGTGTATGAGGAGCTTGAGAAAGGTTGCAGAAAAATTTAAATATTAATGTATATGGTTTGATAGGACTCATCATCGATCTTCGCGCTGCGAACAAAGTTCTCATAACTACTGACCGCTACAAAAGCCGAAAGATTTCCTACGTAAGACACTAAAAAAACCAGGGGATCAACTTTATCTCAGAATCGTTGTCACATCAAAATAAGACTCGCTCATGGAAACGTCCATTTGTTCGTCAAGGATGACATTGCAATGTGGACGTCCGCCATTTCACATGCGCAAGTCATTGGAAGTTCGAAGCCTATTGTCATCGGTGATGAACGACAAAAGGCTGTCCAAACTGATGATGTAGTAGAATCTTCTAAGAACGGTGTACGTGACATTGAAAAAATTCCTGATCCCGATCTTGAGTGCGTAGTGCTCTAGAGAAATAGTCTAATGCAAGGTTTTGTAGTCTCACAGGAGATGAAGATAGCCGGAAAAGCTTTGACACAGCCTTGTCGACAACATCGCCGAACAGTGGAATTGTAACTGTCGTTGAGAACCCAGAAATTCAACCACTGTAATTCTTTCATAAATTTTAGTTTATCGACGTCGTTTTGCAGGCCTTCGATTCGCCGTGGTCATCAATCAGTGACAACACTTCGCAGAAGGCTTGAGAAGAAGCTTGTCATGCGTAGCGGTCAGGAAGAAATCTCGATGCCTACTAATAGCTCGCAAAATGATAAGCCTCGCTATGTGACTTCGATCTTCATCCACTCAAACGAAGCTATCATTGACTCGAATGCCGATGAAGAACCAACTGAGAAGAAAGAAAGAAAAGAATGGTGGAATCGATCTCTGCGATGCTAAATAATATAAAATATTTAAAAAAATGCTTTATATATTAGAACAGAAGTGGTGATATGATCATCTTGCATATTTGTTGATTTCAAGCTGTCATGTATTTTATACAAAGGTTTAAAACTCGCGGGCATTTTCGCGCCAATCAATTTAATACGTGAGAACTGTTGTTTTCTTTTGTGCTGTTCTTTTTTGGTAGGCTTTAATGAGTATTTTAAAAATGTAATAAGTTATGTAGGTCTTTTTTATGGGTTATTGGCTGTTTTTTGCCACAAAACTATCTCAATAGAAAAAAATGTTGGTAACTCAGAACCAATCGGATCCGACAAAATTCGGCTCCGGAATCAACCTTATCCGATTGGAAATTCCACGGATAAATTGTAAATTTATCGGATCTGGTTGGTTTTTTTTTGGTACTTTCGGATCCGATGGGTTTTTCGAGCTCGTTTTTTTTCAATTCGAATCGGATCCGACAAATTCAATCTTATTCGTAGAATTACAAATCGGATAAGGTTGATTACGGATCCGATTGGTTTTGAGTTCCCAGAGAACACGCTAAGCATTATTTTTTCCGGTATTATTTTTTTTTCACTTGGTCACAATCGCTACCGCATAGTTGAGTCATTTCTTTACTATTAAAAAAAATTAATTCTTTAACCCTTTGTTATAAATATTAAAATAGATTTCAGACATGACGCTGCTTGAAGAATATTCGGAGTCAGCTGAAGTGCGGTCTTACGAAGAGAAGGATAAGATATTGGAAAATGGTTTGAAAAAAAGGAGAATTTTATTTAATTTCAACGAACGATTTTAGTTAAAAGAAGATGGGACACGTTATATGACGAGGAATTTATGTACTTGATGACAAGTCACGATTTTCGCGAAGGAGTTTTGAGCTCCGTTACTGATGTAAATAAATATTATAGAGAAAAGTAATATTAATAACCTTTTTTGTCAGGTAAATATTGCAAATTGCTCGAGAAGCACGCTGTCATTCTTTGTAAGACGGTTACTTCGCCATTTTGGCGATACCGATGGTGCCCGAGAGATCCTCATTTTTGCTAACAAAGTGTGCCAGAAGCCGTGCGCACGTGTGTCAATGGTCATGCAGCGTCGGGCTACGAATATGCTTCCGGATGCACCGACACGCGAAGTTACTGCTTTACGATTTCTAAAATGTGGAGAATTTATCACCAGCTCCCTATCGGTTAAAGTAGTTCTGCCGGATGAAATTAATCGAAACGGAGGAGCAATAAGCAAAAACTGTATTTTATTCACAGGGCTATCGATGGATTTCCAATTCTTTGTTAATATTGGTATTTATTAATTCGTGACAATTTCGAATAGTTCAATTCAACATTTTTCAGATGATAACAAAAACGCTAAAAAACAAAAAGAAAATGAATTGAACGACTCCAAGTAAAAATTCATTTAATGTATTAAACTGCTTTATGTTTATATAGACCAAGTGAAAAGTCAACTTATGCCAAGCAACTAATTGAAAATATTAAAAAATATACAATGTGTCTCCAATTGGACAATTCCACTGAATCAGATTTGAAATTGGTGAAGTCTATAAGACGGTGAGTAATTTTTTAAGATAATAAAATTTAGTTTGTGAGTTTTCAGTTCCTGTAAACCAAACAGTGTTCTTCGCTATGTCATTCTCAATCAACGTATCGAGTTCTTCATTTGCGCAACACAAGATATACAAGAAAACGAAGAGATAACACTGCCACATGACTTCGACTACTATCTTTCGCCGAAAATATTGCAATGCGCGTGCAATGGAAATTGTAGTTTTGAGGTATTTATTGAACATTTCAGCGTTCATACTTATGCTTTGATTGACAATTATAATCATAACTTGAAAATTCTTGAAATGAAGACAAAACCCTAGTAACTCGATCGATTATTGATCAACATCGTACGCGTAGTGCTCGCTCTTGCCGAACCGACTCTTTGCGATTTTCGAAGTTTGCTGGTCCCCAGTCTCCTGTTGCACGAAATAGTGCTGATAAGGGCTCCTTGTTTAGTCGGGTCTCGATAAGGTCGCGAATGAAATAAAAAAGAACGAACACGATGGAGATTAACACCAGCGTCCAGCCAAGAATTTCAACGCCGGCAGCGCGAATCGAAAAGAATTCGCTCCTTTGGTGAAATCGTATCAGGATTAGTGTATATATTGCCTGTAATTTGAAATATTAAAATAGTTTTTTGTTAAGTATCGAACTATGAGTATCAATGGACTGACGAGTACCCAGTTTAACCACCAGTAAATATTGAAAATTCCCTTGCTGCCGGTCATCGTTCGAATATTTCTTAGAAAAAAAGAAATCGAATTTCAATATTTTTTTTAAGTTGATGAGCAAAATCTACTGCGTTGCTCATTTCACTTACACCCAGAATCTCCTAAATCCATAAATATAAGCAACAGTGACTATTTCTATAAATGCAACCAATAGGGTTCCGTATGATGCATATGTTTCCACAGAGCTCATCAAATCGAACCCACCTATTTTTCTTGATTATTGAATTACAATGTTTGCAAATTATTAATTACCTATGCCCAAAAATGGTACGGATGATATAAGACCTCCTAAAGACATTCCGCTCACGATTATCGCACGCTTCTGCCAACTTGTCAACGGTCTTCCGTATTTTCGTTGGCTTCCGTTAATTCGTTCAATAAGCATTGAGCTCAGAATCCATAGATATGAAGCAAGTCCTTGTATTCCACAAAGAACCATTGAAAACCAGAAAAAGAAAACAAAAATTCCTCCTAGCCGGTATCTTGAATAGACCTGATAAATCTCTCTCCTTTTCAAAAAAAAAAATTGATGTAAAACCTCCGAAACGGCACTTTCGATGACTACCGGAGATGCGTAGGTTTGAATTCGAAGTGAATAGCTTTCTGACGGATAGTAAAATGCTGAATGATCGATTGTTGCCAATATTTTTGCGAAACATTACATCCAAATTCCGCCATGAACATAAACGACGAAAGTGTCAGAACTATATAGAACGTGTATGCGAATATGCTGACCAGAATGACATCACGTTGGAATTTGTGGTGGAATCTATTAAGAGAAGCCATCTTTTGAATTCCGCCGCATCCCACGCTGAAATTGTCCATGATTTATAGCCTTTTTTGTGCGTTTCTTGTAGGCACTTCAACGCTCGCAATGAATGCGATGCAGCATCGGCCCATGACCACATCCACATCCAGTTATTCGAGTAATCGTGGTTTGTATTTAGAAACGTTTTCAATATAATTTTCGAGTCATCGAAAGTTATTCCTGAATTTTCGACTATTCTTCATAAGGAAATGAACATATCATTGTTCTTTTAACGCGTCTTTATTTTAATATCCCATTATATACCTGTGAAAAAGAGTGTTGTGAAGCAGCATACAAAAAGTGCAAGTGTTCCGCCAGCAGTTTTTCCAATGATTTTTGAGCCTCCGATGGCGACTATCGTAGCTGCCACCCAAAGCAAAACTGTGCAGATTATTGGATGAAGCGAAGGCATTTGTAGTATGTTGACATTTTCGTCGATAAATAGTTCGTCGAATACGTAAGAGATGAACGGCGATTTTCTCACGAGAATCCCACGAGTGTCAATTACTGATCGGTGGTAGGCATCGCATATCCGCGAATAGTTGGCGGGTTTCCAGCGGCAATGCTCCTGTCTATAACGGGACGACATGATACGAAAGGTGTTAAGTCTCACTTGTAATCGACACAAAATAAATGATGGGGTTGGCAGTTTTGCCATGGAACGTTGGCCCAGAAGGCGCTTGCCGAATAGGTGACAATTACCATATCGAATACGGTCCAAACTGCCACACAAATGCAGCTAAACGTTGAAAATTGGCGCTAATTTGTCATTTAGTTTTAAACCGAAAAACTAGTAGGAATGACATTGCCGCTGACAAACCGGCCATTGATGGTACCATCCGTGAAAAGACGGAAAGTGGAGAAGCTGACGCAAATTGACCTAGCGCCATTTCCAAGTAAACCAATGGAACTCCTATGAAGATGAAGCAAAACGTGAATTGATATATGAACCAGCCTCCGTAATATGCACATATCGATGGAAAAAACCAGATATTTCCAGACGTTATTATGAACGAAAGTGTTGACATGAGACCTTCAAATGGGGCTGGCCAAATTGGTCCGTCGAGCTTCTTTTCGATTCCCATGTTTTCAAGTGCCATGTTGGTTACACTTTGAACCGTTATTAACAAGTTATTTCCCATCGATGTCGATTTTCGAAGCTTAAATAAAGGTTTTCGGAGATATAAGAGGATTTTCAAACCTTTGTTCCTTCATGCTTCAATGATGGATTAGTTATAATTGATTTCGTCGAGCTTGGAACACTATTCTGAATATTACTTTCAGCTGCTGACGATCGATCTTGTAATGTATCGCCAAATTCTATATGCATTTTGAAAATTTATGAGTTATTTAGATCTTAAATGTCACGAGATTTGCGTGCAAAATGGGATTTTAATTAAAATATAAACCGAGATGTCGTATATAATTTAATTAGTATTTATATATCATCATAAAGGGTAAAACTACATTCTTTTTGTGTATGAAAGTGTACTCAAATCTAATTGCCACGAAAATCTAATTCATTAGCAGTAATGGAAGTAAGTTGTTCTATAACTAAACGTTTTCGCTATCATTGAAAAAAGTCGGCAAATGAGTGTGATTTACATATTTGTAACCATTTTTTTTTCAGAAACATCGCCGTCTTCAACGCAAGCAAGCTCTGGTTTGTTTTAATTTTACTTTTTTAATCACATGATTGTTTTTTTCAATATAGAAAATTCGGTTGAGCGAAGGCGCGAAAGAAAATATTGAAAACGAAGAGGCAGAGTGGATAGCGAAAACAAATCTGACGCAACTTTGAACTGAATAGTGGTTTCTTGTGAGAATTTGCAAATTATTCCTGTGTAAAATTTTCTGTTAGTCCATAAATATTGTAGAATTGTCTCCTGGTGCGATTTTTGTGCGAATTCACAGTTGTCACAACTGCACTCTATTTGCGCCATCTGTATGGGGCTGACGCGTTTCTCGTGCACGCAATATAATTTCGTTACTATGAGTAGCGCTAGCGGTTCTTATTACAGCCATCTTCGAGAATGTTCGCATAATTTTTATTTGTTTTTTTTTCTTTTTTTCATTTCTATTTTGAATTCCTTCCTAATTCTTCGATTTTTTTTGGCCGGAAATGCGATGATCATGCTTTAATGAATGACTAAGATTTTCGCGCATTAAAAAATGCTTTCATGCCGCTTCTCGCATTCTCATGTGTCTCGTCGTTTCTATTAGCAACCAATTTTTTGAATCACGCATCTTTTGCTTTCATTTCGTTGACAAGTTATTATATTTCTAATTTCCGTCTTTCAGATTTTATCATTTAACTGAAAATCGTGAAATTGAGTAATTACCCACATATTTATGAGACGTCGTCATGTCCAACGAGGATGAGACTGAGACGCCAAAAGTGCAATTTGGCGTTTCGCAGCCAATTGCACTCACAAAACCGGAGCCGAAGGATATTGCTTTGAATGAGGAGGTTAGTTAGTTTTTTTTTTCACGATATGCACATTTCTAAAAACGCATTATTTAGAAAAAAAGAAACAAATTTATAACTCGCGAAAAGCAAAACTTTTAAACTTGTTTTATCCTCGAAATTTGTGTTTCATTTTTTGAAAATATACGATTTCGATTTCCAAAACTCAAAATTAATTGAATTTTTTTCAGCTCATAAAGTACATGCGAGAAAGCAAAGTTTTCGAGGCGAAGGAAGAGCTAGATTTGAGAATAAAAGTGCTCCGGAGTCTGAACAAAATGGTTATCGATTTCGTCGCGAAGGTAACTAAGAAAAAACTTCCGAATGATGATACGCTGAAGCCTGGCGGCAAATTGTTCACTTTTGGGTCTTATCGGCTTGGTGTGCATACTCCAGGTTAGTTTGGTTATCTCGTGTTCTCGCGCTATGTTAAATTTTAAGGTGCTGATATTGATACATTAGCTGTTGCTCCACGACATATTGAACGAAGCGATTTCTTCGATACATTCTACGATATGTTAAAAAATGTAAGACCAAGGAACGTTTTTCTGTTTTTAATACTAAATTTTCCATTAATTGAAGGATCCGAATGTGACGGAACTGCATGCAGTTGAGGATGCGTTTGTCCCAGTTATCAAACTTCGCTATTCCGGAATTGAGATTGATATCCTATTTGCAAGATTGGCGCTTAAAGAGGTTCCTGCCAGCCAGACTCTCAATGATGATATGTTGTTGAAGAATCTTGATCAAACAAGTATTCGCTCGCTCAACGGTATGCTTTTGAAAAATTTATTTGAAGTGTGAAAAAATTTCCTCAGCGTGAGCTTTTCAAGTTGTTTTTCTTTTTCCAAAAATATTTTTAAAAAATGAAAAAATACTGAACGAATTTTAGTAACGTCATATTTTTTACAGGTTGTCGCGTCGCTGAACAACTTCTTCGTCTTGTTCCGGAGTCCAAAGTATTCTGCACAACTCTTCGCGCCATAAAATTGTGGGCAAAAAATCACGGGGTTTACTCAAATGTTCTTGGTATGTCAATTTTAAATAGAAAAATATGAAGTTTTTAATATTTTTCCAGGATTTCTTGGAGGAGTTTCCTGGGCGATTCTGGTTGCGAGAACTTGTCAACTATATCCGAACGCGATTGCTTCGCGACTTGTACAAAAATTCTTTTTCGTCTTCTCCAATTGGTAAATTATTTTATTTGAAATATAAAATAATGGTGAATTATTTCTAGGGACTGGCCACATCCTGTCCTTTTGAAAGATATGGATAATAACAGACCGAATCTTCCGTCGCTGGCCGACATGGTCTGGGATCCGCGTCACAAGACATCGGATCGCTATCATATTTATCCAATTTTGACACCGGCTTTCCCGGAACAAAACTCGACATACAATGTCTCAAACTCCACAAAAATTGTGCTTCAGAATGAACTGCAAGAAGGTAATTTGTGAATTTATCAAATCGATAAAATTAAATTATTTTCTTTATTGTTCAGGCCTCGACATTTGTATGGAAATATTCGAGAATCGCTCAAGCTGGAGCAAACTGTTTGCTGAGGTCAACTTTTTCAGCAGATACAAGCATTTCATTTGTCAGTTTTTTTTCTCTCTCGAAAGCTTTCTATCGAATTTTTTTCAGCATTGCTCCTCGCTGCTGCGTCCGATGAAGATCATCTGTGCTACACGGGATTCCTCGAATCAAAAATCCGTCACCTAATCGGATCGTTGGAGAGGAATCATCCGTGCATTAGCATTGCCCACATTAATCCGAAGAAATATAAACCAGCTCCTGGGGCTCAATTCGACATTCCATTCCAGTAATACAATTATTTTATTTAATTCTACTTGGTTATGCTTTAGGAATCCGGTTTGTACCCTTTGGTTCATTGGCCTCGAATTTGACAAATCAACTGCGATGAATTTGGATTTGACTGCGGATATTTCGTCATTCCAACAATTACTAGCTACACACGGAAATTATGCTAAAGGAATCACATCTCGTGATAATATTAAGGTGAGCAATGCTGATTATCTCTCACAATGATAACGTATGACTGATTTTAAGGTCGAGTTGCAATACGTGAAACGCTCCGATTTACATCATTTCATTCCGGCTTCAGAGCTGAGAAAGGGGAGAGCCTTCCAGAAGCCGAAGCCGAAAACACAAGCCAAGTACATTTTTTTACTTATAGAAAAATATGATTTAACATGAAAATTAAACTTTTTCGTTTCCGAAAAAAATCTGCATTTCTTGTTGAACGAGATAAATACAAAATTGTCGGCGGCGTCAAACAATTGAAAAGAGACGGTGTTTTATTATGTTTGACGCCGACTAAAAGAGAACAATGCTCAAAAAGGCAAATTTTCAGCTCATCCACGATCAATAGTACACCATCGACTCCTACCGTTGCTGGTGAAGCTAAGAAATTGAATGGCTCGATTAGTCGAAAGCGCAAGCCGGATACTGATGACGAAGGATCGTCATCTGTCAAATCGGATGATTCGAACCATCCTACTCAGGCGAAACGAAAGAACAGTGGCGAGGAAAAAGCGATGCTTGAAAAGATATGTATCGAGTCGTCCGCTTCGGTAGCTGCATCATCCGAAGCGTCGGCAGCTACGGCAGCTGAGAACTGGACTGAAATCAAGGATAATACCGAGATTCTACCGGTCGAAATGGAAGACGGTGTTGTCAACAGCGAAGCCGGACGTGCTGACGAGGAGATGATGGACGAATCAGCTCCAGATAAGGAGAATGGTGTTAAGCTGAATGGAAAACTTGGAGGCGACGACGGCAATAGTGGCGGTGAGAATTCAGTGACAGCAGCAGATGCTGAATAGAGTTGCCTATAATGCATTCCGATTATATACATATATGTCACTATCTTAATCTATTCTCCCAAAACAAATGTTTTTTCGTTTTTACGAGTTTTCGTTTTTTATATATACTTTTTTATATTTAATAATAACTGACGATTCGGTCAGTATTGTTCATTAACCTTTTTCACCACCTCCCACAGAATATTTCTGCATCGACAAAAATTTATTAATTATACTACCATTAAAAATTCCAAAAAAAAAGTCGTATATATTTATCATGTTCAAGCATTTCTTCTTCATTTTTTCTTTTGTTTCGAAATCATGTATTCCTTTGTTCCTCTTTTTATAATATGTTCTTAGATTGTATTAATTATCATCAGAAAAAAATGAAACTACCAAAAACAGTCATAGAGCTTCTTTTTTTGGCGAAAATATTTTGTTGAAAAGCTTTGGCTCGATATAGTATTTTTATTCGTAAATTACGAATTTCGTTTCTTTTTTCATTTCTTCATTCTCTCTGCTCTTCGATTCTGTTTTCAGTCTTTTTTCTTTTCGAAAATGTTGAGTTTTTTGTATTTATATCCAAACAACTTCACACACATTGGAATGTTTATGTATGTTGTTTCTTTGGATAGCGGAAATAAATGGTGTGTGAAGAAATTGATATTTATTTTTTGATTATCAGTGATTCCGACCGTTTTGGTTATTCGAATGCCGTCTTTGATTTGGATTTCTATTCTGGTTGTGCATGTTTTGATTAGCAACTTGTGCTTCTGAAATAAGATACTTAAACCGCAAAGTTCTCAGAAAATCCTACCAACGTCTTGCTCAATTACATTGTCTACAATTTGGGTTAAAAATTCAGTAATTCTGAAAAAGATAATAAAAATAAAAAACTTTCGAAGTTCTTTACAGTTGAATTCCTTCATCGTTTGGTTCGACGCGGCCATTAGGAGTTGGAGGAGCCGGTAGAATAGCAGTTGGGGCAGGTGTTGCCTAAAAACACCGAAAATTTGGAATAGTTTACGAGATACCCTCACCGCTCTGCTGTTTTCCTCGGAACTTGTTGAAGATGAATTTCTGAGATTCGAGCTGGCTTCACTTCGTCTTGTCGTCTGATTCGATGGCACAATCATCGCTCGATTAAGCTCAGATGGTGGAGTCGTTGTCACATCTTGAACAATTGGGGTTGATGTTGCTCGCGGTGCGACTATTGGGCTGAGTTGAGATGTAATGGTTTGAGGTTGACTGTTGGTTGTGGCGGTGGTGTTCAATGTTGGTGGCGGAGAAGGACGATTGGTGCGCATTGAGTCTGCAATTAAGAGCTCGCATTAATACATACATATATTGTGCAATGTGCCTGTTCTTCTCGCTGGAATCACACTGCGGTCAGTGAATGAGACTTGACGAGCACGATGCACATCAGCTGGAGCACTTCGACGACGAACTATCCCAACTGGCATTGGTCTTGGCTAGAAAAAGAAGCATTTCTGAATTAAAGGCGCACGTTGGTACCCTATCTTGAGGTCGTATGATGCCCTGCCTCGCGGGGAATGTCGGTGGTTGGTCGTTCGCTTGCCATTCGGCTAAATTGAATCTCCACGAGAGATTATCGATATGGAAGTCCTTGAATTCCATCGTTTTTTTTTGTAAATAAGATTTATTTTTTTTAATTACCACAAATGTTTGAAGCATCATAAGATTCGGATTCATTGCATACGGTGGTCTTCGAACGAGATGAGAGAGCAGCTTCACATTTGTCAAGTTCTCTTGCGGACACGAAGCAATTGATTCGTTTGGTCCGAAAATTATCGCATAATTTTTGAAGTCTTTCATTTTGTTGAGTCGCTTGAATGGAATATAATTGCCGAATAAGACGAGAATCTTCAAAGTTTTTGGCACAATGCCATCGAGCTGGTCACCGAACGAATCTTTGTCATATGTGTCGATATACAGCGAAAGCTTCTCGAGTTTTGTGTTTCTAGAAAAACAAAACAAAAATAATTTCAAAAAAAAAATCGAAATTAAACCTGAGATTCAATGTGGAGGGCATTTTGTTTTTTGCAGTGAATGAAAACCATGATGGTGGTAGACTGAGCTCTTCAAGAGCTTCACATTTCTCTGAAATGTTAAAGCGTCTTCGTTTCCAATCGATTCCTTGTAATCACCTAATAATGGAATATATTTCGGAGCAACGTTCGTGTCGACGAGACATCCAATCAAATCCAATGAATAGAGTTTTGGAAGAGCTGCCAGCTTATTCATTAATGCGTCAGTAAGGTAAACGTCAGTGATGCAAACACGGCGAAGACTATTTGGGAATATCGCCTGAGATTTCATCGAATTGTTTTGAAAACTCAACACGTGAGAAACCTTGAGGAAATGATCTCCAACAACATTCATAACCCTCAATTCTCTGCAGACATTCGCCGCAATATGGAGGGTTCGAAGACGGTCGAAGTTTGGAAAACGCGCTAGACTCAAATTCTCTGTACTGATGTAAAGTTTCGGGATTCTTAAAGGTTTTCCCGAAATTAATTCAACATCCTTTTCACGAAGCCTGAAATTCCTCTCGCGTTCAATTGAAATTACGATGAAAATTGCCGACCGAGTTTGAATAATCATTCGGCGAAGAGCAGGGCAAAGTTCGAACACGGTATGAATCGCATTAATCCGAGAATCATTGGTAATCTTCGACACTTCCGTTTTACTAGTTATTTTGTGCACGAAATTCGGGCTTCCTAATGAGACATCATCATCGTCGATAATTATAGTTCGAACGTCTCTCCAACTGAAAATTCTCCCAAATTTCTTATTTCCAATCGCTCAATCCCGCATTCGCTTTTCGATTAGTGATGTTTGATCGGACCACAATTTGTTATACCTTGTGGCTTCCTCAAAACAGTACTCATCGATTTCAGCTAAATTGAATCTTGATGCAGGCGACAAAAACGAGGAAATCAATTGAATAGCATCTTGAGTAGTTTTCTAAACACTTATTTCCAAATATGGCATGCGTTTAATGATTATTACCATTCTCTATATCTCAGATTTGGGAAATGATGCAAAACGCTTCTCAAACGTGAAAATTCCTTGAAAATATCTATCTCTTTATGTTTTTTTTTGACTGATATATCATTGTCAAATGTCGTTGGGCAATCGTTCCTCGCCATCCAGCCGACAGAATTCCTCTCTTCTCATTCTCTCTTTCAGTATTTGTTTTTTTTTCGAGCTGCTCAACTCACCTGTGGTGCCCTCTGTGCATTTATCTTCCCACCACTCGAATTGCTAACCGAGCCGCAGGTCATTTTGTTGCGTTCCAATCCGGTTAATTTATTGCCTCTTCTTAATTGATTTGCAAATGTGAAATAAATATGAGCGCAAGGAAGACGTTCTTTGAAGTCTCTCAAACTTGAGATATTTGAGGAATCGCTTAATAATTTTATAAATTTTCATTTAATTATGTGAAATTCGAAATATGTCAACCAATTTGGCTTTCACAATGTCATTCGAACACCTAATTTAGATTTGATTATATCCACCAATATTTGATTTCAAAAAATATTTAAAAAAATTTTAAAAAATTATTAAAACTTATTCTTATTTTTTAAAAATCACATTTTCCACATATGGAATTAATCAGATGATTAATTAATTAATACTTTGATTAGAAAACAATCAAAATAATTTATGATCCGTTCGGCTTCATGAATTAGTTTTTATGAAATTTCTCCTTGTTGACGTGACTTTTTACGCATTTCGAGAGTTCTCTTTCAACAACACCTTTTGAAATATGAAAAAATTAAAATTCAAACAAAATGGTGAAGAAAAAAAGAACATTTATGGTTTTTCATAAATTATGGCATTTATGAAAAAAAAGTTATCTAGGAAACTGGAATCTGTTTCTTCTTTTCATCCATTTTCCATCAATTTCACAACTTTTGCTTTTGCAAGCGAATTCTCCAAAGCAATGTGTGATTTATTAGAGTATTGCAATTGAAGTCGTGGGTGGACGATGAGTCGACGACGCCGCGGCAAAATTCCCTTCATGCTCTTTCTTATAAATGCGGCCGCTCGTTTAAATAGTGTAACAAAATCGTTATTTTTTTTGTCGAGATCGCCACATAATTTATATATCCTGATGACAGAAAAAGTCACATAAAAATCACGATGGCGGCAGCAACAAGCCGACCGCGTTGAATCGTCGCACATGTGCTCCATACGTGCAGCTTAATCTCGTGATTCGTGTTGTTCAGGCATTTCGCGACACGTCCGATTCCTCCGTGTTCATTAATAACTAATCGACGGCGACCCCCGCAACAACGGTCGAGATGCAACAATTTGAGTGTGCAGTTTTTCTCGTTTTTTTCCTGCTCCTCCGTTTGACGAATTGTCAACAACTATTGGCGAATCCGCGCTGTAATCATTGGCCCGATCGGGGTCCTTGTGATGTTGAATTCACTGTCAAATGGTACAATCGTAATAATTCAAGAAAATTCCCTCAAATTCTTGCAGGTATTATGATCGCTATGATCATCGATGCCGCCGTTTTTTCTATGGCGGTTGCGACGGAAATGAAAACCGATTTGATTCATTGGAAGGTTTGCAACTTTTGACATGTCTCGGTGTTCGCTGTGATCATTGGCAATCGGAAAAAAGATAGCGCATCGCTCAAATTGTTGCACATCTAAAAGAGCATCGATTCGAAATTTTCGGATTCAGCTCGTTTTTGTCATGTCGAGAACAACTTGAAAACAATTACTTTTAGGATATTTCAATTGAATTAAACGATTTTTGGAAACTAATACAGTTGATTGAATTTTTGGAAAATTTCAGAATGCTCGTCTCAATGCCATTTCCAAGAGGAATCCAACAAGGATCGTTGCTTTCAGCCGCACGATCCTGGGCATTGTAATGCTGATATTGAACGTTGGTTCTTTGACGAAAATAAGAAGCAATGTGTGTGCAGGTGTGAATCCCCAGAAATTCCTTATTTGACAGTTAGAAAATGTTCAGTTGGTGGTCGGGATGTGGAGGAAATTCGAACATCTACTATTCCTACAATCATTGTATGCTGATTTGCGGTGAATATGCTGAACAAGGACCCGGAATTGATGAGAAATACTGGAATCGATTGAATGTTTGAAATCGATCACCGAAAATTATATAAGAAGAAAATAAGCAAATTATTTTTCAGACAAATAAGATGTCTTCTGAGTCGCGTCAATTGCTTCGCAATCCGATACTTGTTGATTCTTTGAAGTACACTCAAGAAACATATACGGTCAAGGTGCCAGCTGATGATTTTGTGGGTTCGATTCTAGAATTCTAATAGCTATCAATCAAATTTAGATATCCGAGCCACAGGAATCATCCAATTTTCTAAAGCCTGCCGAAATGTTCACGACAATCAACATCTCGCACACTGACGATGCTCCAGTATAACTCACGTTCTATTATTCGATTTTCACCTCTTGATTTTATTTAGAATGGATATCTTCACAAATCCCCAAATTCTTATATTCCATTTGTTAATAATCAAGCTGACGGGGTCACGATTCATCGGTTTGAACGGCCAGTCGAAGGCCATCGAAATATCACCGAAATTCCAGATATGATTCCGAGCCGCGACCGCTGACGGTGATGGATGACAGCCGGTGGACAATCAATGAGCAGCCCTCAATGAACGAGAAGCGGAGATTCCGAGTATCTCGAAAACGTATTCCTCCTAGAATGATTCATATCGGTGGAAGAAATCGCCAACAAAGCAACAGTTACAAGATCCAGTTGAACTCGGATGAGCCGAGTCAGTCAGCAAGCTATCAAGCAGTTCAAACCGAAGATCCCGAGACAAATTCGCAACAGCTTATTGATCATCATCAGAAGATTTCGCAGAATCTCCAGGAGGAGGCCGAGATTGTTCAGAAGAAACTTCAGCAGGATATGAAGAAGAAATATTTTGAAGATCTGGCGCGTCGTCAACTGAATCCACAAGCGAACGACCAGAAGTATCATCCGGAGCTTGTCCAACAATTCCGCAGTCATTTGGAAGAGCACGAGAATAAATTGCGGATGAAGCTTGAAGCTCAATTCCCAGATCACATTATTACATTGACCCCTCAAATCGAGACGATTCGCTATCCTGATGGAAGAAATGTAGTGAGACAAAGAATCCACTGGACAGCGCACCCGAAAATGCACCTCTCTCAAATTCCGAGCAACCAGTTGCCAGATAACTATCAGAAAGTTGGACAACCGCAAGCTGCACCAAGCTTGCCGCCAAGCCAGCCATTTGAACATGAACGACCTTCGGATGTAGCGAAACCGACTGCGGCGTTGCCGACGATGGCATTACCAGAGGATCGTGCTCAAAATCAATTGCCATCAACAATTGCTCCACACGAGTTAGCTAGGATCCAGCATGAAAACATGATAAAGCAGCGACAAAAAGAAATGGAAAAGAGAAGAATCGAACACGAAAAGTTAGTTTTTCGTTCTAGTTTTGATGCTATTACACTATTTTGTGGTTTTAGACGTCGCAATGAGCATTTGAAGAAGATCCAAGAGCAACACGAAGAGCATCGACGTAAAATTCAAGAGCAGAAGGAAATGCAACGAAGGAAACATGAACAGATGATGGCTGAAAGGGCACGGCTTCAAGAAGAACGACGAAAAATGTTTGAAGAGCATTTGGCCAGACAGAGGGAAATTACGGTAGCACTTGTTTCTGATACTAAAAATATTACGAATGATCTTCTAGATTACTACAACCCCAACTCCTAATACGGTTCTTCAAACAACTGCCGTATACGAGTATCATGTCCAGAATCCAATTCCAACCCATCCCCACTCATATTCGAATGTTCGCGTTGGTGACATTGTTCAAGACGCCACTGTTCACAATCCGAGGCCGACATCAAAGAGCACTGCCGAGGCAATAGAGCACTACAGGTATCACTTAAACGTGTTTATAATAGTACTTACATTAACTATATACATATAAAAGTTATATGTAAGGGAGGCATCATTAGCTTAACGGCAACATCAAATATGATTTTAGACCCATTATTGAGCACATCACAGCGGCACCGTTGAGTCTTGAAGAAATTATTGCAATGGATAATGAGCGATCCGATTATGAAGATGACTATGATGTTCCTATGGATTTTCCCGATACTGAAATGCGTAAGAAGCCTACATATTATAGAATTATAGAGTATTGATTTCAGCTCCTACGAGAGCACCTCCACTACCTCAGCCGACCGTCGCGAAGCCAGTATACACCCCAGCACCAAATAATGTTGCTAACCAGGGTCTTGCCGCGATCGTGATGCCACCAACGAAATCAACTAGTGAGATTTTTATCCTCTATACATATATTAAAAGTTTTTATTAATATTTTTTAAGGAAAGTCGAAGCTATTTGGACCAATCGAAAGTGAAGAATACACTCAAGATTTAGGTTATTTCCTATAAAATAACCCAAATAATAGAAGAAATTTATTAGATTTTGATCGATTCGTCGACTTCGTGATGTGAGCCGGGCTCATGAATACGTGTATAAGTGTGTATTTTCTACGAATATATTTTTCCAGTGTGTCCACAGGGCACGATAAACGTATTATCATCAATTGTTTCTTATCATTTCTTCTATAATAATTATCATCGAATTAGGACCATTGATTATCACATGTTCTCCGTTGTGCCCAGTTGTCCATTACACTATGATGTATGAAGGGTCACACTTGGCAGTTTTTTTCCGCTTTCTTCCAATCGAACCTCATGTAATTCTACTCAAATATTTTCCAGATGAAACTCTCGCTTTTATTTATATTCACTTTAATTTCATCTATTTCTGCGGGTGATCATAATACTGTCAACACATGGGACGGTGTGATTCAATATGATGAGGATTGGGGTTATGCTGACATCAGGTATAGTATATTTCTGAAGAGCATTTTCATAAAAATGATTATCGTAGAAATGGGGCTCACACGTTCTGGTGGTTGTTCGCCAAGAAACCAGCTGATCCGAAGCGTCCGCTGTTTGTTTGGCTTCAAGGTGGACCCGGATCTTCTAGTACTGGTTTCGGAAACATGGAAGAAACTGGCCCAAAGACATTGAATGGCTCCGACAACCAGGCAACTTGGCTTCAAGTAGCCGATTTGGTTTATGTTGACAATCCAGTTGGAGCCGGATTCTCTTATGTCGATGATTTGCAATATCTCACCACCAATATTGAACAGATTGGAGAAGACCTTCTTGCGTGGCTTCGCAAGTTCTTGGTTCTCCACCCGGAATACCGAACTCGGCCATTCTACATCTTCTGCGAAAGTTATGGTGGAAAAATGAGCACTCAATTCGCGAAAGTCATCACGGACGTTAGATTATTATAAAATTTGAATTTTTCTTCAATGCATTATTCAGGCGATCAAAAAGGGAAATTTGTCGTTGAATTTCAAAGCTGTGGCTCTTGGTGATTCATGGATCTCAGCTATGGATTATGTCAACACCTGGGGACCATATTTGTACGCAAACGTAAGAATACCATTTTCATCAACGCACAAAATTATAATTTGAGAGCTATTTGGATGATCATCAACTGGCGACTGTCCAGAAGTTGGCCTCTCGATGCCAATCCCTCGTTGATCAACAGAAATGGTCGCAAGCTACTAACTGCTGGAGTGAAATGGAGGAGTTGATCAGCTCTGTAAGGCCACTGTTATTTTTTCTGCTAACTTGACAAACACTCAGGAAACCAATGACGTTTCGTGGTATAATATTCTTAAAAAGGGAGGAACTGACGATTGGAGCTCGACGAGTACTGTATTCGCGTCGAGACTCCGTGCTCCAACTAGCCGTCTTTATCAGAAATTCGTTCAACCGTTGTACACCGATAGTCTCACCGACTACATGAATACCGTTCTCCGCCAGAAGTTCGGAATTATTCCAGATAAAGTGAAGTTCGGAGCACAATCAAGCAATGTGTTCAACTATCAAGCTGGAGATTTCATGACTCCAATTTACGAAACTGTTGATCAATTATTGAAAAATGACTACAATGTTGTTGTGTTCAATGGAAATGAAGATCTTATTTGCAACACAATGGGTAAGATTGTCTGTTGTTTAAATAGATTTCGTAAAAAAAAATTGCAGGAACTGAAATGTGGATGAACCGATTGACTTGGGACGGAATGAAATCGTTCAATTCGACCTCTCGCCACCATTTTGGCACTAAATCATTCCCATTGGCCGGATATTACAAAACCCATCAGAATTTGCAAATGTTTTGGATTTTGAGAGCTGGACATATGGTGGCCTATGATACACCAGAAGCCGCCGTTTACATGATCAAGGAAATCGTCAAACACTATAATTAAAATTTATAATAAACTCTCAACTCAAATACACAACAAAATATACACGTATAACAAATTCAATAGCATAATTAATATTGATTAGTATTATTATTTATTGCCGGCCAAATTGCCAATAGAGGTTTGTGCCATTCACTAAAGTCGCCGGCTTGTGACTATCCGAGCACATAGCTGGAGCATTCTTGGCTAGGTAGAGCTCATCGTTGCAGTATCCGCAAGAGTGACGGCAAACACGAACAGCAAATTCGGCATCAGAGCAACTGAAAGATGTCGCATCAAATGGTCCTTTAAACAATAAACTAAACAAAGAGACAACCTGTATTTTCCCAATCCGGCATCTTTGAACCTTCTGCAGAACGCGATCGAATGTTTGTCTTTGCAAAGACTGGGTGCCTTTTGAAGTGATCTCGAGTTCTCCGAGCTGATCTTATCTTTAATTTTTAAAATAGTCATATTTCGCCCGTTTTTTCTTGAAGGCTCATACTTCTCTCAATATACTTTCGACATTCTCCACAACAATCGATCGAACTGAAATCGTGATCGGTGAGGCATCTGAAAAAATCGAAATTTTGTGCAAATATTTGATATACTTCAAAAATCCGACGAAATCGCTCGCGCAACTACATATACTCAAAAGTGACAAAAATCAATGATATTTCGAAAAGTAATTCGAATCGTGTGTGTTCATCCTTCTGTTTCCGAGCGTATTGTTGCGGTTCGATTTTCAACAAACCCAAAATCAATATTTCTAATTTCAGAAAAAAATGTCGGTTTTCCGGGTTCTTAGAAGTTGGTCGGAGAATTTCATCAAAAGAAATTCTGAAGAAGGTAAGCGTTTCGCTATTTTAATTCTCAATTTTAGATCATAGCCTGGAATTTTATTTTATTTTTTTTTTACAATATTTCATTACAGCCTAGATATGTCCGAAAAAAAGAGATTTACGCACAATAAGAACCTTTGACAGATTTTTTTTTCACTTTTACTGAAAAAATCATGAAAGTATTTTGAAATATTTAAAATTTTCGAATAAAAAGGCTCATTCTCTCATAATTTCCAAATTTGGGTATAATTTCGAAAGTAATCCCCCTCCGCCCCAAATTATTTTATCAATTATCATTAATACACCGAATACCTCTTCTCGAAAAAAGCGGGTTGTGTTTTCCTCAACGATTGACATGCTTGTTCTCCAAATCTATCTCGACAACACGGTAGTTGGGCAGTGTCTGCAATTCGCTCATTAGTAGGATGAATCAGAAAAAAGAATCTTTTTCTTCTTCTTTTTCTTTTTTCTATCCATTACCAACTGTTCAACTTGTTTATTTGCTTTTTTTCTACTACTATATTGTTGTCTCTATATAATTTTTTTTAGCTTATCAATATATTATTGTTTTCTCTGCAATATTCGATAGCTCAAACACCATGTCCGACAATTTTTGAAGCGAAGGTGACAACGAGGCGAAAAGCCGCTTATTTGGTGAACCAGAATGTTTGATTTGATAATAATGATGAAGTGGAGATGAATAACGATGAATGGAAGACGAGAAACCTGTTCTCAAAATATCTTCTCGCAATCCGCCGACATTCGCCCACTGCGTGCAATCGATAATTATCGATAAGTTTAGTAATAATTACAAATTCCTTTGTTGTCTTCTCATTTGGTTTTGCGCACGCGTTCATTTTGGGATGCGATTCTATCTTCTCTCTCTCATTATCATTATTCATTCAGTCATTCTCATTTACTACTTATCAAATTGCCTATTTCGATTAAAACTAACAAATTGTTGCAGGCATTTTGCTTAAAATTGACTTGGCCTCTGCTGAAGACGCGCTAAGACCTTATCATTATGAACCTCGATACCACCTTAATTTTGAGAAAATTACCACTCAATAATGTGTAACATATGAAGAAATTGAACTTATCAAACGTAACGACGTCCTAATTTAGACCTGTCTTAATTGCCACTAACCAATTAAATCGCAACGGTTTAGATCCGGGTTTTGTTTCAGCGACTTGCCCGCACTAATTGCTACACTTCTTTCATTTTTTTTTTCTTCTTCGCTTAAATCGCTTTATAACTATTTTTGATCAAGTTCCGTTTATCGTTAATCGATTTCGGTGGATGTCACGCCAAATTGGGTTTTTTTGCAGTATGAAATCCATTAAATTGGACTCTACTAGGTCATAATAGGAACACCATTCGTTTAACGACCAAAACAAGAAGTGGTAAAAGACATTAATAATCGTGACCCCCCTTGTGTCGAAAAAAATGATTCAATTCAATTCGATCGTAAAAATCGGCGCAGAGAATTTTCGTAGTAGTTGATTGCATATCCCAAGTATCAATGCCGTCCGACAATATATCTTTTTTCTATCTTTATTTGCACAGCGAGACCACCCATCATCAAGTTTCTTCTCATCTTCATCTCCACAAAAACATTTCCTTTTGTGTCTTCATTTTTGAATAAAACGAACTGGGTGGGTCATCTAGCAGGTTTCGCGTCGAAAAATGTATCATTCTTTTTTGTACACCTCTCATTCTATGCCATTAAAAAATGAAAGGAAAACTTTTACTAATATGTTATCAAAATCGCACACAATGCCGACTTTCGCCGACCCCTGCCATTATCGCTGGTAATTCGCCAATTATCGCCAATCGCAAACCTGTAACATATCCAGTCCGTCATCTCTTAAGCTGTGTTCCCAGACCATTCGCGTCGCATTTTCTTACTAATTGCAAGTTTCTCAACGCGATTGGCTCATTCTATCATTGGACGTCTAAAAATGCCCAACAGTCCCCAATGATAACGCTTATCTATATTGTTCCAAAGTGCCCTACCATTGTATTAAATCATTGTCCGTAAGCCAAAAGTTACGGCTAAACACAATATTGAATTTACTTATTCTAAAATACATTATTTTGCGAGTATTACTGAATTCAAAAATTTAGACGAAATGGTGAAAGAGGAAGAGGAGAAATGCCTCAAATGCATATTTGTGGGCAATGCTGCGGTTGGAAAAACTTCGATGATTGTATCTTATACTACAAATGGATATCCTCAAACATATATGCCAACTGCTTTCGATAACTTCTCAGGTTTGCACCTTTTAATTATTTGCTCTCACCACTCAATTTTTATATTTTTTTAGTAGTTGTGTTTGTGGACAATAAACCTCTTCGGTTACAGTTGCATGACACTGCTGGACAGGTGAGAAAAAAAAACAAACAAACATGGTGTTAGAGACTCACTTATATTGCTGGTGATTCTCGCCACTGGCCCAACAGACTTCATTGGCGCCACACCGGTTTCCATGAGTAATTGCCGCAGCGAGGTGATATTGCCTAAAAATAATGTAAAACGATGCGATTATCCGAAATCATCCTTGTGATTTATTGTCCGAAAAAAAGACACTTTGCGCGCAAACAAGGCAATGTTTGATAGAACGTTGATATCTCACCTAGCTGTTGAAAATTGTAGGGAAGCGATTGCACCGTTGTCGTTTGCAGCGGTTCTTGGTTTGTCCTCATTCGCAATTTTCTTAGATGTATTGGCAATTTTCTCATAGAAATTTCATTTAGTAAAATTCGGCGAACCGGATATCTAAAAATTCAAATGTCTAAAGGAATATTGATGATGCTCAAACCTTATCTCTGAGAAGCATTCAATAGCCAAAAGAAACCAGAGCAGAAGCCGACAAAACATAATTGTAGATTTATTTTCGAAAGTGGCGAATGCCATCGAAATCGGTTCTGTTTTATCGGGTCAGCTCCGGAAAAAACAAACATGCGCTTAATGACAGGCCAACGATAAATGTCATAGGCCGGATATTATTAGATTTGAACATGTTTTTGCAGTCTTCGTTCGATTCTCTTCGTCCATTGTGCTATTCCGATGCCGACGTTTTCATTATTGTCTATTCGGTTATTGACGAAAAATCATTTGAGGATGTGCTAATTCATTGGTATCCGGAAGTCACCAAAAGGAACCCAGGAACAAAAAGTTGATTGAAACGACAAAATTGCTTTAAATTATGTGTGTCATTTTAGTTATACTGGTTGGAACACAAATTGATCAACGATGGCAAATTCGCGGCGAGACTGTGACGACGACTCGCGGAAAAACACTTGCAGCTCATATTGGCGCTGAATTTTATGAATGTTCCGCTTTAACACAGCATAATTTGAAGCAGGCAAGATTTTATTATATTGGAAAAAAAATTTAAACTCACTATAATTTTTTTCAATTCCTCGAATTTCCTCAAAAATGCCTTTTCAGATGTTCGACTCTGCCATATTAGCGGGTCTTGAGACAAAGAAACTACGCGAGAAGCGCCCTCTTCATAGCAAATCAGCGAAATTCAAGGAGCGAGTTCAAAAATTTATTACAAGAACGAAAAACCTTATCTGATCAAGTGCTTGACCCTTTTTTCTTCCCATTGTAAAGACGGGTCCATTATTTTATCATTTTTACACGATCTGAATAAAAGTTTCGCACAATTATCTCTTTGAAGTTCTAAATTTAACGAATTATTTTTGATTTTTATGCTAAGTTTCGTTTTTCTCGATTACTGTATGCTCCGCCGCCTGCAATCATCTAAGCGCACAAATGCACACTCAGATTCGAAAGTCATAACCTTCATATTTAAATTAATTCTTCTTCCATAGTATAAAAATCCAACGAAACATGAGGCAGATAGAAGCAAATTTGAACGGCCGTCTCCGCGTGTTTTATTTATTGTAAAAATATAATTTCTTCCTTTATGTTTTTGAACGCCCGCGCCTCTTTCTTAAAAAATAAAATTTTTCTTTTTTTCATTAACATTTCGTACTCGAATTTTAAAAAGAAACTTCGTGATATTTGAAATGAAACATGGAATATATTATAATTGTTCAAAGTTCGCGCGTCTTTCGATGTATTCAAATCACCCGCGTCGTAATTCAAACCTTGGTCCCGAAGTGTACTTTCACCGGATTAACATATGCGCATTATTCTATATATTTTCTTTCATACTCTCTCTCGGTTGATATTTTCGCAAAACTGCCAAACAGAATAGTAATTAGCATTCATTTAGAACATATAATAAAACATCAAACAGTTGTAACCGCTAGGAACGCGCACCTCCAATTTTATAACATCCCTAGTCAACGTCTTTTGGCGGGTTCTCTCTATTGAACTCATACGCTCTCTCATGTCTGCCCTCGCTAACACGCTCGGGCAGAATATGAGCGCCAAATTCAAAAAAAAACCAATGCCTTGCAATATTTTACCGCACTCCTCACCTGTCCTGTTGTTTTTCTTCGCGTCTAATCTTTTCTTTGTTTTTAGAAAATGGCCTTGAGGGGTACGAAAGGGTCAGAGTTTAAGGAAAATATTCCAATTAATGTGAAGGTGAAGAGCAAATTGCAAAAGGCGACAACTAGCAAAATTTAGTGAGTGTAAACGTATGTCTCACAATCACTAATTCAACATTTTCAGCAGCAAGAAGAAACGTGTAGCGTTGAAAACGAAAGAACCCGTCGAAGATAATGTTGCTCATTGTACATCTTCTAGTCCATCTTGTACAAAGTGTTCAACACCAGAGTCGAAAGTTAAAACACCAACACGGAGTAATTTTCCATTCAAACCGACAAAATGGCCGGAAGGTTGTTTCTCGAATCACCTATTTTTAAGACGAACAAATTAATTAGAAACCAATACACATGCGGAACGTCCATTTATAAGAATTATTGAAAACGAGGCCGGCAAAAAAATTATCGAAAATTTACCGGAGACTAGTAGTAAGCGACGTAACACAAGGATTAAAGCGTTTTAATACGAATTGATTTCAGCAACTTGTTTTATATGCAAGGAAACCGGTGGAGAGCTTTTAAATTGTGGAGGATACTTGGACGGGTTGGTCATTAATCGATCCAAAAATCGCATAAAGTGCCAAACTGTCTTCCATACAGATTGCTTATACGTAAATTCGAAAGTGTGAATATCGAAACCATTTCATTTTTTTCAGAATTATAATGCTGCCGATTATTGTGCGGAGTATATCAAGCTACCTGAATGCCAAAACGAAATACTCTGTCCGCTTCATATGTGTAATACATGCTACAGCGAAAGATATAAGCAGTCGGCCTTCACAAGTAAGTGAAAAATCATAATCAAAAAGTTTCGTGTTTAATTCTACTTGAATCAAATCGAATAATTTCAGATAGACTGATTCAATGCATATTTTGCATGCGCTCATTCCACTATGATGTATGCTGTCCTACTGGTAGCAAAGACGTTCAAGCGTTCATCGATGCTGATGATCCTAAGCCAATTGAAATGCTGATATGCCCATCACATTTTGAGGAACCATTGAAGTCCGGATCACACATTCCAGTGTGCTTCGAGTGCGAAAACGACGCCTCCGAAGAAACTCTCGTCAATTGTCCCAAATGTGTTCGCTCGTTTCATGCTTCATGCAAATCCGTCAAGCTCATCAACGGAATTCCTGTTCCGGACGATATTTGCGAGTTTTGCCTCTTTCAAGAAGTTATTCGATATGACACTCCGGTAATGGCAAGATGGAATGGAAAAGCTTACTTTCCGGCGATTACCAGAGAATGGAAAGATTGCCCAAATCAGCTAAGGTGATCCCATCAACGCTAATCCTTTATAATAAATATGATTATAGAAAATCGATAAATTATGACAAGTTGGGATATACAACCGTGGAGTGGTTAGGCGATGGAAAGAATTTTTCTATTTGTCCCATAAATGAGATTTTTCCGATGCTGCCGAATTCAGTTCAGATTTTTGGAAAGAATTTTTCGAAATCATTGAAAAATCGTAAGAAGCATAATTATTTCAAATGTAATAAAACTGTCTCATTTTAGAAATGCAATCACATATTGACAAATACATGAATAGATCGAGTAGGTTTCAAGCATTGAAAGATGTAAAGAAAAAAACTGATGTGAGTTGAAAATTTTTCATAATAATAATTATTATTATCGTTAAGACTTCGCGATATCACACAAAGAACGATGTTGGAGCTTATTTTAATGAAGCATTTAAATGCGATTGTAAAGCAGATGGGGTAAAGAGATGCTCTACGGTGGAGTGTAGCAACCGCTCATTGATGGTTGAGTGTCTACCGGTACGTTACAGAAAAATGTCTATGAATTTAAATTTCGCGTTTCAGGAATGCCACGACAATGGTACCTGCCACAATCGGTGCGTCTCGGACAAAATTGTCAACAAAAAAATTGAACGTCGAGTTACCGAAAAAAAGGGTTATGGAGTATTCGCGACTGAAACTATCAAGAAGGTATATTTAAACTAATGCACAAGGAAAATTTCTCAATAAATGTTTATTAAGGGCGAGTTTATAGCGGAATACGCAGGAGAAATCATAAGTAAAGCCGAAAAAGAGCGTAGAAGTGAAACGCTTCGTCGTGCACGCGACAAAGAAGCCAATCTTTACATGATGGAACTAACGAAAGGACGGGCTGTAGACGCATCTAAAATGGGCAATATAGCTCGGTACATTCATTTCGATCCTTTTCTTCAATTTATTCCGTTGTTTTTCAGTTATATTAATCATTCGTGCGAACCAAACTGTAAAGTTATCAATTTAATGATATACGTATCGAGTGTGAAACAATACGATATCCGACCCGCATTGTACGCCGATAAAGACATTAAGAAAGATGAAGAACTTTGCTTTAACTACGGCATGTCGGCAAAATTGGAAAATATGACAGCGCCAGCATGCAATTGCGGATCAGCAAAGTGTTGTGGTACATTGGGATCTAAAAGTATAAATATTTCGCACTGATAAATTAAATGCGACAATTAATTTTCAGGTCAAGAGCCAACTTCTGACGCTAAAAAAACTAAAGAAGCTCGAAAACTGCATAACAAGGTATTTTTTATTTTTTTTTTAATTTTAATATATATTTTTAATCAGACGAATGCGAAGACAAAAAGTTTAAAACGGAAGAATCGAAAAAATGCGCCGAAACAGCTTAAAAAAGCGAAAATTGATGCGACAAAAAAGTAATAGGTTTAACAATAATTTGATGAATATTGTGTTATGTATTTTCCAATCCACTAACTAACCTCTTCAAACATTGTATCATTCTTGTGGTTGAAAACCCCCCTTCAATTTTTCTCTGCAAATCATGCATGCACACTCATCTCATTTTATCAATTCATTGTTTAAATTATGAATTCACCGATCTCACTCGTTATTTTTCTTGAAAAAAAAGCGGAGTGTCTTAGCTCAAACTTTTTCCCGTAAAATCTCGATATTTTTAGTCTTTGATTCGAAATTAATTGTGTGACAATTTTTTCTCATGAAGCCATTGTCAACGCTCGGTTGCAACATCTTTTTTCGAAACTTGCCAGAAAACTAAAATTGCTTTAATTTCTTTTTTTGCTGATTCAGTACCGATTCGATTTTTCTTGAACTTTCCATTACAATTCACAATCATTGATATACTCGTTTTAAATGTGTTAAATGCGCGATGTTTCGTATTTTTTTCATCGTTTTATCTTGTATGTGTCTTTCTGTATTTTTGTTATTTTTTCTTCTCTATCGATAAATTATGTATTGCGCGTGAACTAATCCATAATCTCATCAAAACCGATCTCTTGGAATTTCGGATTTTCGAAAAGCTAGTAATCAAAGATTTTTAAAACCGACCCTTATGATGGCTTTTTCGTAAGTTGGGGACTGAATTGTGTCGCATCGTTTCGAAATTGGTGTTTCGCTTTAGAAGAGCGATTCATACGACAGGCGCCCCGAAGCACTTTGAAAGGGTCGCTCAAAATTTGCTCGAAAAACGCACTGCTCATGATCATAGGTAACAGAAATGACGTGAATGTGGATTCAATCGACGTTTAGCACGTGTGATCTTCGAATCGAGCTCAAACATGGAGTTGATATGGTTCATTCTGCAATCGTCGCGGCACATTCGAACACCTTGTCGACCGTATGTCAGAATCCGTTGATTTGTCAATTAAAAATTTGCAGATGCTTGAGAACACTTGTCCGCCTTATCCATCGTTTGATATGACATTATTCAATGCGGACAGTGTTCGAAGGGTCATCAATTGGATGTATTCAGGAGAGATTGACGTTCCAGGACATGATTTGAAGGAAGACTTGACAGTCGCCGCATACCTTCGAGTACCGCTCCTTCAGAGAGAATTCGAGCAACATTTGAAGAAAATTGCCGAACAAGGCGATTATGTTTTTGCACTGAATGTTGCATCGAGCCATCAATATTCTGTAAGATTTCGCATATTACGAGAAAGGTTGTGTGTTTGCCTAGACTTTCAGAAGTCTCTTTTTAGAAACTGCGAAGTCTTCTGAAAGTCTACGCAAACTCTTTGCGACATTTGCCGAGTTTTTCAAATTAATGCCTATTGAATATGAAGAAATATTTATTTATTTGAGCCGATTGGCAGAAATGCTTGAAGATGTTGCACGTCTCTTCAAAGCGGAGGCTGGAATAAATAGTCGCGCATTGAGCACATTTAGCCATGAACCCTTGGTGTACCAATTCAGTGTTATTTGCAGGTATCAACAGAAACTATGAAGTTTCTTGTGATGCAATTATACAACAATATGCCGAAGCTGACCACCGCTGTTCTTCAGTCTCTCGAACTGAACGCCATTGTCGCTATGGCTGCTTCCCTTCTTCCGAGTCCAATCAAAGTTCCATTACTTAACTTAGCCATTAAATGGTACAACTTAGCCCTTGAATGGTGTTTATTTGGAATATCTTCTTTTTTACTTCAAGGCTCAATCTTCGTAAATATAACAGAAACGCTATCAACAGCATTGTTCACGGCATGATAATCAGCGATTTGACATGCGAATCGCTCTACAATATTAAATGCTCTCTTCTTCAATATCTCTTAAATCCACGTCTTTGTCAACGCACAGTATTGTCTCAAACTCAAGACGGACAGGTTTCATTATACATTTCAATGAGGTGAAATCAACAAATCTTCAGATCTCTATCAATTTAGAAGATAGAGCATCGCATGCGCATCGATCAAGCTCGACTAGTTGCCTTGAACCGTCACAGCCACAAGAAATCGATAAACCAAAAAGCCGGAGCCAGAAGCTGACCGGAATGTGAATTTAATATATAAGATAATTTTGGAAATTTGGAATTTCAGTAGAAGAACACAGTCTGAAGTGGACATGGTCAATGCGTTGCCTGATCCATTCGAGTATGTTGAATATCATAGTCATAGTATAGTATATATAGTATATATATATAGTATATATAGTATATAGAGTATATAGAGTATATAGAGTATATAGAGTATATATAGAGTATATATATATAGTATATATAGTCAATGAATATCATTTTCAGCAAAAATTTTTCGATTCCTAATGGAAATCAAATCGTCTATTATCGTCGCGGGACCGATGGTTACCCGAAGTATTTCATTCTTCTAACATGAAACCGACTTGTGGATATTTAGAGTATTCACGAAAAGCGAAGTTGATTTGCTTCAAAATATGGATGATCCGTTTGAAAAGTCATCAAAACCGAAAGTTTCCAAATCAAAGTCGAAATCTTCGACGTCATCGCGAATTCTGGGACGAACGAAAAGCCAAATTGACGACATTCAAAAAATTCCCGATCCATTTCAGTGAGAAGACAATTCGCTTAAAATAACATTTATCTGTTGAAATTCTAGAAATACTCCGCGTCGAACCGAGAGCGAAGAGAACATGATTCGCAATATTCCGAATCCATTTCATCGTCAAAATATTGCGCAACGATCGCTTGCTGAAATCAAAGCAATTAATGCTCTTCCTGATCCATTTACGAAGAAAGTCGGAAGCAATAGCAATTCCAACAATGTAAAAAAGTGTAATCGAAGGATTCTGGGGAGAACTAAAAGCGAAATTGAGGATATTCAGAATCTCTCAGATCCATTTGAGTGAGACTATTTAAAGTAAATCGTTTCATATGCATATTTTCAGAAAATCTGAATATTACCGCGTTCCTTCGACCAACAATCGTGGATGTCTTTCGACGTGCTCGAACAAATCCTTCTTACAAGCACAATCGCCAAAACCGTTATTGAGAATGCCATCCGACTGTAACGGTTCCGTTTTTGTATTTGTACTTCAAACGTCCCCAATTAAAGACCGCCCGGATTTCGTCGTTTCCATGTCGACAGCGGTTTCAAGCCCGCGACCCACTATAAGTCAATCGCGAACGCCATCCGAACTATCCGAGATTCGTAAGATGCCGTCGATCAATTCGACGAGCTCAAAAAGTTCGAAGAGTCGACGTAAATCAAAGTCAAAAAATCTAGGCAAGTGCGATTTTGCGAACAATTCCAGAATATGATCTCAATTTCAGTCCGCTCAACATACTTGTACCCCAATTGATCAACACATTTTTAAATGCATTGAGCTCTTCTAGATATACCGAAAAATCAACGTTTCTCGAAAAATAAACGTTTCCAAAATAAATGAGCCATTTTCGTATTAGTTCAAAATTTTATGTTTAAAATTTTCGGCAATTTCACAATTTTAAAGCGAGGAGATCAATTTAATATCAAATACAATTTGTGAGGCGAAATTATCTCAAAGATACACATAATCATTAATATTCCCGAAATTTACAAGTAATTAGTTCATTGCGAATATGATTCGCTGTCTGTCCATCATTAGAACTCCATTGTTCGTGTATTGGTCGATACATTGCTGAAGAGCATTCTCACTAATTCCTTTTCGCGCACACCGCTGAATCGCAGTTTGCAAAGCAATTGGTTCGTTGTTTCCGTGGTAGATTTCGCGAAGAACAGCAAAAGCAGAATCGACAGGAGACATTCGTCTAAATTGAAAACATCGGTTAAAAGCGATAAGAAGTTAAACGCCATACTTTTCGATACGAGTTTGTTCTGGTCTCAACGAATCTTTGGCGAATTGCATCAGCCGAAGTGCTTCTTCGACGTCACTTTCATTGACTGTGGGCGACAAACGAAGCTTGGCGCGAGCAGTGGCCATTCTTACAATTCCGAGTATCATTCTTGGGGAAACAAATGTCGGGTCCGAGGAATAACGGGCATCGCGTCTCATTTCGACGTATGCGTCAACTATACGCTCACGCAGTGAAGGTTCAACGGATGGCGAATAAGTTTTGCAAAGTTGAATGTACTCTCTAAATTTAACTTGTCAGTAATTGTTGCGGCCAACGGTTGACAAACCTCAATGTTTCAAGAGAAATGATATCCTTCTTTTCGCGATTTGGATGTTTTCCGTGCTGATGAACATAGGTGATATGTTCGGCAAGAGTTTTGTCATTTTCGCGATCAGCCTTATCTTGCATCAGAAGAATCAAATCAAATCTAAAAATTGCAAGAATATTTGCAACAATGCTATATAAAATATATATATATATCTACCTTGAAAGCAGCGCTGCTGGAAGATCGACATTCTGTTCGATGGATCGTTGTGGATTGTAGCGTCCATACGCCGGGTTCGCAGCAGCAATAATTGCAGTACGAGCATTCAAGGTGGTCATAATTCCAGCCTTGGCAATGGAAATCGTCTGCTGTTCCATGACTTCATGAATAGCAGTTCGGTCTCCATCCATCATTTTATCAAACTCGTCGATACAGCAAATTCCTCCATCAGCGAGCACAAGGGCACCTCCTTCCAAAGACATTTCTCCGGTCACAGGATCCTTCATAACAGCAGCGGTAAGACCAACACCAGAAGAACCACGCCCAGTGGTGTACTGAGAGCGTGGAGCAAGGCGATTCACGTATCCCAAAAGCTGCGACTTAGCGACTCCCGGGTCTCCCATCATCAAAACGTTGATGCATCCTCGAATCTTCATTCCATTCGAACTATTGTCATTACCACCGACAAGTGCAAGGAGTAGACACTTCTTGACATCCTCGTGTCCAAAAATTTCGGGGGCGATTGATGAAGCCAAAGCCTCATAATTGTCGCCCTTCTTTTTCAGAATCTCAAGTTCTTCCGATTGAACTCCGGCATACGCAGGATTTTCGTCGAGATTTTGAATGTACTAAAATTAAATTTCATTGAATTTGGTTTTTCTTTGATTAATTTCTTTACGTGAGCTTCAAGATATGTGTCAGCCACTAATCCTCCCGTTGGTTTGAATCCAGATTGCAAAATTGGAAGGAAAATACCAGAAATTTGGACATTGTTTCCGGTGTTGCAACGACGCGTCATTTCGCCATAGACATAAACCGTCATGGTGCGAGGAATTGATCCAACCGGAACTTGTTCGCTCTTTAAAACATATTACAAGTTTTTCTTACAGGAGAAATTCTTACAAGTTCTTGAATTTTGAGTTCTTGAAACTTTACGAACTTCGATCCACGAAGTTGCATGTGAAGACGTCCATGCGCTTTCGACTCAACGCAATCCTTGTTTGGGCAATTCTGTGGTGGTGTGAATTGCATTCCTTTTACTGGTTGATAAGCTTCCGCAGAGCAAGTATCGCAGGTGTAGGTCATAACTTCCACACACGGTTTGACTTCAGTAGCTCTAATCACAACTCCTTTGATGGTCACAAGGTGTCCAATCTCGGTAGCTTTGATGTTGCGAACACAAGTTTGGGTTCCTTCAGCTTCAGAAGTAAAATAAACCTCGCTAAAAATAAATAACGATATTTTTTTCAATTACGATTAGAACATTCTTACAATCTTTGAAGAAGTTGTGGCGGATATTTTTTCCTAATGTCTTCTGTTGAAACTTCTTCCGTGGAACTTTCATGCTTGTCCATGTAGATTCTTTGGAACATGTAAGCATCAAGAGCGTCCATCACATTAGGTTGCTTATCACCTAAATAAGCCAAGCCCATGTCATAGATTGTTTCCTTGAACAAATTGACATATCTGCAAACATTATTTTTTCATTTTAATTTTGAATTCTCTTTAAATGTTACCTTTTGGTATTCCCCAATATAGCATCTGCAAGCTCCGTTGCATCTGGATCATCGTATTCCTTAATATGGTCGATATCAATGACCAAAGCCTTTTGCTCTCGTTGAGCGATTTGCATAACTTGATCACGGTAGAAAAATTTCTTTAAAATACAAATATTAAAAAAAAGACATTGAATTTTAAAACCTTTCCGTTATCCTCATCGACGTAAAATCCATCCAAAAAGTTGCGAATTTTTTGCTTCTCAGCAGCCCAGTCAGTATTGTAAGTTGGGGCCTTCATTGTTAGTCTGAATAAAAATGGCATAAATTTAATAAATCACAAGAAATTAATTGTAAAGAAAGAAACATTTTATTAAATAATTAGAAATAGACAATGGTTGTAAATACACAAGGTCAATGAAACAGGCGTGGTGGCATCTGCTAACAGCGCGCGAAAAAGTAGCGTTTTTGAATTCCTCTAGTCTCCCGCCGTTTCTTTCGTGGCAAGAACCTCATGCATAGAGTCGGCAATGCGCCTTTAATGGGTCCAATGGACTGTGCGATAGCATTAATTTTGAGAGAGAATTCGAGTTATTTTGCGATTTCTGTTTGTTTTTTTATCTTTTATGGACCTATTTCATGCAATAAAAATTTTAAAAATTACACATTTTTCAAATGCACAATTGTGAAAAAAATGCACATTCAAATAATTTTTTTTAGATTTTAACATTTTTTCAGAACCCTGCTTTGGTAAAAATGTGAATTTTTTGTTGCATTTTTATTGTATGAATAAATCCATCATTTGTTAATTATACTGAAGTTATTTCTATGTAGGATTGTTTGCAGCCAAAATAATTATTTATTTTTATTTTTATTACATTTTTTTTCAACAAAAATTTCAATAAAAACTTCTGCAGGCTGAAATGGTTGCTTGGAGAGCTGCTGGACTCAACTACGTTAGATTCTCGCAAATTGCTGCCGAGATCACCCGCAAATGCACCAAAACCGCTGGAAAAGGAGCTGGGCGCAAAGCTGATGCGACAATCAAGGTCATTTTACATTCATAAAATAATGTTTCAAATTTAAATTCTTAATTGAAAGGAAATTTAAAAGAGCAGGATAATATTTTTTAATTATGAATTGTAATGCCGATAAAAACTAGTATTTGATAGACACTTGCTCATTTCTTCAAAAATGTATTTTAAAAATCTTCCCAGCCGTTAAAGTGTTAAAATTTTTAAACTCTGTTTGAGAGAGAGAGAGATTAATTATGATTAGAACATTGGATTTTTATGATTTCGTATTCTTCAGGTATTGTGAAAAAATTTTGTAAACTGCCAAATTTCTCACTAGTTTCCTGAACACTACAAATGTTAAAAATTTCATTTTTTTAAACAGATTCTTTAAACAATTAAGTTTTACTTTTCAGGTCACTGCATGGGAAAATGGAAAGCAGCAAAAGTAGATTCATGAATCAAAGCGTAGTCGTTATGTGGAACATTCCTTCCTATCTTCACTTTATTCCAAATCACCGTTTAAATTCCACGTTTGTTTCTATTGAATAAATGTCGCATTATTTCAATCCTCGTAGTCTATACAATGTTCGCTGGCCTTGTGAATATCTGCAAAACTTCAAATGACCCGTGTACAAAATCCTCCAGATGTACTCACCGAAAAAATTAAAACTTGATAGGCGAATGAACGGGTTTCACAAAAAATCAGACGAAAATGACGTGAACGGTATATACCCTCCTACAGCACTCGCGCGTGATGGAGTCAGTCCGTATTTCATCGGAAAACCGAAAAGAAAAAAGAATGAAGGTTTTAAGAGTCCTACTGTTTGAAATAAGCGCAAACACTTTTTTAAAGCAGGTTCAAATGGGCCTCCTCCTCCATTTAAACTTGTGGATTGTGAGAAAGAAGAGGAGATTGTGATCGAGGAAGACGATACAAATGATTGCCATTTTGAAAAACAAAAATCAATCAAATCTTTTCTAATAGGAAGTGAGCCGAATAAAAAAAGGTTTGCTTCATTCCAATTATTAGTCTCCATAAAATTGGCCAAAAAAATCAAGGGGTTTTTTTTTGGGCTTACTGATTAAGTTTTGCTCAAAAATCTCTTCCACAATCTATTGGCATTTTGCTTATTTTCCACAGTCGCTCGACGTTCCGGATTTGTTCTAAACGTTTTTGGAAAACACTTCGAAAAACGATACAAATGAACCAATAACAACTATGTGCTAATTAAGCTCTCCTGAAAGGAAGTTCGTTCTCGGCAACAAAATAATTCCTAAAATATTCGAAACCAGCGTCGGAGATGAAGAAATATCCGTGTCGAAGCCATCAAAATCATCAAAGTCTTTCGATTTCGCCGGAGATCCCAAAGTGAATCGAATTCGGGACAAGATTTGTGAAATTATTGATCCGGTATGATTTTCAATTTGTTTTTAGCTTTTACATTTTATCTGATAATCAGACGGGCGAGAAAAGGAACAATCCTGAATTTATGGAGCGAATGAGAGAAAAAGCTTGCGAAAGTATAGAAAAAGCAACAGAGCCAAAAAGGAATCGAAAGTAATTAATTTAGACAATAAAATTAGAATAATCCAAAAAAATTATAGAAACAACAAGAATAACTTCACTGCAAGCGCCTTAAATAATATATACCCAGCGTTTACGACGGCCAGTGGGCAAGATGTTCACAAATCAAAATTTCTCAATCCCGTTGTAGATTCAGCGGTATTTCATGTCCATACTGTTCAACTTCTAAAAAAACAATTCAGAAATTGTCTCGTTCTAATCTTGTTGGATGTTCGAGAGAATCGAGCACAAGTAGCATACCAGGTTTACACAGAAACTGCTCGGCACCTGAAACTGTTCGGAAGCCAAATTTGAATGGAGGTCCACCGTTTCTGAAAAAAGCAATGGGAATGGAAAATGCCGGTGGAGGAAAAGGTTGCTTTTTTTAATTTATGCATTTTCTAATAATGTTTTATTTTAGATGAAGTTGTTGGGGGTCTTCGAGCGGAGCCAACTCTAAAAAATTTTGATGAAAATATTGTGACGTTGATTGAATCTGAAGTATTAAATGATATATAACATTATGTTCATAATTAATTCTTTTAGATTATGTCTGTAAATACTGAAATTAATTGGTCCGATGTCGCAGGTCTTGAAGGAGCAAAGAAAGCTTTACGTGAGATTGTCGTCTTACCGTTCAAGAGACCGTAAGTTTTTGTTTAATCTAAAATGATTTTTACTAGTCTTAAATTTTTCTATAATTTATTTTTTCAGCGATGTTTTCACTGGAATTCGTGCTCCTCCAAAAGGTGTTCTTCTATTCGGACCTCCTGGAACCGGAAAAACAATGATCGGACGTTGTGTTGCGTCCCAGTGTTCTGCAACATTTTTCAATATTTCGGCCAGTTCTCTAACTTCGAAGTAAGTTTTTATGAAAGGACCTGAAATTTCATCTGCCAATTTCAGATGGGTCGGCGAAGGTGAGAAGCTTGTTCGTGCTCTGTTCGCCGTTGCCCGCGTGAAGCTGCCAAGTGTGATTTTCATTGACGAAATCGATTCATTACTGTCTGCCAGGTCCGAATCGGAACATGAGTCATCTAGACGTATCAAAACTGAATTCCTTGTACAACTTGATGGTGTTGCAACAGCATCTGATGAGCGTTTATTAGTATTAGGAGCAACTAACAGGTTTTGAAAAGGAATCTTTATTTAGTTCAAAATATACAATTATTTGTTTAGACCGCAAGAGCTCGATGAAGCGGCTCGTAGAAGATTTGCGAAACGATTATATATCTCATTACCCGAATCGCAGTCGCGAACGCAGATTGTTAAGAATTTGCTGCGGGGAACGAAACATAGTATTAACGAACATGAACTGACGAAGATATCAGAAATCACCGAGGGTTCGTTTAATTTAAACAAAAATAATTATCTGAGTACTTTCTCCTTTGATTCTCCTACCAAAGTGAAACTATTTCAGCTTACAAAAAAAATATAAATCGAAAAAAAAAACAATTTCAGGGTATTCCGGAGCTGACATGCGACAACTTTGCACAGAAGCCGCGATGGGACCCATTCGTGATATTTGCGAGGAAATCGAGACCATTGATAAAGATGACGTACATTTGTTTTTGTTTCTTCGGATAGTTGCAAGCTCAATGATATTTAGATTCGCGCTGTGAACCTTCAGGACTTTATAGATGCAGCGATGGTTGTGCGGCCAACTGTTGATGAACTACAACTGGATGCTTACCAAAAATGGGACCAAAAATTTGGATGTCTTTTACACAAATCTTGACTTCTAGAACATTCGTTTCTGTGAAATAACTGCCTGTATTATATTTCGTCGTATTTTCTTATCACGCTTATTACGGATCTTCTACAAATGATTCTCATTCAATTTTCACGACTGGGTTATAAATTTTGAACTTTAAAAATGTATACTTCATGTTCTCGAGTCATGGGTTTATAATCGATGAATACCTCGTGGCCTGGAATTTTCTAGGCCTTCTTCATTTGCCTCGCTTCTCAGTTCATTGTGTCGAAGAAACGGCGATGAGAAGAGAGTTTCGGTGAATGAAACATTTCTTTTTACCGGAATTTCAGCGAGTCACACGTTTCTCCGCCGTTTTTACGACAATTATCTTAGTTCTCTGTTACGAAATAATTATTGTTCATTAATATATCATTTTTTTCTAATATTTTCTAACTATAGCTATGCCTAAAGAAATCAAAACTGGAAACGAGCTGGCCGAGTTTCTCAAGGATCCGAAACCAGCCGTGATTCATTTCCATGCTTCATGGGCCCCGTCATGCACTCAAGTCAACCAATTTCTTGATGTAAGTTTTTTGAAAACATGACAAAACTTGACAATAAATTATTTCAGGATTACATTGAAGACACGAATTTAGAGATAAGAACGGCGTACCTCGAAGCTGAATCCCTTCCTGGTGTTGCGCTCAATTACAATGTCACAGCTGCTCCAACTCTTATTTTCTTCCATGTATCATATAGTCGATGACGAACGAATTTGGGAGTGCGATTGCTATGTTGTTTGAATTGCCGCCGTGGGTCTCATATGGAAAAAACTTTTCAGAGCGATTTTTATGTTTTCTAACTATCATATTATGAAAAAGCATAATTTAAAAAAAATATATATATATATTAAGTAATTTGGTTATAAGCACAAGTGCGGAATTTCGGATTATGTGACGATTTTGTTTTGCGGGACCAATTAAATGGCAGCCCGCGCAATTCAAATATCTCAAATTCGTTTGTCCACGACAGTAATTATAATTTGTACCCCAGTGGTATTAATTTCAGAATGGAAAAGAAATTGAGCGAGTTAATGGATTCATCCCAGCCGAAATCAAAGAGAAATTGGTGAGCACCTCGACGTATGCGTCGTCATCGCAAGGAGGCGCTACTCTGACGGACCAACAAAAGAAAGACTTATTGAATGAGCGGTTGAAGAAGCTTATCAACAAGAATCGAGTGATGCTGTTTATGAAAGGAAGCCCGGAGGCACCTCGTTGCGGTTTTTCTAGAAAAACTGTTGAACTGCTAAACTCGAAAAATATCGAATATGGAAGTTTCGATATCCTATCGGATGAGGACGTTAGACAAGGATTGAAGGAATTTTCGAATTGGCCAACGTATCCGCAGCTTTATTTTGATGGCGAGCTTGTTGGGGGACTTGACGTCATTAAAGAAGAGTTTGAGAATGACAGCTTCGTAGAAAAATTGCCGAAAGTTTCGAAGACGGTAATGGTTTTGATGTAAAATATTTATGCAACTTAAATGATTGCAGAACCTTGAAGACCGTCTTCGACAATTGACCAGAAAGTCAAGACTCATGCTCTTTATGAAAGGGACCCGTGAAAGTCCACGTTGTGGTTTCTCGCGTCAAATTGTTGAGCTTCTTAATAATGCTAAGGCTGATTATGAAACATTTGATATTCTCTCAGATGAAGAAGTTCGACAAGGATTGAAGGTGAGAGTATCGTTTTTATTTTAAAAAAAACAGTGAATATGAGTTTCCCAAATACTATTATTAACTTTTGAAATTGAAGAAATGAAACATTCTTTATAACTGATTTTTTAGGATCTCTTCAACTGGCCAACGTATCCACAACTGTATTTAGACGGTGAGCTTGTTGGAGGATTGGATGTTGTAAAGGAAGAACTACTTGACACGCATTTCTTGCGTCAGATTCCAAGAGTCGGAAGAGATTAAAAAATTTTATTACTGTTGAATTTTTCATAAAAAAATGCTTAGTATTTGTACAATATTTTACAAAAATCATTCATGTTCGAATTTAAATTCAATCGATTAGAAGAACCCGCTCCTCTTTCATATACTCGAATTCCAACTGAATGACACCCGCATCCATTGTGACGTTTGGAAACTGAATAATATGTTTAACAAAGAAATTTAAAGATAAAAAAAATAAACCCTTCCAGAAGTGATATATTTATCAGGTATTGTGAATTTGACTTTACGATGTGTAGGCTGAAAATTTCATTTCCAAGCATTATGCTTGCATTTTGTAATTACCAAAATTTCATCGTTGCAGTCGTGATAAATTTTGAAAACTGGATCAATGGGGGTTGTTTCGGTGGTCCATCCTGTTAAGAAGAACGATCCATTCATCGCTGAATAGCCTTGATCAAGAAGGTCGTCTGGATCGGGACCTGAAATTAAGGAAAAAAAATAAACTGAGGTGTCGAATAGAATGCCTGAATCCTCATCCCAGAGTTTGACGCGAACATTCGCTGCTGGCTGATCGCCGCACATTAGGATGCCCTTGACGGCGTCTGATTGGTCGCGGAATGTGGCGACTCGCGGTACAATCAACAGAAGCGCGATAAGAACACCGGCAACACTGAGCATGACTACAACAGAGACTGTAGCAAGAGTGCACCCGTTGCAACACATAAATACGGGTCGACTGAGCGGCGCGCGATGTCAATTATCGAAAAATACGCCTATGATCTCATCGCGATCGCACGTAATCCGTTTCGTTTGCTGGTACAGGATTACGATTCGTAATTGCATTACGTGACTCATTTTTTTCGAGTTGTTTTCCAGGTCTCATGCCGAATATTTCATAATAATAATGATTCACTCTATTCTGTTTTTTAATATCCTTCAATAGAATATAACGGTATATCGATATTTCGCGGTTTTTCGCTTAGGCATAATTTGTTTTTTACAGGAAACAAGATTTAAAAATATATTTCTGTTGTTGCAAAATGTGAAAGTGACTCCTATTTTAAATTGATCTTTTCAGACCCAATTTGTTTTCATTACAATGCTCATATTCACCATGGCAAACCATTTCAACATTAAACGTATCTCCTTATTTATAAAAATTTCAAAATAATTCTCGATAAACTTCGATGTAAAAATAAAATTTAACAAAATAAAAATAATCTAGTGAACAATACAATTGTATTTTGGTGGGCACCCTCAAAAACATATCCCCGAAACCGGAATTTATTTTAATCGACCTCTGCTGAAAACGATTTGAATGAATATTGCCAAATTCGTATGCAATAATTGAACAAAAACAACACTTTTTTGAGGATGTGAGAATATTTTGAATTCAAAAAGAAATGAAAATTAAATGAGATCCTTCTCATTTCTAGTTTTTTCGATTCTCTCAAATGGTTGTCTTCGAATGTATCTCGTTCATCATATGCTCGTTTCTTTTTATTATTTTATCGTCGATAATTTCAGTTATTGAAATGATCATGTAGTTTAATGAACCCAAAAATGGCGTCTATGCACATTTTTTTAGGCTCCAATTCCGGCGGTTATGGGCGTTGCGCGAAATCGAAGAATTTGAGAGGATGATGCAGCATGTGGCAGGTGCTGATTGTATTCAATAAACCATTTGTGAGCATTATTTCAGGAGGAAATTTCGTCGGTGTTCCTCTATCTCCAAATGAGCAAGTTCTACGAGCAATTTGCTACTGGTTTGACGGTCTCAATTATATTTTTGCTTAATCTTAATTTCAGCGATAAAGCGTTGTATGCACACCATCGCCTTCGTCGTGTCGATCCTCTCATGCCGATTCGGTTCGCCACTGGCGCAGATTGCTCAAACTTATCAAATTCCTCCGACATATCTAATAATGAGTATCTTCCAATTAAATCGTTAGATGTTTAATTTAAATTCAATGAAGATAATTTTTTTATATTAAGAAATGATTTAAATTTATCGAAATTAAAAACAAATTGAAAGGCCTTGTTGGGTGAACGTTTGAGTTAGATGCTCAACTAACTTTTCAGCAAATGCGTCACACTATTCAAGTAAACGTTTACTGTAGCCGGCCTGGGAAAACAATAGAGTTTGGTGAGTGAATCTGCAAGAATACAACTTTAACCGAGGTCTCGCGACCTTCATTTTTATGAAAATTCATTCAACACATATTTAGAAAAGATCTATCACAGCTAAAAGAAAATGAGGTATCTAAAATAGCATTTCCGAGATCTTCACCATTGTGTTCAAAATGTTGCCCTAATATTTCATATTGCTCATTTTGTTCGTCTTCTCACAACTTGTCCAGTAGTTTTTTCTCTACTTTTTCATTTTTTTCGATGGTGTTTATTTTTCGCGCTCCAAATCCCTAGGATTATATATTCCGGCAAGTTTTCATTTCACGCGTTTTTGGATTCACGACATCAACTCAAATTCGTTTTTTTTATTTCTCGCCATCTTCGAACATCTCAATCTTCAAAGCGAAGTGTGCTTATGTCGTCGATTAGAATCTTCATCACCAAAACGACCGGAAAAACCCAAAGTTCGATTTTTTTAAATAATGATATGGAGCACAGAATAGATTTTTTGCATCAAAACCAAGAAAAAAAAAAGATTTTACGTCTTGAGTTCTTTCGAATGAATGGCCGCTGACCTTGCAAACAGTGTACTCAATCATTCGCCCCGCTTTACGTATTCATTAGTGTTTAAAACGATTTTCAAATTGACACATTTCTATTAAAAAATGCATTCGAAATGAGTGGTTCCAATTGCGCGGAAGCTAATTGAGAAATCGTTCGTTTCCCACTGTAATTCGTTGCTCATTCATAACGTTCGTCGATGTGTTATTAATTATTGCAGAAAACTGAAATCAATCTTTCGTCTATCCGGTGTTGTCTCAAAAAAAAAGCGAACACATTTTTTTCTGTTTTCTTGTTGTGAATTTTTGAAAGATTCACTGGTTTTTTTTTTGAGAATGCATAGGATTCCTCTTTCATGTAATTTTTGTTTTTGTCTCATTTATTTTAGATTATTCCGCCCCATTTAAAAATCTGCGAAACATTTATTGGAATAGTTGGGTTCCAATTTTCCGTCGTCAGAATTTCACGAAATATAAGAATGTAAAAAAAAAATAACTTTATTAAATTTCTAATGGTCATTTAAAAAATTAAATATGGAATGCAGGAATATTTGAAATTGCCTCCATATTTGTAATTATTTGATTTCAAAATGTCATAATTCTAAAAATAAAGTTAAAATAAATGTTTAGCATTGAAATTTTTTAATAATGTATTTGATTCTAGTTTCTCCGTTTTTTTTTTCGTAAAAATTGCATTTCATCTCATCAGAGCACTCTAAATCATATCAGTTTACGTCCCAAAAGAAAACAGTGTAATTCTCGATGTCAACTTCCTGGTTTTTTTTTCAAATAAAGGATCCAACAGAGTTTGATAATATGTGGAAAGCAAGAAGATTTACGAAATCCTCAGAATTTCTCATTCCATTAAAATTTGGTAGACAACAACGCGATATGTGAAAAGTGTTGGTTTTTGAGCCCCAACCCAACTCAATTTTTAATTTTGCTAATTGAAAAAACCCGCGAGAAATTCGTTTTCGTTACAAATTTCAACCAGCTTCGTGTGAAACACCATGAACTCCACTGAGATATCGACATGTAATCGAATTCAATCGACCAGCACAACGTTCCAAAATTTCGCTCATTCACGCGTAAATCCGGACCTGAACTCAATTTTTTTTCTCATTTTAGGGTCTGCAAATGGTGCATTCAAAACGACTTTTGCGTGCAAGTTGAGTTCACACGAATCCAACAAGTCTCCGCCCATTCTTGTTGGCATTTGAGGTGGCTCGACGGACCCGTCTGCCCCACCTACTCTTTCATTCTATTGTTAACTGCTCGCTCGTTTGGTACACTTGCTTCTCGAGTTCTTATTTATCATAAGTGGTCCCATTGAAGTAAATCATTTCATTGTGTCATGGGCTTTTCAAAAAAAAAAAAAACTTCTGCACCTTATGACATGCTGAGTCTATGAAGTATCCGTTATAACTTTGTTCAGATATCAATTTCCACACTCTGTTCCGGTTTCCCATTTATTTTCTTGTTAACTATACTCATCATTTATGATCGATTGCTGTTCTTACAAGGAAACTTTCAAAAAATCTTGTACACAGTTATTCTCTAGAAACTTCTCAGGCAATGAATTTATGGCGTTTTAATATTAACAAAAAATTTGTAAAACCATTGTGAATTGCAGATTACTATAAGTTATTAAGCTTTTTGATATTTTGAAAAACTTATTGAGACACAGTTATTTTAAATTATAACATTTTAAAATTTTGAATTTGCCTAACACACATTCCCATATGAAGTTAAAAATTAAAATTTCCTTGACTAATATCGAATCGAAAGTTGCATAGTTTCTTCGTTTTCGCGGCGAGACACCGACACAAATTGCTGCCAAAATTGCAAGCAACAATTTTGATGAATTCTTCTCGTTTTTTTTGCTTTCAAAATGCAATTGGTCCTTCTTTACCTTAGAAAGGTCAAAAAAGAAATGTACATGGATAATAACTAGTTTTTTAGCTGGTTTACTTCAAAGAATCTTTACAGGATCATTTGAAGGAATAAAAAATTATAGGCAATCGACATAAACTAGTTGCAGCACTAATATTGCTTATAACCATTCTTTTCAGTATAATTTATTTACTTACTTGTAACAAAAATTTGAAGCTGGTAGAAGAAAATATTTAAATGCGCGGGTTCCGTTTTCCTTCCAATTCCATCTGCCTACATATTGACGCAATTTTGCACACATTTCATTTAACAAATATCAATTGTAAAAAATATATTTTTCTTTTTTTTCTAGAGGAAAAATTCAAAAAATTCTAGCAAAACTGAAAATTTGAAACAAAAATTGAGGCTTAAATTTTCATTAACTTTTATTTTAAATTTTTAAAGCTTCATTATTTATTGAAAATATTTGTATAATTTATTAAAATCTTCATTTTTTTGCAGGCACCCCACCGCCCACCCATCATTCCACGTTCTTATGGGCATTTGACTACGGTCCATTGAACCAAATATAATCGGCACTCTTCACCAACACACCTAGGCATAGAAAGAGCATCTCCTCCTCTTGTTACTATTTTTATTTTTATTATTACTATTATTGTTCAACTTTTTCAGTCACTAAACTAGGTAAGCAGGCGAAAGAAAGAGGAACGACTTTGTGATGAATTATTTATTTTAGAAGGTGTCAAGTCAACACAACAATGTCGATTGCTTTCATTTGGTTGCTTGCAGGTAATTTCGTTAATTGTGAAAAACTTGCCAAACATTGATCATCTACTTTTCTTCCTTATTTCACCGCTTTTTTTTCTTCCGGAAATTAGTTTTTTTTTGTTGAGAAGGCGTAGTTCGTAGAGTTCCCGACCTCACTTAAACGAGTTTGTTGATGGCTGCTCTTTTTTTTTTCATTTTCGGGTCTCTCTTTGTTCCGCATTTGCAAAGTAATTACGAGAAGATACAAACGGGAAGAAATGACCGATGGCGTCTATGATCATGAGCATCGAAATGGGTGCTAATCATCGTCGAAACAACACGAGCAGTTGAGATACCAAATAAGGATGTCGTTTGGAGCTCCGGCAAAGGAAAAGCAAGTGGCGATGTTTGAGACAAAGGAATTCGTATTACATAGGTTTTGCCACGATTTATAGAGTTTCTGCAGTGAAAATGCCAATATTCATCACGAGATAATTTTTTAAAGCATGAAAAATTGAAAAATGGCATAGTACGCGACTCCAATTAGATTTGAGACTTCAAAAGTTGAACTAATTACAAAAAGAATATTTTTGAAAGAACTACTACATTGCTCAAAGAAAAGTAGTTTTCCAATAACAACAATATGGAGGACTATCTTTTTTGAATGGTTCCATTTTTCTTCTTTAAAATTTCATTATATTGAATTTCCAAAAATTGCCGGATTTGGCTGAATAATGCTCACAAACTATTGGGTTTTGAACTTTCACACCTCCAAAATTTGTTCGTAATCGTCGACCATTTTGTTGCTTCAAAAATTTCGCCACAATTATGTGAGGAGCATTCAAGCATTAAATACGTCATTGAAACGTTTGTTGTCAGAACACACAAAAAATTGCGCGTGTTTTCTTCTCATTTTGCCGTTTGCTCAACTTTGGTCATATTACCGCCAATGTGAGACAAATTAATGAAAATTTAGTTAAGAGCTTGCACTCGTTTTTTTTTTATGGCCGACGCCGAAACATTTTCTGTTCAAATCGAAAAAAAACGACACCAATCAGGTTGACGAGGGCTATTCGTTTGGAACAATTCAAGAGTTTTATGAGTGCTGTCGAGACTGATTAGTCTACCGAATAAGGCAACAAAATTGGAGGCGAAAAAATCGAACAAAATTCAATGAGATGGATATTGGCGGCATTAAACGACCTATCACTGGCGGGAATTTCAAAATCAGTGTAGATCGACGAAATTGGGAATTTACGAGCGGAGCTTATCTGCGCGTACGCTAAAATGCAGAGTACGCAAACACGCGCTCACCTCTTTGCCTCTCAATTGCCAATATTTTTAAAAATTTCGTTCAGTCGTTTGAGGCGGACAATATTTAAATCTGAAAAATGAACTTTACCCGTGACAAAATTACATTTGAATTGCCGGCTAATTAATTAAAATTAAACAAACTTACCGTACAAATTAAAATACAAATTTACCTATTCATGTAATAAAAAATGAAAAATTTCTAATTTCATCAAAAAAACTTTTTTCCGATGCAGGGTTATAATAAAAAAACAAATTTTATGAATTGGTTTATAATAATAATAGAAAGATTCAAAATATAGGTAATATTTATTACCACCTCTCATAAATGTTCTCCTTGGCTTCATGATCGACCGGAACAAAAAAGCCGTTGATTCCAGGATTTCCGTTATATGTGTGCGATGTTGTTCCAACTCAAATAAAATTAGTGCATGATCTACTTGACAATTACGATCGAAAGGCGAAGCCGGTTTGGGACAATTCAAAACCAATCAATGTCTCATTTTCAATGGATCTTTATCAAATTCTCGAACTTGTGGGCTCAACCTTGGATGCTATCATGCTTATCTCATATTTATTCAGAATGAACCTCAACAGTATATTCTATTGAATGCATGGATTATTGAGAGATGGTACGACGAATTCCTATTTTGGAATCCTGCTGATTACGAGAATATCACTGAACTGCGTTTTCCTTATGATGAGATTTGGCTGCCCGATACCACTCTTTACAACTCGTACGTAACTTCGTGTTATTGGTGGTTTCTTTTCACATTTTGTGGTCCAGGCTTGTTATGAAAGACGACGACACTCGACGCCTATTGAATTCGAAATTGAGCACGGACACCGAACGACGGGCGGCACTCATCGAGCTTCTTTACCCGACTATTTATAAATTCTCGTGTCTTCTCGACCTTCGGTTTTTCCCGTTTGACATGCAGGTAAATCAGAAGAAACTATGGGAAATAAAGTATCAATAGACATGCACAATGACAGTCTCGTCGTGGACTTATGATCAGAAAGGAATCGACTATTTCCCATATGCGGATCATATCGGAACATCGAATTACCTTGAAAACGAAGGCTGGTACATTTTGAAAACAAAAAGTTGGTTTGGGCTTCTATTATTTCAATTGAATTATGAATACAGTAAATCGCAACGAAGTGAAATATGCGTGTTGTCCGAACAAGTACACGTTACTGCAGCTAACCTTGTACCTCAGAAGGAAACCACTATTCTATTTAGTCAATCTGATCATTCCGACCTCAATTATCACTCTAATCGCAATCGTCGGATTCTTCACGTAAGTCGCTTCACTGATTTGAGTTACTTGAACAATTCTGAAGGACTTCCTCCGCATCGGGAATGAGAGAAGAAAAGGTCTCATTGGGTATCACCACCCTTCTCTCAATGTCCATCTTGATGTTAATGGTGTCGGATCAAATGCCAACTACGTCCACATTCATCCCATTGATCGGATGGTTCATTCTCGCCATGATTATTGTGATCTCATTGGGTACAGTGGTTTCATCTGTGATTATTGCCGTCCAGAAACGCGGAAGTTTGGGCGAACGCATGTCGAAGAGAGCTTTGAGGTTTTCTAGCAATAAATGAATGCACCTGAATAAAACAAGCGATTTTCAAGGTTCGCGAGGTTGTTCGCATGCCTCACTTGTACCGCTCTACCTCCGCATATTGAGAAGGAACATGCGATGGTAGATCAGAACGTCAAGAATATCATAAATGCAATGCGTGTTTCAGGAGGCATTCGACGCTCCAACACCGACTGTCGATGTTCGACCATTGCAAGTGGGAACTACGAAGGAGTCGGTACGGGCACGATGGATATCTGTAGCTCGACGAGCTACTCAAAAATCGCATAGCGGACTAGCTCTGATTTCCGACAAGAGCACAGATCCTCTGATTCATTTGTCGCCGTCTGCTACTGCTCAAGACGAGGTGTTCGCCGCGTCAGCTCCGACACCCTCGCCACTACCGCCACCAACACCGGGACCAACTGACGATTTGGTGTCGGTAGCATCAGATTTGTCGTCCAAGTTCTTAACGAGCAGGATTAGATCGTCGAAGAAAGATAACACATTTGCAGCAATGCAAAGTGAGTATTTTCGAGAAAAAAAGAATAAAATGCGAGCAAAAATATTCTAAAAATTTATTAGAAAAAAGAAGCATGTTTGCTCTCAACCACATTTTCCTTTCATAAAAATAAATAATTAAGGATTTATGTCGGAATCTACAAAGGATACAGGTAGGCTATAATCATATGAATTGTCCCCTAATGTGCGGTCAGACCACGTTCTTTCCCATTTTCAGATTCTATAATCTATCAATCAGTTTCGAGTATTTCATCAAGTTTGTGTCGTTCCTACTGATTTTTGATTCCTTCCCTTCCTTCATTTTTCCTTAACATTTCGAATTGTACGTTTCGCGAATGAGGTGCAGTGCATTGAAATGCATATGAATCTTAAATTATTGTCGTGAAACGTACAATTGAGAGGAAACCTTAAAATGTCAAAAAAAAAACGACTAATCAAACATTTCGTTGTTTTCTAGCCCCGATTTTCTATTCATTTCTAAGTCTGTCTCATTTCAAATAAATCAGTTTTGAGCATTTTCAGGATCAATCAAAGCTAATCGACAGCTCGCCGTGGCCGAATACGAATGGCTCGCCACTGTCATGGAGCGCACTTGCTTCGTGGCATTCGTCGTCGCGTTCTTCATCATCACCGTCGGCATCAATCTGATCGGCTTCATCCATTGGAAACAAGCCGAGTACGATGTGATGACAAACTAAATCAGCTTCTAGTAATCCCGTCTGCTACACTTTCCCCCCATGCGGTTTCTTCTGTTGTCTGTATCATATGTATTCGCTTCGAATCTCTGTGCTTATTCTTTTTCCAATATGATTTCCGGTGGTGCTCCCACGAAAATGAACTTTCTCTTTTTCAATTCTTAAAAATTATTTTTAACGGTGTTTTTATTTCACCATAATTACTTTGTTTTTTTTTGTTCATTAATTAGTTTTCTAATATGGATTTCAGAAGCACATGAGACGCTGTATTTTAGTGGCCCTTTTGTTCAACACAACGTTTGCCATCCAGATTCGGAATGCCACTGATCGATCCGCTTCCATTCTCGGTAATCATAATAAAGGCGTCAATCAAATTTTAAAATTTGTTTTTAGATCCAAAAATGATCAATTCGACGGCAGAGCGTGACATTGCAATGCAGAATGTCCCATTGATACGGCTTACTAGACATTTGTTGAATCCTGAGAGGTGAAAAATTGAAATTAGTTCCCTACAATTTCCAATAATATTTTCAGATATGACACTCGAGTCCGTCCGATTACAGACCATAGGAAGTCGCTGAAGGTTCATATCAGCATCTCGCTGTACCAAATCATCGAAGTTGACGAACCATCACAGAATATCATGCTGAATGTGTGGATGATCCAGCGATGGAGAGACGAGTACCTCGATTGGGATCCGCGCGAATATGGCATGATCAACGCCACAATCCTCCCATTTGATCAATTGTGGATACCAGACACTTATCTATATAATAGTGTGAAAATGAGTAGGGATGAGACTGAGAGATACATGAATATACAGGTGGGTTCTCATAATATATGCAAACGTTTTCTAGCGCAAAAGATGAAATAGGAATATCAAAAAGAAAATATGTCACTCATTTGGTGATAATGTATGTATGGAGTTGGTTTGGTTCTAGGTGACTTCAAACTTCTGGAAAGGCGAAAAAGGGGCTGAACTCAATTTTTTGTATCCGGCAATTTACACAATCACGTGCCGACTGAACGTTAGGTATTCGAGCAAACACAATGTATTTGTTCGTTTTATAAAAATGAGACTTTTAGATTTTTTCCATATGATCGACAGAATTGCACTCTTACGATTTCAAGTTGGACAAACTCGAAGTCGGCTTTGGATTACTACGCTGATCCAGAAGTCAGCATGCAATCATTCATTCCAAATGAAGAATGGCAGGTCAAATCATTCAAAATTCATAGACACGAGGTATTGAGCCAAATATGCAAATAACAAGCGGCTTGTTTCGTTAAGTATAAGTACGCATGTTGTCCCGAACCGTGGGTTATTCTTCAAGCATCTTTGGTCATCCAGCGAAAACCGCTTTATTATCTTGTCAATCTTATTATACCAACATCAATTATCACAATTGTCGCGATCACCGGATTCTTTACGCCAGCTTCCACGGATGACGATAGAACGGAGAAAATTAATTTGGGTAACTATTATAATAATTTATTTTACTTAACGAATCTCCCTATATAGGTATTACTACTTTATTGGCAATGTCGATTTTGATGCTGATGGTTTCTGACCAAATGCCGACGACTAGCGAATTCGTTCCTCTCATTGCTTGGTTCTACCTTTCAATTATCATAATTGTCTCGATTGGAACATTCCTCACTAGCGTCGTTTTGTCAGTACAAGGTCGTCGGCAGTACGAAAAGAATCCGCCATTTATTATTCGATACATTTTCTTCGTCATTCTACCGCATATTCTACTTCTCAGTGTGCCGCCTGCACTTCAAACCCTTTGGGGCGAACTTGACGATGACCCGATGAATGTCCGCAGAAGGAAGAAGTCAATGTATAGAGCGGCGAATATTGGCTCGACGAGAACATGCCCATCGCCAATGTAGAAATGATTAGAATTTGCAAAAAACTAAATGAAGACGATGTGTTTTAGGACAACTCTACGGGTTCCACAATCAGCTGGAAGCGAAAAGCGTCAGTCATTCCAAATGATTGATGTGACTTCTCCGAACTCGCCAAATACTTCGAGATCGCGTGCTCCGTCGCTTTCTCAATCGCAAAAAATGCCAAATCTTTGGGATGGAACAATGTCGGCATTGGCAGGTGCACACAAATTGAGAAAGAAAAAAAATGAAATTGTCACACATTCAAACTCGTTTTGTTCATTTCAGGGAATAATGCCCAACTTCGCCGAACGTCGAATGTGTTCAGCAAAGAAGTCGACGAGATGCGTCGCAAACGCCAATGCTCATTGGAATGGGAATTTCTGGCGACCGTTATCGACAGATTCCTCCTTATCATTTTCGTTTCCGCTGTGATTATTGTCACTGCCGGATTAATTCTTGTCGGCAGAATGGCCCAATACAGCTACGATCATCCAGATGATCAATTCTTTGCCGTTTAATCAAGTCTTTTTTTGTTCGTTTTTCACCGCTGCTTTTAGTGTCTGTTTGACATCGTCAAATACTAGCCGAATCATTTTCTTTTCATTTTCTCCGCGTTATGTACTGGTAATAATGCTTTTCGTTTCGGTGTAGCTTATAAATTCTCTATAACAATTCATTAATGGCAATATTGATTTCATTATTTACATAAATTCTTATTCAATTACTAATCTTGAGCTTTCAATTTTGTCGGCGGCTGAAGGAAAGCAAAACAAGCTATCTGAAAAAAACGTTTTTTAAAGACAAAAATATTCAAATTACTCACGCCGTCTTTGAATCCATCGCAGTACTTCTGTGAAGCGACGACAAACGAAAATTCGCAAGGCGAGCAGATCACATTGAAATGACCTTTGAACTCCTTGTTTGCCGCTTTCTGAATGTTCTTCTTCGACGTTTTCGCATCTTTGCTAATATTCTGAAAATGGAATGCAATAAGCTTGAGTGAGAAAAAATAACATGTGGGCCAACATTTTTGATGAGTTTCCTCAATTTTTCGTCGTTGCAGTTGTTTTCCGCTGTCGCCCCGCGTTTTACTCTCCGATGCAGGTCGAGTGATGAGTCCACCTAAACAACGAACATGTGAATTTGCAATGACCGCGGTTGGCCTTCGCGGGTCCTGTGGTGTAGTGGTTATCACGTCTGCTTCACACGCAGAAGGTCGCCGGTTCGAACCCCGCCAGGACCTACCTTTTTCAAGACGGTGGTCATTTCAATTTTCATCAATTTCAACATCCCCTATATGGCAATTCAATAAATTTTTAGTGATATTTAATTTTTACCTCAAGCTCAGAAATCATTGAATTGATGCGGTTGAAAGTGTTCAAATCAATTTCAATCATTTGCTTTCGCTTCGGACTCAAACGAATGTTAGTAGAGCTGAAACACGAGATTCTGAAATTTCAATAAGCGCACAATTACTTTGAAAATTGCTGAATTTCTCGTTGCAAAGCAGTCATCTCATTATCATCAATTGGCAATAAAACATCAGAATCCTTTTGATATAATAAATTGAATGGACTGTCAGTGTCGATCTCTAATTGCGAAATCTCAAACAGTCTCTCCAACGCTGGAATAAATTCAATTCAAAAAATAATGGTTGATCGCATAACAAACCAGAGCATTTTTCCAATCCTGAGCCAAGTACGAAATCATCACAAGGGGTTCGAGGATTCATACAATCTCTACCCACAATGGGACAAACTTCTGTGACACATCCACAACAACAAAGCTCTGTTCGAACCGGAGCAGAAGCGAAAATCCGCACCAATTCCAAAAGCACGATTAAAAGCATATTCATGATAACCGAATAGGGTCAAAAGCTTTGATAATCTATGCATTTTATACACTCCAACAACTAGTAAATTGACCCACATTTCAACAATCCAATCATAATAATAATAAAAAACCGCTTGAAAGCAAAAACTGCCTTCGATAAAAACTGGTTTTTTTTTATCAGACGAATGCGTCAAGGTCGAGAAAACCTTTGAGAAATGTATGGAACATTGTGGCAGTGCAAAATGCTGATTTCAATTTTAGGCCGATTTCTTTTTCTCTTTCTTACAAATGCCAATTGCCAAGAATTTATCCCGATCGGAAAAGATGGTCCAGCAACAGCCACGGTGAGTGTCTCGTAGTGAGATTTTGAATAAAAAAAAACAATAAAATTTCTCGCTTCCATACGGGACCCAAAATGATCAGTTCAAATGTTTAGCAATGGATTTCCAAATTGATTCATATTTCATGTCTTGCTCTTATGATCTTGGGGTTTCTTGGAATGGTCACTCATTCCGGTCAAAACGAAAAAAGACAGATGCAATCGACAGATGTTTCAAAATTCTGAAATGACCGTTATATGTATTACAACAAGACGAACTAAAAAAGTGTTGCAGACATTGAAACCGCAAATAAATCAGCAGCGCGTGTTCAGCGAAGATGGCATCAAATACACAGTACGTTTTGAACAATTTAAAAGATCTTACTGAGTTTTCATTTTGAAGGAAATTGTTAGAAGTACACCATTGGGTGGTGTACAAGTAGCACATGTTCCAGGCGACAATACGCCATCGCTTTTGGGAACATCGGATTTGTTCAAAGGATTGAGAGGACATCAGAATGATTATGAAGCTAATGAGTATGTTGAATTGTCAGAGAAAATTGTCGAAGAATTTCTTCAGCGATGTTTATCGTCGACCTTGGGATGAGCATCCACCGGCTGGATTGTTGAACAGCGTCGGAAATCTCGTTGACAATGTATTTGTGTTTCTCTTCGGACCTCCAGAACCCGAATACATGTCTCGAAAAGCAAAACTTTAATTCAACATTTATTTGAAATCGAAAAAAAAAATTGAAGAATAAAAAATTGATCATAATACACGTAACAGTGTGAAATAGAAACAAACGAGAGGATAAAACGAAAAAAAGGGAAGAAAGGGGAGGGGAAAAGCATAAACAAAGTGGTTGTTTGTGTGCATATCCACCGGCTTTAAGCAATTTTAAACGGAAGAACAATGGATTAGTTGATTTTGGTTAAAATAAATTAATATTAATGTAATCGATAGCGAGATGAACAACAGATGATCGGAAGGATGATCAGTGCGAAAGACAACCAACAAACTCGTTGAGCTTCAATGGGTATTCCTGAACGACGCGGAATTTTTTGACATTGTAGACCTGCAATTAATTGACGTTTTATGACACAATTGCGCGAGAAATTGTTGCCCACCTTGAGTTTATTGCTCTTGGTGTACATGAGGAGAACATTGTCGCCGCTGTTGTAGATGATTCCGAGGAGATCGCGGGGCAAGTTCGGAAAATAGCGACGAGTGTGTCCGGTGAAAGTGGCCAAGTTCCAGTAGGCATCGTAGATGATGAAGTGCTCACCCTGAAATCTTATTAATTTGACAATATCAAAATAACGGCTACTTACACTCAACAAGACTTGATTTCCATCGGCCCATTCGAAACCAGCTTGTGGGGTGATTGTGATGTTACGCGGAAGTGGCTGCGGGGTGTTTCGGCCGAGCTGGAATCTCTTGAGCTTGCGGTTCCATCGAAAGCGATACGCAGTCCGTCCGTCGAACAGCACGGTGACGCCGGAACGATTGTTGGTGAGAGCAGCGGTGACAGTTCTCGGTCCGCCAGCAAACAACTCGTTGATCAAGAACGAAGCCTTTTGTGGAAGTCCATCCTCATACCAAATTTGGTAGACGCGCTCGCGTGCAAACACATAGGTTCTGCCGTTGTACCCCTTGGTGATCGCATCAAACTTGGGAGGGCAGACGTCGACGGGAAGAGCCAATGCTTTCTTCGCAGGTGGTGGTGGACGCTTCGGCACCGTTTGTTGAATTCTCCAGGGGGCCAAAAGAAGGTCGCGACGGTTGCGTCCTTTGTTCGGCTCCGTCTGGTTTTTGTTCTTGCGACGACGCTTCATCGGATCTTGTCCACTGGCACGGATCATGTTCCATTTCTCGTGGCTGCTCAATTTCGGGATTTTTGGGACTTCGCTAGAATCAACATCAATTTGTCGAACTTCGTTTTCGTCCTATAAAAATACGAATGGATTAGAGTAGACAAAATGAGGACGACTTACAATATCGTCGTAGAGGGTATCGTCGGCATTCGGTCTCGCTTGACATACCGCTAGCATGAGCAGAAGTATGGTTAGCGGCTTTCGCATCCTTCTAAACGCAATCAAATGAATGAATGAGACGAGCAACGGTCGGTCGGTCGATGGCCGCGCCGGACACGCCCACTTATGGTTTATGGCACAGAAATGGGCGCGCCAAGGTGATGGATAAAAAAAAGTGAAAAGAGCAGATAGAAGGAGGAATTGACAGAATGGAGACGAGACAGTACGAAAAAGAAATTGGATGGCTCGAAAAAAATATTGTCTCGTGGGACATGTTGCTATTAATAGAATGATCGGCCGAACGGGGTTTTCGAGCATTTTTAATTAAATGTGCAGAATGTTTACGAACGATATCGATAGCAGCGAGCAAAAATGTAATATTTTATATCGTTTTCTTTCATTATTTTTATTTTTTGGTTATTAAAACTGTATTGAGTCATGTTCAAATAAAAAAGAAAATATACGAAATTTAGAAATTCGAAATAAGTTTTTGAACATCTTGGAGAATCGATGAAACGATGAAGTTTGATGATATAAATGATAAGAAGCTTCCGATTTTTTCTGCATTCCTCAAATAGTTGGGTTTGCGTAATGAACTACACCTAATTATTGGGTTATAGTTTAAAAAAAATTATAGTTAAGAAAAGAACATCTGTTTGTCTAGTTTATCTCAAAGCCCAAAGCATTTGAGACAATTTGGGTTCTCTTCTGAAAAAAATTCATATAGTGCTCAAATAAATCGAGCAATCTTGTTGAAAGCATTTTTCGATTTTCGTCCCACTCGGTTATCGGAATGTAAAACCGTAAAGTGCGGTGAAAAAAGAAACGAAAATAATCGAGAGCGTTTCTGTATTCGTTAAACGTTTGAGAAAAAAAAGCAATCGTTGGCTAACATTATAAATAACAAGCACGCGGGTACACGAAATTAGCATAATGGATACGGTTTTCGAGATGACCATGAATATTGATTTACAACTTACAAATTGTTGACACTTGGCCGCAAAAGAGTTTCGAGAAGAATAAGGAAATTTGCAAATTATACTGATGGGAGCCCTATTTGATAATGGACAAACAAGAATTGATGATTGGAAATAGTGTTCTATTTGAAGGTTACATGCGCATGCGCAAACAGATTAGGCAAATCGTCATATTTTTTGCTTCCATTGGAAAGGTACACAAACCCACACCAAAACACCCAAAAACTTACAAGTCACATCGAATTCTTTTAATTTTTGTTTTTTTTTTCGAGGTCATCGTGTTTGCTTTATTATTCATTGCCCGAAAATGGCGCGTTTTTGGATTTTTTAAACATTTTCAAATCGACTTTTTGCGAAATTATTGTACACTCAAATACGCATATCTATAAATGGAAAGAAGGAAAAAATCGCTACTGTTTATCGAATTGCTAACTATAATACTTGAATATTTATAATTATCATTATGGTGGTTTTCGAAAGAAATTCAATAAACCGGTAAAAAAAGCATAAAAATCGCTATAAAAAGGACATTCAAAAAAAAAAAATTCGATCCCGTTCAGGTTTTTCAAAACCTACAGTACTGCAATATTTTCAGAAAGTCGCTGTAAGAATCATGCAATTTTATCGTATGCGGCTCTATCCGCAATGATTTTAATTTTTTTAATCTTATTTTTTCTGTGGTGATTAAAGGCGCATATTTAAAAAATGTTATGATTCTTGCAGCGATTTATTAAAAAATACTTTGGTTCGATAAAACCTGCGAAATTTGCATATATAGTACCATTTTCAAATTTTCACTTATTCACAAAAAAAATTGAGTTGCGTATGTCAGAAATGTTCATCAATATCAATATTCTACGGTCATCCACATAATTATCTAGAACACATTATCAAGGTATAACCCATTAAAAATATGCTTCTGAGTGACAAAAATGAAGAGCTCAAAGTAATCCTTGGAATTGGAATGAAATTGTGTCGATATGCTGCTTGGTGATCGGAATTCGGTGCGATAGATCAATCATAACTACGCTTGGAATGAGTGGAACTCAAGAGAACGATCCCAACAAATTCAAAGAAGATGTTTTGATGAAATCTACTCTAGCTAGCCTGGAATGGAAGAAGCAGAGGAATCAAAATACGTACGACAATTCTGCCCTTTTTCGGCATCATATTCAAATATAAAACTTGCGGTTTAAAGGCTGGGAAAATGAGCGGCAAGCACCTTTGATGTTCGAAAAAAAATGGCCGCGGTACTAATTTGAATTTTGAGAAAAGTGGGAGACCGACACAGATATGAACAATCGAACGATGGTGTCGGCGTCTGGTGCCTAATACAATTTTGGCGAAAAGCCGAAAAAAGATATGGCGGTACCGCCAAAAAGCGTAGACAGACGAACTCAAAGGAGAAGGTGGCTCTCTACGGCGTGCATGTTCACCGTGTGTTTGCTTATCATAATTTCAAGAGAATCGCTCACGCGGCAACACAATTACAAGGCGTTGGACAAGACAAACGACAAGACCGCAGGCATGGTGGGCCGCAAAAGCAAACTCAAGCTCACACTGTATGTTGTCAACGTTGCGCAACTCTGCATAATCGGGAAGATGTGATCATGATCAGCTATTTTTTATTCGTGAACGTTTTGCTGAGAAGAAGCTGTTTGAGAGTGTGCTTGAGACTAAAATTTCAACATTTCCAGTCTTTGAAGACATAGGTTAATATAAAAATTCGTCGATGAAGGAATTTTCTTGTAACAAATTTTTTTAATAAATTAAATATGCCAAGCTTTGAAATTGTATTATTCTCGGTAATTTTGTCTTACTCGATGGATTTTGAGAAAAATGCCCTGGGGAAACCGAGGCGAACCATGTTTATCCATTTTCTAACGTGGTCCGACCGAAACGACAAGACTCTGTGGCTCACGAAAGTTTATGAAACTTTCATTTAAAAAAAAACCTTAATTAAACTTCTATTAAGAGCCTTATTTAATTGTGGGAGAATATGCATTTGTGGGTCTCCTAAAGAAATTACTCGGGAAAACTATCAAATACGATATTAAGGATGGTATATAATTCGTTGAATATATCGAAATTTCGAAGTTTTCAAGATTTTCAAACATATAAAGATTTTCAAACATATAAATTCACTTTTGAGGGATCAACGCTTATTTTTTTCTCGATATTCTCTATATAAAACCATCACATTAGATTCAAATTGACTATTCAAAAAGAGGGTAATTTGAGCTCTGAGAATTTTACAAATGTTTCCCACGTTTCACGAGGTTTTCATTAGAGTGACCTTTCAAACAAAGCCCATAAAAGATACTGTAGGCAATATGAAACGTGGGAACCAATTTTCTGAGCTCGAAATTTGTATGATAAAAGGATGCGCGTCGTAAAACCTGTGAATGCGGTTGGCAGCGAATGGTCATCAGACGAATAAACGGCGGGTGCGCTTATCGCGAAAATGTTGCAAATTCATCAAATTGGCTTATCGTAGGATGGATTGCGTTTTATTGATAATTGTTACGTTATTACGCAAATATGCTAATGTTATTGTTATTTTCATTGCGCCTCGTCTCATTTTAGACATGCCCCTCCCATTTGCAAACAAGGCGCCAAAAGTTGTGCGGTCCCCCCCCCCCTACTGTATCGTGTCGAGAAACTAAAAATGGCGAAAATGACATAATCGAATGAGGAAACAATGTACATCACAAACAATACAAATAATAATAAGAAAACAAAAACTATACAAAAATGGGAAATATTGAGTCATCTTGGCAGCTCGCCAAAATTTGTCGAACCGAAATCGAAAAATGAGGTGAAAACGACGAACGACAAATTTCAAAGAAGAAAAAATATTAGGGGATGGACAACGAAGGAGTTAAAAGCCGTCCGACAAACGGTTTACTCGGTGTGTGGTCGCGCAGAGTACACATCGGAGGGCGATTGCAGAAACTTTGCTTTTTTTGTAGAATATTTTGCAAAATTGTTGGATTTCAACTACATATTACTGGAAACTCGCTATCTTTATTGCACATTTAATTATCATTCTACAGTTTTACGACATGCATCTTGTTTTCGAGTAATACATGTATTATCTTGAGCAAACAATTATCTAATCATTTGGGAAATCAACTAGATGAATCTTTGAAAATTCGCTTCTGAATCTCAAGCAACTTCGCCAGACTTAATCTTTTGTTTTTGATCTGATCACTTATTTTCTAAATATTTATTTTTCTCGCTCTTATACACACTTCAGTATGTTGTTGTAAAAACTCTTGTTAGCATCAAAGATCTTTTCCATTTATTCTTTCCTCAATTATACATATCTACAATTTTTGATGCTCATGAATCGTACGATTCTGTTTTACGTTATCATCGTTGATTTCATATTCTAGACGACCGTTCTCTATCAGTTTGTAATTAAATTTTCAAAATACGGTATTAACATGCTTATGTCGATTATAATAGCGTTATCGCGCTTCCAACGCGGCCAGCTATGATGTCAAATTATACACGACAATTTGCAGCTACAAGAAGAATCACATTTGAAAAATTGAAATTTTTGTATGTTTGAATTAACATTCGAATTTCATGAAAAACTCAAATCTATTTCATTCGCAAAAAAAATGAGCATCATGAGTTAGCTTCGCAGGTTATCCAGACTGTACGGTATCCGAATTTCCCACTGTTTAAATTCGAATTTGAATTACCGCCTCATAAAAGTGCGATGGTCCACATTTTGTCACAGTGCTCACTATTTTTTCGTGATGGCAATTAAATTTTTCGACGTTATTATCAAAATTTTCGATTCTCGGGAAAAAAATGGAAATTTGATATTCTAACGAATTTCATAGGGACCCGATCAATTTCTAATGTTTTCCGAAATCGTGATGGATCAAAATCACATGTTTGCATTTTTACACGCGTCAATTCAAGCACGACAATTTCACCTGCTGCCGAAATATTATTCCCTCACAATCGGCAGCAATCAAGCAATTCTCGCAAAATTATGGATGTTTTTAATGCAACGGATTTCTTATTTCAACAGTATACAACTGAATTTTCAAC